TTGTGCGATGGGCATTGCGCGATGGACATTGGACGGCGGACAGTGGGCGACTGGGCGATGGACATTGGGCGATGGGCGAACTCCCAGAAGCTTGTGAAAGTTTGGAAATTACAAAAAAAGTTTCGACGTGGGCGGTTTTCTTTCCCGTCGCAAAATTTTAACTTGCGCAGCTCAGCAATAGGAGTTATAAAATTACTCTGAACCGATGATCCATGAAAAAGGAGAAATTATCGCTGCAACATTCCGTGCAATGTGTGGCCCAGTTAGCAAAAAAGGATCCCATGGTTTGCGCCCGACTGAACAAAGTCTCACGTTTCCAAACATGATCATGCCAACGGCACACGAAGCCGATTGCATCTTCGTGGCGGTTCAAAGAGTGCCCAGCACACATTCATTTTTCTAATAAAGCCGTAGTGCGTTTTTCAAAAATAAAAGTGAGAATGGGTATCTTTTCATTTTTGAATTCCGTGATTGCGATGAATGGGTTTGATATAAAAAGACTTCAACTTCGCTTTTCAGAAGTGAAAAACTAAAGTAGTCTCGTAAAGAACTTCTGGCATCAATTTGCAATTGAAGTTCACCGAAGTTGAAGTCCAAAATAAAAATTGCCCGCGTAGAGATTCCCTCTCGTCGGCGGGAAGATCTGTAGCAGTACAGTTGTGATTCATTTCTGGATCTGGCCTGCTACCTGGTTTTCTTGAAAAGAATGTTTGTCCTGGGACGACAGTTGCGAATTGACAATGTCGCCAGGACTGGAAATGATGTCCAAAGAAAAACAGTTTTTCAGTTTCTTCAGTGCATCGATGATTTTTACGAATTCGACTTCACGCCAAATTCTTTTCAACAGCAGTTCGCTCATTTTCTAGTTGTGGCAAGTTGATGCTGGTAAAAAAAGTCGTCCTGCGGTCCGTGGTAGCGCGCGTCACAGTTATCGAAAACGGAGACTCAGAGGCTTCATTCTGTCTTTTAGTTTTTCCACCAATTTCCGTTACCATCCGTTTCCCAGGGATGCTTGTAATAGACGTACTTTCCTTTCTTGTAATCCCAAACGCGCTTCCACTCGTTTTCCTCACTTGTGTTCTCATTTTTCTTGTTGTAGTACGAAGATGCTCCTTGCCACGAAGATGAGCCGGATCCACCGTTGCCCGCGGCGGCGCCGTCATCTGGTGGCGTCGTGCAGGTCGTAGAATTTTCTAATTTGTGTATTTCTTTACTCCCATATGTTTTGCATCAACAATCCGCACCTGCTAATGTGCCTGCTTCAGAAAATTAGCTCACATCAGTCTGAAAAAAGACAGTGACTGTTTGTAGTTGTACCTGCGTCCTCATTTTCCCGATTTTCGGTATGTTGTTGCTTCGTTTCCGGTCTCGATGAAGAAGGGTGGGGACCAGAACTCGACGCGTCGGCATCTGTCGCAGCTACTCCTCCTGTGCCTGTATTGATTTCGCATTTTTTGCATATCAGAATACCAAATATAGCCGCCGGGGCGGAGGTAGTGAGGTCGTGGGCGTTTTTTTGCCGGCCATCGCCTTGGCCGCGGCTTTGCTTTTTCTGGGCTCGCCATACCGCCCTGAGTAACGTTAGGCCGCACGGTATGGCGGCCGCTTGGTAAACATCGCAAATTTTGGCAAATTCCCGAAATTCCTTTCCGAAGGCCAGCCCCCATGCTATGGGGCCGATCCGGGTGCCACGGGGGGCGCCCAAAAAGCGAAGAAAAATCGGGCCCATAGCATGCGGATTGGCTTTGCGCGTCTTGGGCGCTTTTTCTTTTTCGCGTTTTTATTTTTCACGCCGGCGCTTTTTGCAAAGCTTCCCAGGCTCTGAAACCGGCGAAAAGGCGACCGCTTTCGCGGCCGCCCAAAATGCTCCGAAATCGCGGCCGTGCCATGCTGTTTCGCTGTTCTGATTTTGGACGTGTTTTTTGCGCGCCCCTTTTTGGGCGCCCCAAACCGCCAGAAACCAAGGCGGTGGGCGCCTCAGAAGGGCGCTAATTTTGGCGACTCCTTTGCGTCGTTTTATCCAGTGCGAGTCGATAGTTTTCGACCGGGCTTGTTTGACAACAAAGCCCCGGCCGCTTGATAATTGAAAATCTTTTTCGTCAAAAAACACTTTCGCCCGCTTGAAAACTGCCGGTCGTTTTTGAGGGTATATGTCAAAAAAACTCCCTGGTTAGAACCGTTCGGTGACCTCACTACATACTATCCTCATGCAGAATTGAGCGGCTAGAAGTTGCACAAGGTGCATCTGGGGCTCATTTTCTTCTGCATCTGCGAATAGAAGTACTTGTACTTGCAAACACAACAACAAAAAAATTAAAGTTGTCCGCATGAATAGGAGGAAGGGCAAAATGTGGCTTCGACGTGCGGACCAGCGTATCAAAAAAAAATGTACCCGAATTTTTTCCATCGCTAGCAGAGGGCTCTGCTTCGCCAGAGCCATCGCCTTTTTTCCGGCTTTTAGACGAGGTGGCAGAGGAAGATCTCGCAGATGCAGATGCAGAAGCTGCTTTTTTAGTATTTCCCTGCTCATTTTTGCGATCAGAAGCTGCTGCAGCTTTCCCTTTGTTCCGCTTGCCCTTCCCTTTCCCTTTGTCAGGCGCGTTCTCAACATCATTTTTCTTGTCGTTCACCTTCCAGCAGTGGTTCTCGTAGTCCCATTTTTCCCGTACGTCTTGATTGCTGTTTCCCGTGGAAGAGGAAGTTGACGAACTGAACCCACCTTGACCACCACCCGCTTCACCTTTTTGTTGATAAAAAAAAACAGGTCTTTCAGTTTCATTCATCTCATAAGCACGTTCTATCTTTAGGTACGCGAATACAAAAGCAATGAATCTGTAGTGCCGTAGCCGTCGGCATCTTGTTTTCCCCCGATTCCAATTTCATGAAAAAGTTGCATGCTCACTTCGTATAATAGGTCAGTGAACATAGATCATGAGGCTCTGTACCTGCATCCCATTCGTGTTCAGCGTCGTCCGGCTTCTCTTCCCAAACGGACGACGTGCGGCCGCCGCCTTTTTGCGCATCGCTCGACTCCGCGGCATCGTTGCTCGCGGAGGCTTCCGGCGAGTCCGTCTCTTTCAAAGTAGATGCTGCTCCGGCGGAGCCTGGTATGATGCATTTTGATTTTCATGAATGAGCACGAAGCTGTAGTTCTGCCAAATGCTGCATGTGCATTCTGCTGGTCCACCAGGTGACAGTCTTCATTTACAAAAAAAAAGTACTTACCGAAATTTCATCTCTCGTGACAACGCACACGCATGAAGAAAAAGAGGCTAGAGTCGATATCTCAGTGCCTTAGCCTTACCTGAGCAACGTCCCTTGCCCTTTCCTTCTCCCTTGCGCTTCTCCTGATCGGCTTGGGGCTCTCCTTTTCCCTTAGCCTTCGCATCAGGCTGGTTGCCTTTATTTCGCTTTCCTTTTCCCTTCCCCTTTCCATCGTCAGGAGGTCCTTTGCCATCGTTGGTGTCGCGATTCTGGTTCCGCCAGGAATCATGCTGGTGCTGCTGCTGCCAGGAATCCTCTTGGTTTTGCTGGTCGTGTGTCTCCCATTGGGTTTGGTCAGTTTCTTCTTTCCAGCACTTGTTTTCATAGTCCCATTTCCGCTCCTTGCTGTAGTCGTTCTTTTTCTGGTTCTTCCGCCAAGAGTTATCGTCGTTGGAGCTCCAATAACTGCCTTGCTTCTTGTTGTAGTCCTTCTCCTTCCACGACGACTCCTTCCAGCTATCGCCTTGCTTTTTGTTGTAGTTGTGGCTTCCGCCCGCTCCCCTCCCCTGCCAGTTTTGGTTTTGATTGTGGTTGTAATTGTGATCGCCCTGGTCCTTGTACCAACCGTTCCAATTCTTATTGTTCTGTGCGTTGTAGTCATTTTTGTACTGATTGTACTGGTTTGACTGGTTGTACTTGTTGTTTTTCTTGTAGCTGCCATACTCGCTGACGCTGCCACCGCCGCCGTCATGATACTGTTCGTTTTTCTTGCTAGAGCCGTAGCTGTTGTCATATGATCCCTGGTGGTTGTTGTATTGGTAATTCTGATTTTCCTCTTCGCCCTGTTGCTCGTCCCAGTTCCAGTTGTCATCGTGCTTTGACTCCTCGCCGCCGCCGCCCGCGGCTCCCGCGACCGGAGCTTTTTCGCCATTTTGCTGTACGGAAGAGGAGGATGAAGACGCTGCTGCTACATTTGCATCCTCACCGTGGTTGTTTGCGTCTGCGTTTTCCGTATCGGCTTCGTTTTCCATCGTGGCTGCCTTCCACCAATTCCGGTTGCCAGTGTATTTGTCGTCTTGCTCTTTCCACCAATCGTTGTTTCCATGATCATTTCTGCTTTTCTGCTTCTGCTGCTCCCACCACGACTTCTTGTTGTCTTGGTGCTTGTTGGCCTTGTCGTCCCACGACCACGACTTCTTATCATCGTGCTTGCCGCCCTGGTTCCAATTCCAGTTTTTGTTCTTGCCCCATGATGAGTGACCTGACCACGACCAGTCATTTTGGTTCCTCTTCTGCTTCTTCGCATCTCTTCCGTAGTAGTGATAGTCTCCGCTGCTGTTATCGTAGTCGTTCTTGCGCTTCAAAGAACTACTGAAGGCCCCGGTCGTGCTGGACGGCGAAGCGCTGGCACTGGCAGCTCCAGCTTCCGTGTGATTTTCATCAGTGTCTTTACTCTTCTCCTTGTCGTCCTCCCAACCCGCAAACCAGTCTTTGTCGTCCCAGGTTTTCTTCTTGTCCTCCGCAGCAGCACTCTCTTGCTCCGCTTGCGTGGCTGGCAACGGCTCGAGTGTGGTTTTCAAGTAGAGCAGCTCTTTGCCATACAGCTGGAACGACGCATCCCAGGCCCACTTGTCTTCGCGCATCGTCGTCCACTTGCAGTATGTCTTTTGCTCCGTAACATTCGACAGAAAATCGCCCTGATGCGCCACGAGCAGCTTCTCTCCAGATACAACATCAGCATCAGCAGCAGAGCTGGACGATTTTTCGACTTCGCCATCATCATCTCCTGCGATTTCGCCCATTACAGCGATCGCAGGAGCTTCCTCGTGGTTATTTTCTCCCCCAGCTGCCACTGATGAAGCAGACGCATCGGCATCGCCTTCATCTCCGAAAGATTCTGCAAGAGCTGCGCCATCTTCAGTCACATCCTCAACATCAGCCAGGATTTTTTCCACATCTGGGTCCACCTGATCCGCGTCCGCCATTTCCACATCTCGCTCAAAGGCGAAGGATTTTCCCTTCTTCCCGGCTGCCTTCGCCTTTGCGGCTTTCTTTTTCCCGGCCGGCCCTGCAGCACGCTTCGCAGCTGCTTTCGCCGTGATGATTTTGCCTTTCGCCTGGCGCTCAGCCTTCAGAAAGGAGGGGGTCGTAACGTAAAAGGTGATCGCGGCAACGAAGTTCTCGAGCCTCTTCAGGCCTTCTGCGCCCTTCTCGTCCGGCAGTGACATTGCCGTCGCGGTGTACTTTTCGTCCTCTGGAACCGGATCCCGAAACTCGAGCCCCTTATAGCCCGTCTGTTGCACGGCGATTTTGTTGCGGCAGCAGTACTCCCTTTTCTGGTCGAAAAACCCCGCCCAGCGCTTTGACGCGTCCCCCCATGCCTTTTGCAGCAGTGGGGCCCAGTACTTTTCCCGAAGTTTTTCAAACGTCGCGAACAGTTGCAAATTGTCCACCAGCATCGCTTTGGCCCGACGCTGCAATTCGTTGAGTTGCGTCACCACCGTCCTGTCCATTGTATTGACGCCGCCGAATGTAACATCTTCGCGCCCGAGCACGGCCAACCAGTTCCCCTCTGAGAGAGTCCGAAAAACGTCTGTTTGTCCATTCGCAAGCACCTTCTTCACATCTGCCGGCGTTTTAAGCGTTCCGCCAAGGTGGTAGATCTGATTTTTCGCGGCCCCGTCCGCGAGCAGCTTGCATAAAACAAACAGCACGTCACAAATCCGAAGTTTCGGAAGCCCGGGCTTCGTGCTCAGGAAGTACGCCTCCACACGATCGTCGGGCTGCTGCTGCTCGGAATCGCCCTCCACTTCCTCTCCATTTTTTCCTTTTTTCTTTGCCGCAACCTTTTTCATCGGCGCCGCAGCCTTCTTCGCGCCACCCTTGACACTGTCATTCTTTTTCGCCACCTGCTGCTGCTGTTTCTTCGCCTTTGCGCTATTCTTCTTTGACGACTTAGCTTTTCCTTTTTTCTTATTCTTATCACGCTGCGACCACGCAGAAGCGGAAGACTCGTCGTCTGAATCCTTTTCGCTGTCGTCGTCGTCGTCGTCCTGTTGCGCTCCTTCTTCACCCGGGCCATCAGGGTCGACCGCAAAATCGTCGTCGCCAGCAGCAAGTGCTAGCGGGCCATCCTCCGCAGTCGCGTCCTCGTCGAGAACGTTGCCAGCATAAAGATCGAACTCATCGTCGTCCATTTCCTCCTGCATGAAAGCGTCTAGTTCTGCGATGCCGATGTCGTCAGCAACCTGGTTCTTCTTCTTGTTTTTTCCTCTTGCGTTGGTCCCTTGTTCACCTGCTCCTTCGACTTCGTCTTCTTTCCGTCCTGCTTGCTTCGCTGATGCAGCGTATGCGTTGCAAAAGTATCCATCGCACTAGGTAGCATAAATTAATCGCATCACAAATTTTCTCAAGAGCAAGAAAGTCGGATTTTCTAATGCTGATTTACCTTAGCTGGTGGATTTGTCTTGCAAGACGGCGATTAGTACGAGTGCGATACTTTTGCACCCCATACAGCGAGCTTCTCAACGATTTTTGCCGCCGCGGGCGACATCATGCGAATGATGTCTGCGTGTGCGCTACTGAGGACGTGGCCGTCTTTCCGGGTGTGCAGCGCTCTGGGAACGCTTATCACCTTCGCTGCACCTCGAGCTCTGTCCTTCACCGCACATAGTTCCGCATATGTATTTCCGCTCTTGGCCAGATCCATTGACGCATGTCCGCACTTTGCGATGGCTTTGCTGTAGGGATGATTAAGCCCGTAGTACCGCGCCGTGTGATACCAATCATTCGTAAATTTTGCCTTTCTCTTATGGATGGGAAAATCCGCACGCGCAGTATTCTGCTATGTTGTGACTTCCAATGGACTTGCTCTAAATTGTGAGACATTCTCCATGGACGAGGGCAAACAAATGCAAAACGTAAAAGCGAAAGCGCGCGGTCATAACAAACACACACGCTGCTCAGGAACATCAACATGTATGATCAAAAATTCAGCCTTGACTACGGAAACGTGTCTGTGAAGCCAATCGCGCAGGAGCTTGTCATCATCATCATCTCGGGCAGCCCCTGTCGCCACAACACATGAGCGCCGGTGCAGATTTTGGGGCCCTACGCATCTCCCAAGCCGAAGTAGTCCGCTGACCGAATGCGCAGTCGATCGAAGTCAGCGTCCGAAAAACCTTCGCGAACCACATCTCCAAGTGTCTCCACCTGCTGTGCCGGCGGTTTCTGCTGCTGCCCACCCTCTGCATCGTCACCAGCATCACCAACCAGGGGCGGCGGCGGCGGGAACATTTCGAACGCACTGACAAAGTCCGGCTCCGTGGGGGTAAAAATCTCCACCAGCGGCTCGAAGCCGATGCAGTACGCTTCATCCCCGTCGTAATCCCCACCGGAAAGAGCCTGGGCGGCCGCCCGGGGCATGCCTTCGCATGCCGGCAGAACGATGAGTCCTTTGTGCCGAAACCCCGCCTGCGTAAATGCCTCCGGCGGCTCGCCGACATTCTCGAACGGCTGGACGTCACTCGCTTCCATGCATGGACAACGGGCAAACAGCGCAGGGCCCTCGAGGTACTTCACCGTGGCGCCGTCTTTGCCCGAAGTCACCACCGAGGTGAGTGCCTGGAATTTTTTGAGCGTCTGCGACAGGTCCGGGACGATGGGCAAGTAGTAGCTGTCGGGAAGACGAAAGCGGAACTTCCTCGCAAGGGATCCGCCAAAAATTGCACGGACCAATGCCTGCACGCGGAAAAACTTCGCGGGCTCGCTGGTAGCAAAGTTTTTTAGAGTCGCGTCTTCATCAATGAGTTCCTTCAACATGGCATCCACTTCGCCATTGTCGCCACTGCTAGTGCTACTGCTACATTCTTCCTTCTCATGCTCAGCGTCGCTATCGTGATGCACATCATGATCATCGATCCAACTATCTGCCTCTTCCCAGTTCGACGCCTTCTTCCAAGCAGTTGCCGGCGGAGCGGCGAGGTCGGCGTCCGGCGCTTCCAGCAAGAGCTTGCGCGCCTCGGCAAAGTCGATGCGGTCATCATCACAAGCACTGGCCAGCTTCTTGAGGTAGTTGTAAACGTGATTCTTCAGCACGGCCCTGACCACACGTAAAAACTTGAGCGGGTGCGCAGCGCAGCCGTGTTCCAGCAGGGGCAACAGTTCCGCATTAAAATATCCGCGCGGCTCGGTTGGCTTATCGTCCCACCACTGGCAGACCTCCAGCGGATAGGAGGCATCCGCATCAACATTCTGCCAGAACTTCCAGGCGCTCTTCGGCAAACATATCTTGTGCGCGTCGGGGTGGTCCGGCGGGACGTCTTTGATCAGGACCATAAATTTCGCGGACATCAGTCGCCCCTGCAGAGCCTGGATTTCGCCTACGTCAGGGTAGCCCTGCGCCCGGATGGATTCCTCGACTTCTGCTGCCAAACTGCTTCCGATCCAGCCGCAGCCATCAACGAGGGAGTCGCCCCCCTGAACGCCCAGAAGGTCGTCAATCTTGAAGATGCTCGCCCCGGGAATGTCCTTCGTTTTCAGCGTGTCGCTGGTGGCAAGCTGCATCCGCGCGAGCGCTTTGCCGAGCGCCTGGCGCAAAAGGCACTGTGGGTCGTCCGGACAAGACTTGACGTCGATTCCAAGCATCTCCACAAGCATCGAACGATTGATCGAGCGCGCCACATACCAGGCGCGTTCTTTGAAGTCGTGATGTATCCAGAAAAATTGGAACTCCTTGACTCCCACACGCGCCGTCCCCGCATTCGCGGTGCGCTCATCCAACAAACGAAGCTTCTGTGGGGGTGGCGTGACTGCGCCCGCCTTGCTGCGGGACGATCGGGGAGGCGACACATTCACCGAAAACACTAATCCGCCCAGACTCTGCGGAAAGTGTTCTTGGAGCGTCCTGTACAGCCGGTTATTTCCGTGCTCCCCCGCAACGTAGACCTTCCACGGTACGAAACCGATCCGCAAGATCGTGTCCAAATAATCCAATCGTCGGTACCGCTGCAGGGCCAGGACCTGCGCCTCAGTCCTCTTGACCAGCTCTTTAACCGGCTTTCCCCGTGACTCGATCTCTTTGGCCTTCTCATCGGAAATACCAGCGCGGGCTTCTTTTAGCCGCGCTAGCTCTGCCTTTGCTCCTTCCACGTCGTATAGCCGGTTCCCCCCGAAGCGCTTGCACCAGTTTTTTTCCCGCTCAATATTTTCCGGATCCTGGCCACCAGGCTCGTGGATGCAGTCTTTGTTGGCAAGCGCGAAGTACTTGAAGGCGTCCAGGTTGTCCCCCCTCTTCCCAGTAACGCAAGCGGTAGCGGTCACGTCCTTTCTGTAGAGCGTATACCAGACGAACGGGGGAACCGTCAACCCCGAGGCAAAGTCCATCGCATGCCCCTCGTCGCTGTGGCCTTCCCCGAGATGCAGGTACATGGTCGCGCGAGCGTCCTCTTGCTTCGCCTTTTCCTCGCGACGGCCTCGCCCGAATTTCACGGGCCCCTTGTTGTTCATCGCCATGATGAAGCAAGGTGGCGGTGGTTCTTCAAGAGCTGCCACAACTTACTCGTCGCATAGTATAGAATCTTATTTGAAAATAAACAGGAGGATTGCGATATTACTTTCAGCAGCTTTAGAAAGAGCACGAGAAGCTTTCGTTTCCTTTACCAAAAACACAAATCATATAAAAATCCAGGAAACGAGTCAGAGTCTGTCAGCTCGTATTTGAATGCAGCGATAAATTTTAGGCGCTAACTGATTAAATAAAAATGAAACTCGTTTCTGCGAAGTCAATATTTTGAAATCAACCGGCCCCCAGGGCCCTCAAGATACTAGAGGAGCATTGAAAAGCTCCGCTCCGTAGCATCTTCGGCGTGTAGAGCAGTGCCGAAATAACATGAGCATCTAAATGATCTGGCGCTACAACCGCGACAACGTCAGTCAAACGAAAACCCTATTTCCGGTAAAGTGAATCACATGCTCCAGCAGCTTTCTTTAAAAGCGACAGCGGCGTCACAGACCTCGGACAACTACACACGAACCTGAAGATCATAGAGATCGATCTTCGGGCAACCTCACCATCAGTGGGACCTTCTGATGCTAGCATCTACATCAAACTCAAACTCACACAGCCAAATAACTCCTCTGCACACAAGATCCCGAAGAGCCTTTCGCTTTCCATCCACCACGTAGTGATCAGGGCCACGGCGGTTGAAGATGAAGATCGGAATGTCCTCGTGACTAGACAGATGTCGCGCGCACAGAAGTGAGGGGCTGAACCTGAGATCCACCTTAGTGATCCTCTGCACTTGTCTGGAACATGATATGGATCCGAGATCAGATGAAAGAGGTGATCGTGTACCAGGATCATGCTCTTGCACATTCTGTTTCAGTAACGTTGACGATCATCAACTACCCCAAGGCCGCTGCACCTATTCAAGGTCAATTGCCTCACAACAAGAAAATAGGTCCTGCGGTGCTAAATGGCGAAAGAGAGAAGGCCGGCAGAGCAGTTTTCAGCGAGCCTGTGGCTGTGTAACACGGAAGCGACTACAGTGATTCCGCCAACTTCTTTTGCACGTCTTTTGTTTTCTAGTTTTCTTTCATATATCTTCATTTTTTCACCTCTTTATACTAATGGAATAGGTCACGGCGTTCGTTTTGGGAGTAAGAGACTTACGTTGCGAGGGTCTACAGAATCTGAATCGAAGTGAATGTGTACTAAATACCAGCGATGCTGTTTACGAGGGGATGCGCTACCTTTGTTGCTTTGCTTGCACGATCACGAAGTGAGAGACCTTCTTTGTGTGCCTCTACATCTACTCTTGTTCTCACAACTGCTCTTTAATCCAGCCCGCTGTCTTCCTCGTCGAATAAATCTACATTGCCCCCGCCGCCACCACCCCCGTTCTCAGCGTCATCCCCAACATCCTCAAACAAACCAGCATCCGCCTGCGCTGGCGCTTTCCCCTTTGCCTTCAGCTTCGGCGCGGCCTTGGCTTTTTTCATCGGCTTCAGGCTGTCCAAGGCCCGGCGCTTCAACGTCGCGCGCTTCTTCTGTACCACGGCGCCATCGTTCCCTTCTTCATCTCCCTCGTCTGCTTTTGTTTCCCGGGGTGGCACTGTATCAAAGTTCTTGAACTCCAGGGCCGACAATTCCTGTTCCCACTCGCTACCCTCCTCGATCCTCGCGCACTTGTCCACCCAGGACACGCACAGCTTCCTTTCGCCCGTGAAATCTTCCGTCCAGTGCGGCGGCAGCCCGCTCTCTTGGATCATCCTGTGTCGGACCTCTACCGGCTCACCATAAATTTCGCCTTTCTCGACGGTGCGGCTCTCTGTTGTAAATGTAATGCGTTGCTTTGTCGATGTGATTCGGGTCTCCACATCACAAAGAAAGCAACCCAATCTCATGCAAGGTGGACCTTGGAGTCAGTTCAACAGATCAACACTCTCCTGCGTCTTGCGACTTCGAATCAGAAGTGGAGTGAGAGTCTCTGCCTCATAAATGAAACTGCATGCAAAAAAATAGGCATAAGAAGGCGATCTATTCCTATAGGAAAAACATAGACACTGACATACACAAAATGCTTACTTCCAGTCTCCACATCCTTCCAGGTGATCTCTTTCGGCGCCACGCCCTTGATGGTCCCGCTCGGGTTGTATTTCACAAAGCGACCACCGCTGAAGTCCCCGCCGGCGATCAATTGGCTCGATCCGGAATTTTTGCCGTCCGTATGCGGAGCCGTTATGTTGTTCCACAGAATTCCGAAGTGCGTATACTTGGCCTCAATTCCAGCGCGGTCCGCCTCGACCCGGATCATGTGATTGACCATCTTCGTGAAGTTCGGAAGCAGCACGGATGCCAGCATCAATTTTCCGGGATTCTGCACGTGGGCGCCGAAGTACAGATACGCGCTGGGGTGCTCGACCACATTAGGCCGAATACGTAAGCGCTCGGGGTTTGGTTCGAAGCCTTTCACCTTCATCATCTCGACCAGTTTCTCCATGGTGCCAGCAGATTTCTTGAATTCGAGCACATCCTTCTTCAGGAAATCTCCACTAACGACCAGGTCGGTCGCCTTCCCCGCCGGTGGGCCCCGCTGCTGCTCCACGTAGCTCTTCAGCAAGCGGCCGGCCTCCTCCTGGTCCAAAACCAACGGCACCGGTGCAGTCTCCAACAGCTTGGACAGCTCCGCGCTTTCGATGATCTTTGCCACGATCTCGCCGTTTTTCTCCTCGCAATCCGCGCAGAAGTGCTTCTGCAACAGCTCGGTGATAAGACCAGCTGTTGCCAGGCTCTCACCCTCGTCCCGCAAGACTTGTGCTAGACTGCTGCTCGGGTCGGCAAACTTCTTCAAGGATTTGTAGAGGTACTTTTGACAGGAGTCGCTCAGCCCCAGATCCATGACGAGCTTACCACTCAGCTCATGCGCCTTCGCCGTGAAGAGGGTGGAATCGGTACGAATCTCACGCTGCAAGTCCGTACGCAGCGTGTTACTGCCGACCCCCAGGGCGCTGTAGAGCAGCTGATACAGAATCTCAGCAATCCAAGTCTGTGCGAAATCCTTGGTCTTGCCCTTTGGCTCCGGGAAATAGTCGTCATTCTGGTAGTTCTCCAAGAACTTCTCCCGCACCGCTTCCGCTAGTTGTTCCTGCGTCATGATTTTCTTTGGGTTGCTGAAGTCGAACACTTCATCGAAGACCTTATTGCGCAGCAGGTTGTTGCGAATCTTCCACAGCCGGTCCCGGCGATCCTTGTCGTCTTCGTTTTTTGGCGTACTGACCTCGCAAATGTAATCCGTCACGGCCTTGCGGTTGTTACTCTGAAAAAGAGAACTTGCTTTCGTCGGGGCCTTCGGGTACCCAACGACGGCCAGCTCCAATTGGCACCAGCCCTGGAGGCGAGCCAGAAATTGCTCCTTGTTCAACATCGCACACAAATCGGCATTTTCGAACACTTGGCCACTGATAGCTTTTTGAAAGGTTTCGATCAGCTCAAGCTTGTCCCTCTTCCCCGGTTTCTGCAACGCCCAAACTTCGGAAGGCGGCGTATCCCCGTCGTAATTCCATTGGCTCCAAAAATAGTTCGAGGCTGCGTCGGCAAAGAATTGGCAGATGGGGCCGACTTGCTCCTCTTTGCGCTTCTTAGGTGGAAATGATTTCAAAGTATCCCGCAGCGTTTCCACCCCCTCGTGCAAGGATTTTTTGTGAAACCAATACTCATTTTGGCACGTCTCGCAACGCCGGTCCTCCGCATTGTAGTCTTTTTTCTGTTTCTTGCTGAAGTAGCAACCGCTTCTCTGGCAGCCGGCGCAGTAATTCGTGTCCTCGTGACAATATTTGTCGTCCGCGTGCTCTTCGCACGTTTTGAAGAATCCTAGTCCCGGAATTATCGGAAAATGTCCACCACAACCGAGGCATTGCGTCAATGCCGGATCATTCGCCGGGTGGAGCTTCATCTTCATGGAGAAATGTCCCTTGTTCGCCTTGACTTGTATTGAAATTGATAGATTGATAGATTATGTCTCAAGATCTTTAATTCTATCCGACCCCGACGTTGCACGTTTTAATTGTATTTTCTAACTACTGGTAACATGTACATCAAACAACGAACAGACGAACATGTCATCGTCCTTCCCCCGAGAAAAATGCATGTAAAAACGCGTCTCCTTCTTTCTGGTTGATGGTCTGACTCTGAGATGTCGTTGACAGCACATGCTCAGTAAATGAATCGAAAATCGTATCCGAAACTCCGAGTTTTTGCTTTTTCAATTTTCAAACGAGGGAGCAGCGCACCACGAGGACATGCATACAACAACTGGCCTGCTCCAGGGAGTATGAACTGCAATATGATTCTAGGGGCAGATGGCGGATCTTGTCCATCTTCTGAACGTGGATCTTCTGTCGGGTCCGGATCTACTTGCTCCTGCTCAACATCTTGATCTTCGTGATCATGATCCGAATCACAGACATAAAGTAAGACCTCTGAGGCAACCACAACGGAACGGGAACGCGGCAGATGATCTTGTTTGTGTTTCTTGGATCTATCGCCGCAAGAACGCAGACCCCAGCACTTCAGTTCGTGTCAACTTCATCACCATCACCACACACTCACACAGCACAGTATCTGACCCGCAGCTTTGCACACAGTCGCAAAAGCTTCGAAATCTTGACCTTCAAGATTTGGTACTAGGTAGAACAACTATGATCTTGATCTTGCCGGACCGAGGCCGCGGCCGTCTCTGGTGGAAACGCAGAGCAATACAGTTTCGTGTCAGTACAACTTAGACATAGACCCGAATGTCACATTCGGAATGTGAATAAGATGTCGACGTGCTTCACAGCGTTTCCATGGATTCAGTGGTGCTGTTGTGCTTTGCACCGCGAAGTAGCACGTGCTGTTCACAGGAAAAAACAACACCAAGAGCTAAAGGAGCAGCACTCTTGAGTATCATAATTCTGAAACTGTGGCCTACGCACTATGTATACTGCGACCAAATGCCCTCCCTCACACAGCCACCAGCTTATGATTAAACAGTGACGCAGGGTCTTCAATTAGAGCTTCCCTGCCCTCGTGCTGTTCGTCTTTCGGTGCGAATGGGTCTTTCCTCCGTTCTTCTTTCAGGGCGTTGAAGTTACCGTGCATGGTGATCTATGCATTGCAAAAGTATCGCACTAGTAGTATAAATTGCATTACAAATTTTGGCAAGAAGAGAAATGCAATTTGTGACGCTGTTTTACCTTAGGACGAAGATTTGTCATGCATATCAGCAATTAGTACGAGTACGATACTTTTGCACAGGATATGATCGCGCCGTAGACCGGGTGCTCCACTAGTGTACCGGGCTGCTTCCGCCAAATGCCCTCTGCGGGCTGTTTTTTTGATCGATTGATGTTGCGAAGGCAGAAACTTGCGATTGCGAAGCTACCTAGTAGCGTCAGCTGTAGTAAGTATCTGATGCCGAAGCCGACCGAGCTCAGGGAACGGGAAGCGCATAATTATGCTAGTCTTGCATGCCGAAACCAAAACTAAAACACAATGCTCATACCCTGCTAAATCCCGCCTGCTCTCGGGCGCTTTTGAAGACCTCCTGGCGGTATCTTGCTTCTTCGGTCAACTGGTTATCAAAGCGGACGATCGGGCCCCACCCGGGGAGTACCTTGTACATCTTCGAGTAGTAGCACCAGAGCGACAAAGTCACGAGCAGAAGAATCGCGCCGACGGCAATCCCGGTCCCGGCCCAGAGGATGCCGTACCCGCTGTACTTGCTCTCGATAAGAATCGGGACTTTTGTCATCTTGTTTTTATTTAGTTTCTCTTCATCGGCTACTAGGTAATCGCGCTCATCTTCTTCAGGCACGGTAGAACCGGGCTGCACGTCAGTCGTGCAGTCATCTAGAAGAAGCAACAAAAGATGAAACGTAAGATGAGTACTATTGCATCCTTTCTCTAGTTAACTATTCAAAACCGATATTCACTCGGACACCAACTCTGAGGCTCATCGTGGTAACTCGTGCATACAACAGGCACGATTCGTCCGGCCTACTGTACTTCCTTTTCCCTCAATGCCAGGGAAGTACTGTTTTTTGAAAACGCAACTCTTTTCCCTCGTTTGAGTTTGCTCGACGTTCGCACTGAGTTTTCTGAGCTTGTGCGAGCAGGAGCAGCAAAGGAGCTGATGATTCTGTGCTTTTTCAATTTTTGTTTTTCGGCAACGCACTCTCCTTTCTGGGGCCTCTCCGTCGTGGTCAGTGAACATCAAATTTCTGGAAAGGTTTCTTCATCCACCGTGGGACAAAGTCTACCTCTGCCCACCGTCGACAGAGGCCTTGAAAAGGCTTGAGCTTGTCGCCCATTGTAGTTCTTTCGACGTTTGATATCTACATAGCATACATGATACATTTCTTTTTTTTACGGATTGTCATTGCTTTTGTTCATATCGAAAGCTGACCATTTTTTCTTTTTGCCAGGTCTGTGCATGCTTTTTCTATTTTCTTTGATCTTGGTTGATACTGCTACTGGATCGACGGGTCGGCGGAACGGGGATCACGAAGCCACAATCAACAGACGGAGTACAACTTCTATATTTCGCAACGCGCTTTACATACTTAGAAACTACTGAAGCAGATCATGCATAACATATTCAAATGAAACAACACATACAAATCCAACCGATTCATTTCTGCAGCGATACGATACTGCAGGCGATTCATTCTTGGAATACAAATTTTCAACCGATTCTTGTTGCACAATGCTCACGAACCGACAAGGACATCAACTTCATCAAAATACAAGTTTACTAGACGATGGTCATGCTTTTCTATTCTAGAAGATCTTTGGAAGCCGTGGTAGCCTCGTCGCCCCCGGCACGGTAGCAGGTCGTGGCACTCCACATGGTAGAAGCAGCCAGGAGAGGGACTGCTAGTCTGGTGAAACCAGCGGCCTCGAGGAAGGGCAGAGGTAGAGCGGACGAAGCTGCACAAGGTGCACGACCGCGTCTTCTCCGAAGTAGAACTGGTACAACAAGTACATGTGGTCGCTGTTTTGATTCTACGTTCGAATCTACTCTACTCAGGAGAAGAGAAAAGTAGAACGAGCACTTCTGTCCCTCGAGTCAGTCTGTCATCATCTTCATCAAGTGCAGCGCAGAAGAATGAGTTCTTGTTGGCGCCTCTTCTGAAGACGTGATGTTCTCAGACTGTTGGATTTCGGTCCGGGGTGATGATGAAAGTGAAGTAGTTCAACACCAGCTTCCGCAGGTGAAGACGCAGGGCGACGCGAGGTGTCCAAGTCGTGCAGGAGAGGCGGAGTGACGGAATTGAATTTCCTCGCGGAAGACCCTTCCTAGAGCCTCTCTCGACATCCTGGAACCTTCCAAGCCGGGGCCATCGCAAGATCACCGGTCGTCGCAGCATCAGAAGTTCTGGCCTTGGTAGAACAGCGGCCACACTGGCGAACCACATGGTGAAAACAGGAACTTCAGTTTTCTGAGCCGCTGCTCCGAGCAGAATTGACACGACCAGGCAGTTGCGTCAAAATCGTGTTGACACCAGGCTCGCGAAGTTGAAACGGATTCACTTCTTCCCAACGGCAGGCCGAAGAGAGACTGCGTCTACTGTGCCAGCCGTACATCCGACACGACCAGCACCGCATGTGCAGACCAAGACTGACTCTTCTGCGGCGCCGCGCCACGGGCGCTGTCTTGCCCACTGGAGCTATAATCCAGATCGGCACCAACTGCAGGCCAGTGGACTTTGTGTGGGTGATCGTCCTTCTGCGACAACTCTGAAAGCGCAGAGGACGGTTGCAGAGTAGTTGGGTCTACCGCGAACAAAGGCATCTTACCCGCAATAGAACCCACGTGGACCTACCACGGCAGCAGCGCTTGCGCAGATCTAGATCTTCGCTTCTTCCGGATGCCAATACCACCGGGAAAAAGCGGAATTAGCGCTGCACCGGATGCTACCCGCCGAGGCCGACTTCGCTGGAATACGAATAGTACCCTAGTGCCGCGCTTCTGATTCTTTCCGCACCTCTCGTCCTGCACGTTTTTCCATGCGCACAGGCAAAGAACGGAACCAGGGGTAGATCAGGATCTGGGTGTAGTAGTACGAAGAGAAGAACAGTGTCAGCTTTTCTTCCACTAACTTGATCGCAACGCCGCCGTCGTTGTGCCTTTTGGTGTTATTTTTCATTTTCAAACTTCAACAATCGAAGAATTCGAGTTCGCTGGGTGGGTGGTCGCTTTGTTATCGCAACCTCGAAGTCACTTGGGAGCAAAAGCAAAAGGCTCCGACTCACTTGTTTCATGTTGGTCGTGTAGTCACAACTCTTCGTGGTTGTTCCGGTCGTGCTGCTCCCACAGACGCTTGAACGGAAGATTGTCCTGACTGGCAGTGGGGACGAGTGCAGGTGAACTCGTCTCAACACACTCAACGCAACATGATCCTCCGTCAGGATGGCAGAACAAGTGAAGTAATCCGCATTTTCTTCCTGAAGTCGTCGCTTTTCTACTTGTTCGCCGCTACAAGGGTTCGTTTTCGTCCTGGTCATCAAAAGTCATCACCGCTTCTTCAGGACGTCATCCACTTTCGCTTTTTTCGAGGCGCGCCGATTGTTCATGAACTCCATGTCCTCGTCAATTGCCCGCAACAACGCGTCCACCGGCCGGAGACTGATATCACTCCGCCCGAACGTCCGCGGCTCCCGCTCTTGTAATCGCAACAGAAACTCGTTCCGGGTCGATTTGTTCCGTGCCATGGCCTTCTGGTCCCAATAGGTCTCGCTGATCAAATTATCCTCGCAGAACGTGATAACGCGGAACTCCGAGATGCAGTGCTCAATCTTCTTGATCGCGAAATTCCACCAGGATTCCGGCGCACTGCTCGGGTCGCAAAAGTCGATCTGGTCCCAATGCTGTATGGTATGTTGCAGCGTCGGCGAAGGTCGTGCAGGTTCCTGATGTGCTGGTCGCTTGTTCGAAGCCGCAGAAGAAAGGAGGTTTTGTTCTTGAAACAGCGTTGTGACGTCCACCCCAATTGTCACGGACCGGTTGCCCGGTTGTGGTTGTGGGGCTTGTCCAAAACCCCTTGATCCTAGACCTAGTCGCATCTCCTGCATTGGCGGGGGCACCATCGACGCAGCTAAATCGCCCGAATTCCCGATCTGGTTCCTATGCAGTTGCTGGTGCGCACCACCTGGGTGCTGGTGGCCGCCGCCGGCGCGTGATAAGAGATACTGACGCAAATCCGCTGGTAGCCCGAACGCTGGAGATGTTGACAAAGACCCCCGGAGTTCATCATCCCTACAACCCATCTCCTCGTCGAACAGATCGTGCACGGATTTCTGGTTGAATATTCTCGTCAACTGGGTTATGGTCCTATCCAAGCTCACTCCGTCCACCTTCCCAAATTCAAAAGGCGCGTTTTTCTGGTTCTGGGCCATGCGGTTCACTTCCATCCAGACCTGCTGCAAGGTGTTGCTCCACGTTTTCTTCACGAACGCCTTCTCGTAGGGGAAAAACAGGCACCCGGAGACGTCAAACGCGTTTACACCGTCGTGCTGCCGGGGCGAGCTGAGGAAGAAGAGCTGCTGAAACCTCTGGATCAACCAGGTCCGGATCGCGACGGTGCGCAGTTCCGGGGTCTTGTGGTAGGGGGATTTCTGGTGATGTCTTCGGTGGGGTGCTTTGATCTCATTTTGTCTGCGAATTTGCATAGGAGGTGCATGATCAGCGGGTTCTCCTTCTTGTCGCCCTCGCTGCAGAAACACCGCACTGCTCTTTGTCGCTTGCTGCAAGGAAAATAATTGCTGTGAAGAACAATCATCTCCGTTGTCCGCATCTAGCAACTGCTGCTCGGAAATGGACGAACCTGGGTGGCTCTCGCCCTCTTCCCGACTTATCACGCTGTAGTTGTCGCCGGAAGGTCCTACTTGTTGCGCTGCTGTAGTTGTTGTCCCAGCACCATTCACATGAACTGCGTCGTCAGCGAACACCGCGTGCGCGATCGCGTCGGCAGCGATGTTTGCTTGCGTCGCGCCCTTTTCCAAAATTCCGCAGCAGGCCACGTCGAGAAAATCCGCGTTTTGCTCCAGTTGCTCACACAGGGTCAGTTTCCTCTTAGATAAAGACGCAGCATGATTTCCACCGCCCGAACAAGAACCCGTTATCCCTCTAGATGATGCAGAGGACGGCGATTTTTCTGCGGGCCAGAAATTCTCGCCAGACCGGAATATTCCTTGCTGTTCCTCTAGTTTCTGCAGCCCTTGTTTCAAACTTTCCTTGAGTCGGTAGTTGATCAGCTTCACGATCCGCTCGTTGTGTTCCAGCGCTTCTTCCATATTGCTCTTCGACGAGGAAAAGGCGGTCAGGTCGCTGATAAAATTGTTGCCGGAATGATTCGAATTGTAGGGACCACCTGCAGCTGCACGAATTGAGACAGCCGCACGACCCCTGGCAGCAGCAGCACTACTTCCGGTCGAGGTTCGCATGTCCGCGTCTTTGGAAGGGCGGTTGTTCGCCGTAGAACTACCGAAAATCTGCTTCTCTATCTGATAGTCGTCAAAGTCGTGGTGCAGGTAGTCGTTCTGGATTAAATCCGGCACGTTAGCAGCGGACAAGACGTAGAAGACCCGAACAGACTTCGCTTCCGTGCATGTGTACAAATCCGCCAGTTTCTGGCAGATGTGCAGGGGAATGGGCGGTAACGATTCTAACAGAAGTATCTGTGCGGGGTCCAAGGCCTCGGACAACACATAGCCCAAACTGTCGCACTTCCCGAGGTGGTTCTCCGAATAGAAGGGGGCTTCATTGCTAGTGCGCTGCTGTTGCTGGAGAAATGCGGCGGAAAAACCCAGTCTTTCCTGCTCTTCCGCCAGATCGACGTGCTTTTTCCGCAACAGGATCGCGCTCGCGCGGCGGTGGAGTTTCGCGTGGCGGTAGAATACATCCGCTAGGTACTTCGACGCGCCTTGCCCTTCCGCGCTGGAAGGCACGGAGAGCGTGTCGGACAGGTTCGCACCAGCATTGTGGCTATTTACGCGGTTGTTCAAATTGCCCGCATCTGCCAAGGCGGTCCGCATGCTATTGCTGATCACGTAGTGCTCGGCGTCGTTGGGAATGCAAAGCACGAATCTACGGTGGGTGATACAATTCGCCTCTCCGGGGGGCAGCGGGACTGAAAACTTCGGGGGGAGGCGATGAAGTGGCAGTGCTGCCTGTTGCTGTTCTCCATTCTGGGTTTGGTGCTGAAGCTGCTGCTGATAAAAATCTGGCTGCTGGTGTTGAACAAGGTGACTTTGTTGCACCATCGCAGGAAGCAGGTTCTGGTCCATGTAGGACATCTGCGTCATCTTTCTCCTCTCGGAGTACGGCGACCCAACTCTTCGCTTCGCGGAGCTTGCCGCACCGGGGGAGGACAGGAGAGAACCGTTATTTTCGTGGGATGGGGTGGAGGACGGAGGTTGCTGCTGCGGTATTGTTTTTCTTACCTGCTGGTGGTGGTATTGCTGGTCAACATCTTGGAGCATCAAGAGTTGCTGCTGCTGGTCTTGATCTTGAATCTGCAGCTGCGCTTGCCCCATTTCGTTGAACGAAGGATGATGCTGAACAGCACCGTATGCAGCTGCTGCTTCCACCGCGGCGGCCGAGTTTGTGTCCGCGCTTGCGAATATCAACTGTAAAAATGTCTGGGTCTGGAAGAATCCAACTTGTCATGCTGATTTTGGATTCTAAAAAAATCTGTATTGCATGAGCAGCAAAGACAGTCCCAGTTTTGCTACACGGAAAGAGCATTTGTCATGCTGTATAGGCATCAGGAGGCCCTCACAAAATCTGTGATGCTAGGGCATGCATCACAGACGTCAGGAGTCATGCAAAATGTGCATGACAAACCTGGCAATCTTCCAGACCCAGACATTTTTACATTTGATAGCGAACGTGTCGAGACAGTACCTCAACGTTGTCCCCATGGGCAACAGTTTTTCCACACGATCCAACTGCGACCGCAGCAACAGCCCACCAATCGCCCCAATCCCCGGCGTCGTCTTTTCCAACTGCCGTCCGTAGAACTGCGCCACCTGGTCGTCGATCCCTCGCCGTCGCTTCCAAGAATTCGATGAATTCGCGATGAAATTATTGGGTTTGTTCATCTTGCGCCCACTTCCCGGAAGGAGAAGTTTTAACCCCTGAAACTTCTGGTGCTCGTGGGTGCCGAGTCTTTTCTTCTTCTCCATAAAGAGGCTCTTCCAATTCAAAAAGCACGTCCTCCGTCTCTCCACGTCGTGCTTCGCCGCCATCTCGGAGAGTCGCTGCCAAGTGGCTTCCGGGAGGTCCGCGAGTTTGCGCTTCTTCGTAGTTCTCTGCTTTTTTGTGGTGGCGAACGCCGGCGGCTGTTGCTGACCAAATGGTGCAGCAGGAGCGCCAAAAGGACTGGGATTGTTTGCAGCGCCGAAGGGGCTGCTGGTCGTTTGGGGCAGGAAGGGCGACGGGTTGGTCGCGCCGGGCTGGAACAAGTTGGAACTAAATTGCTGCTGCTGGACAAACATTTTTGCGAAGGGGTTATTGACGACTTGTGGTGGCTTCTTCTCGCCCTGCTCGCTCGCGTCCGCGGCTTGGGTTGCAGAAGAAGCTGCTGCCGGAGCCGCGAAGATGTTCGTTGATGATGAGGTCGCTGTACCAAAGATGTTAGTGCTTGAAGACGAACTCCAACTCGCCTGGCCGAAGAGCCCACTTGCCGCCAATCCTGTACCGCTCGACGTCGCTAGAGCACTACTACCCTGTGGTCCACCCGCAGCGGATGTTGAACTACCTGGTGCTACTGTTGGGAACTCAAACGGAGCCGGTTTGGTTTCTTTCGGTCTATCGTTTTCCTCGTCCTCGTCCACAGAGGGTACGCTCATGGCGTCGTCCGCCACTCCGGCACGGGAGGAGGTCCGCTGGACAACTGAAGACTGTCTTCCATGATCTTCGTCTTCAGCCGGTGTGGAAGGCGCACTGCTGCTGCTGCTGCTGCTCTCACTGTCTTCGTCGTCGAGGTTCCTTGAGGACGCCGCTGCAACCGGTTGATTCATCCCGCCCGACAGAATAGACATCGTCCGTTGCTGCGCTAGTGAACTACCTGCTGGCACCACGATCGGCGAACTGCGCAGCGAAGCGGCCAGCGCGAGGTGTTGACTACTCTCGTGCTCTTGTCGGGACGACCTTCTGGACGTGACGATTGGAACCTCTTCGTCTTCTTCCGCTCGTCCTCGTTTTTCCCTGACAACGTCTTCTTTGTCCCACACTCCCTCCACAATCTCCTTTCTCGTCGCACCCTGCTCCAGGGCCTCCGCGAGCAACCGCCAGCAGTGCGCGTCTCGCCGCTGCGGAAAGGATATTTTGTTTTTCCACTCGCCCTGCGTGGGAAACTTCCCCGCGAGTAAATAGCTCAAGAACCGGTCCTCACAGCGCTGGTAGGCGTCTTCGTCCTCCCAGTCCTGCGGGCTGTAGGACTCCTTCGCCGGGAACCGGACAAAGGTACGGAACGCTTGCATATCGATAGTACCAGCGTTATTTCTGTCTGTATTTTCTTGCTGTTGCTCCATCAGATCTTTATCCAATTCCGACTCGAAGTCCGCGTAGATCAGCTCCAAGCCGAAGTGCTGCACGAAAAAGCAGCAGCTCTCAAAGTCGGGCAACACTAATTGCCGCATCAAATTCGCGATCGACACCTGCTCCCACATCCGCTCGTTGAAGCACTTGCAGAGCTGCATCAGCACCATCAGCCGCGCGTAGTTCGCGGGCTGGGAGAGCGCAACAGCGGTGAGCAAATCCGCCTGCCCGTAGTACTCCTGGAGGAACCCAGAATAGTCCCGGGTCTGGAATGAGGAAACGGTATGCATTGCAAAACTAACGTACTAAGTAAGTAGAAACTGCATTACAAATTTTCTCACGAAGAGAAATGCAATTTGTCATGCGTGTTCGTATAGAAACTTGGATTTGTCATGCACGGCTGCAATTACTACGAGTACGATACTTTTCCAGTGGATAAACGGCGGAAACCGCCCACTGAACGAGCGGGCTCTCCAACAGGCAGTCCTCCAGCTTCATCTCGTATTCGCAAACCTGATATAATTTTTGTGTTTATTGACAACGTTAATGACATTGTATTGTAACCTCCTCGTCCTACGCGTTCCGATACTAGTAGGCACATAGTAGCTCAATTGTATTTGCTCTGTTGCTGGTATATGATCCCGCCTGCAAAATAGTCGTGCTTCCGTTGATCATTGCATCAAGATGAAGATTCTAATTATTGCAGATAGATATAGCTTTCTAATACCTTTGTCGCGTCCCAACAGAGCCAGCATATCATCAGCCTGGTCATGAAGGGCATGGTACTTCTGCAGATCTCGCCGTCGCTCTGTTCCAGCCACTTTCGGTAGATCTGCGTCAGCGGGTCGGCGCACTGGGAGACACTCTCCAGAAACGGCCCGAGGTCCGCCTCGCCCAGCTTCGAGTCCTCGTGGTGGAGTAGGAGAAAGAACAGCAGTTCGGAACGTAGATTTTGCTCGTGGAAGAGCAAGCTCGAGGGTTGGTAAAAGGACAAAGGCTGCTGGGTCTGGTAGTCCACGCGAATCCCGCGACACCGGTTCCGCAAAAACCCGTACACTTCTTTCGTCGACGCATCGACGGCGAGGGAGGAGAAAATCGGTTTTGGGTTTTCGTCCGCGTCTAGCACGTATTCCCACATGAATTGCGCGGACATGTGCAGCGCGTCAAAAGTGCGCAAGTCCTCCGCTTCGTAGGTTCTTTCTGCCGCGGAACGCTGGTACTGTTTCACGCAAAGGTTGTAGTCCGCCGTCCCCTCCAACATGGAATTTGAGCCTTTCGTCACCTCGAATTTTGACAACTGCTTGGTCTCCGTCCGCAGCTCGGCTTCCTGTCGGGAGCACTTGGAGGTGAGTTCGCCGACCTTCGATTCGCCCTCGAGGTAGTCCGGGAGTTCCGGAGCCCAGTTCGCAACCTCGTATCGGTTGGAAATTTGTCCGGTTTTTCTCTTCACGTTTTTTCTCCGCTTCAGCGTTGCCGGAGAAATTGCGGAGGCGCGGTTGTGGTTGATGTAATTCTGTTGTTGAGCAGAAGGCGTCGTTTGGTTGACATTACTTCTCTGCTGCACGGCCTGCTGTTGGCTTATTTTTCGTCTGGCTTTCGCCGCCTGGAGTTTTGCCAAAAGCGATTCTTTCGTCATAGAAGTTGTGGTGGTACAGGTACTCGAAGAAGACACTGCTTGATGTCCACCGGCGCCGGGGGCGGTCCTCTGTAATTGCGACGCGGCTGGTGCACTGGCAGGAGGTCCAGCTGTTCTTTCTTCCCCCAGCCCCATCATCGCGTTCTGGTTCTTCTTCGGCTTGAGGTTCAGATTCTGACTCGCCTGCCCGACTGGAAGTTCCTTCGCGACGACGCTCTGTTTTTCTTGTTTCTGCAAGGACGGGCTGACCCATTCGACGTTTCTACCCGACGCAATCGTCGATCCGTAGGGGTGGTAGCCCCATTTGCCGCCGTTCATGTGGTTGCCACCTTTGGTCGTGGTCCCGTTTTTTGTACCTTTTGAGGAAGATGAAGCAGTAGACACGACCGTAGGATCATGACGAGATTGCTCGCCTGGAAGCAGATTGCGATTGGTACTAGCAGTACTTGGCAGGTTTGGAAAAAATGTACTCGAAGACCACGATTTATGTTGCGAACCTGCTGGAGTTAATCTTAATATCCTATTTCCCTTGCCTTTGCCTTTGTTCTGCTGCACATGCTGGTTCTCCTCTTCCTCCGGGGTAGACGACTCTACTTCGCCATTCCACTATCAAAATGAAAAATCCCCCCCACCCCATATCAAAACGAAGTTTGTGATGCTGGATTTGCGTACACAAATCAGATTTGTCTTGCTGGAGAGGACTGCAGGCCCATGCCAAGCCTGAGCAGAGAGGTTTTGGGCTAGGCTCTTAGCATGAGAAACGTCTGCGCTGTAGGCCCAACAGCATCACAAACCGCCTGCATAATACGGCGGTTGTCTGTGCAGTTGCCTTCTTGCAAGACAGAGATGATTTGTGGTCGCAAATCAGCATTGCAAATTTTCTGCTACGTACCTTTTCGATATGGGGAGGGGGGATTTTTCCTCACAATATCCACTCGCCGTTGTTCTCGTCCTCCTGCCATTCTCCGTTGTCACCGTCTATCAAATGTAAAAATGTCTGGGTCTGGAAGAATGCAACTTGTGATGCTAAATCTGCAGCATGCAAAAATCTGTGTTGCATGATTACCAAAAGTCGCCCAATTTTGACCAAGTCGGGAGGTAGTTTCCCATGCAGGATAGGCATTAGAAAGCTCTTGCAGAATCTGTCATGCTAGCTCCGGCATTCCAGACCTCATGGGTCATGGAAAAGCAGCATGACAAATCGCGCATTCTTCCAGACCCAGACATTTTTACACTTGATACCGTCCCACTCGTCGCCATTCCAGTCCTCATCCCACTCGCCCCAGGTTTGTTCGCCGTTGCCTTGCCAGTTCGCCATGATTTCAAAGGGAAAAAGACGGAGACGATGGCGACGTGAAGTGAATATGGGTCGTCGTCGTCGTGACGTGAAGAGAGTTGTAGGTCGACGAGTAGTAAGTACCCGGGATCAGGAACTTCTACGGGTTGCCTTTTGTTTGCGAAGCGACTGGAAATCTGCAGTCAATGCCATCTTCATCTCGACATCGTGTTCCTGTAACATCGCTATTTTAGTAACGTCCAATAAGAATCCCAAACGTAAAATGCGGTTTTAATAGAAATACTCTGCGTCTACTACCGGTAAATTTACATGATCTGGTGGTGCTGGAAAGAAAAAAAATAGTGAGACGGTGACGGTCGTGACACAAATACAATTTTCACAAGTAGGGACTTCCTTTCGGCGATCACATAATTCTGTAGCAACTACATTTGTCGCCCGTAACCTAAAAATGCTCAAGCTCTTCTCCTTTTCGTTTTCACATGGTCTTGCTTGTTCGCTGATAAGAAGAGAGAGTGGTGAGAAAATGGAAAGTGATATTTTCGTATTTTTGTTTTGTGTGAAAGTGGACTTCTAAATATAACATTTTCATCGGCGATATCGAGAAATTCGCAAAGAATATGGCGCCGGTGCGACAGTTCGAATTTCAAATACTCCCATGATTTCTATCACTTTGCGCGGAACTCGGGATAAGATCTATATCTGTCTGACTAGCAGAGCCAGGTCTTTTACATCGAGGTTGATGAGGAACATGAGTAGAGAAATAGTGAGTAGGTTTTTGTGCGTTCTTGTGAGATTTGAAGCAGCAGCTTTTTCTTTTAGAGAAATTCTTTCGGCAATTTTGCCGAATGGTTGACAACTTTCCTCGCTGATTTCTATTTCTGCTAGCTTTTATTCATCTTCTTCATCACGCTCTGTTTTCACTTGATAATGATACTGTGCAAAGCGGCTTTTTTCGATTCTAAAGTCAGCAATTTCGTCTTCTTTCTGTACAATGTTCGCGACAGCAACTGTACAAGAGTAAAACTGAAAATATCAAAGGCAATCAATCTCCTTCTGGCGTACTAGACGAGTAGACAAAGAATGGTCATCAAGTTCAAGAGGGCGTGTATGTTTGTCGAGGTTGTTTAAAGGTCCCAAATGATCGCAATCCCACTCGGTCCTACTGGGCCACTCAAAATAAAGGAATGATGTTAAGTACTTAAGTAATGCGTGAAGTCACATTAAGCTAGGACAAGAATAGGATGCGAACTATGCACCGCAATGCGCCGCTGCATCAACTGACAAAATTGTTGGTCGTGCGTGGTTTCTTTTTCTTTTTTTTACCTTTCGTTTCTTCTACTGATAAATAGCTGCGGAAAAAATTCTCCACCGACCGGGTCTTCCTCCATAGTGGAACAACAGTGCACGAAACGCTGCTAGCACCACTATGGACAAGCAAGACTGAAAGTTAACTTCGTCGCATGAAATGGTTGCGCTCTTGTTTTTCGTCTGAGCAGCAGTTGTTACTTAGCATCCATCGTGATCATAAATGAAATAAGTGCACATGAGTGATGAAATGTATGGCAGATGACAAAAGCTCTAGGAAAGACATGACATGTTGTTGCACCAGGGTGATATATGCATATTGGTTCGAACATTTCCTCTGTTCAGTCGTGTCTTTCATATTGATTTTGGTATTGGTTGCTGTTGCATTTGCTCGCATCTATCACGAAAAAATTAAAATGTGAGCACTAGTACCTCGTTGTGGAGTGCCAATATTTACTGGCAAATTTACAGACTACTAGTTTCTCCTTCCCTTTTCCCCCTAGTGTCTACTTGCACGATTGCAAGATTGGAAAATGTTTCTCATGCACAGCCCCAGGAGAGCCATTTTCTAAAAATGCTATCTGGAAGAAGTTTGGGATGTTGGAGTCAGAATGCTGAGCTACTCGGTTTGTGATGCGTCTGCACTAACTCAAAAATAGCACTGCGGCGGCGGCGGTGCGGTACGTATCTCAATGGGATCGGGCCCCAGTGCGCCCGCATGAAAAAAAATTAATTCCCAGAGAAGTAAATGGAAATCTTTTACGTCCAAAAACACTTCCGGCCGCTTGACAGCTGCCGGTCGTTTTGGATAAGACATGGCAAAAAGATCGCTAGATTAGAACGTTCGTGGTTCGTGACCTCACTACATATAAGATACAGTTGAACCTCCTCACTCCTGACGAGTTTCGGTTTTCGATTAGTTAAGTACATGGGTATAAAGTAGGTTTTTCTTCATCAGGGTTACATCTACACCTCCTCCGCGATCTTCTCGATGATCCCCGTCAGTTTGTCGTAGTGCACCCCTTGCACGCCGCACAAAGTGACCGCTTCGATCTCCCCTCCCGTCGTCGTCGCTGCGTCCGCTCCGCTGGTGTTCTCCGCCATCGTATCAAAAGGAAAAATCCCCCCTCCCCATATCGAAAAGGTATACTTCCGAAAATTTATGTTGCTGATTTGTGACCACAAATTGGATCTGTCTTGCAAGAAGGCACGCTCAGGGTGTCCGCCACGTTATGCGGGCGATTTGTAATGCTGTAAGGCCTACAGGGTGCCCGTCTACCATGCTAGGCGCCTACACCAAAAGGCCCCCGCCGAGGTTCAGCATCTCCGTGCATTCCTCTTCTGCAACACAGATTTGATTTGTGTACTCAAATCCGGCATCAGAAATGTCGTTTTGATATGGGGAGGGGGGATTTTTCCTTTTGATACATCGTAGCGACGTCCGCTGCCAACAGCTTCAAAGGCGTTTCCAGCGTGTACTCGATATACCGAATTAAGCGTCCCAGTTCGAAATAACGGATTTAAGCAGCCAGGGTTATGCTCATGCGTTCTAAAAACTCGACGAATTTTTGAACTTTTTTCTTTTCGTTCAGGCAACAGGATAGGCAGCGGGGGCCTTGTTGGTTTTATATATTAACGCAGGCCAGTGGGAAACGGGGTCTACGCATCAATTTAGGCGGTGAAAAGGCGACGCGACCGGGGAAGCTCTATCTTGGCGCGCTTCCCGCGCCATGTGCTCCCGCATACCGCAATCGCTCCCGAAGGGTGCCCACAACGTCGGTCCTTTCGAGAACAGAAAAAACGCCACTTCCCCTGAAAGAAAAAACGCCACTGGAGGCCCCCCGGAAGCCCCCCCCTGAGGCCCCCCCTGAGGCCCCCCCTGAGGCCCCCCCTGAGGCCCCTTCTGAGGCCCCTTCTGAGGCCCCCCCAAAGCCCCTCCCGGCGGCTCCTTTTCCGTTGCCGCGCGCAACAGCAAAACAAGCTCCCCCGGACGGGCCAAAGAGTCGCGCGAGTGAACATTGCCCCGCGCGAACGCCTCGGCGGGTAACTTCTGGAAGTGCTCGGCCCGGCTGCCCGGGATTGCACAACTCAAGACCTGACCCCGAAGTCAAAGAATTAAGGCCCACACAAGATGGCGCCCCGTCTTCTTCGGTTGGCTTCCAACTGCCTTATGTTCTTATGGGTGCGCTGCTGCGTGATGCGCCATGTTTTTTGAAGAGCCAACGCTACCCCTATCCCAGCCTCTTCGCTTCCTTCGCAGGGGGCCTAGCCCAACAGTCTTAGTGAGCATTTTGCCGTATACTCGCTATCTGCTTGCAAAAGGATCAAGCTCAAGAAAGGGTCGCCCATCAGGGCGACCCGTCTTCTTGTAAACATAAAGCATGTTTTTGCATCGGGTGAGGAGTAGTCGCGCCCCGCCCCCTTCTTGAAAGCCGAAACCAGTTGGCTTGTTATTCTAATTCATCATTCGCATTCATCATTTGAGTTCATCACTCGCTTTCCTCATTCGCATTCCTACTTAGGGCAGCAAGAAAAACACTCTGAAAACAAAAAAAAGCCTGCCAGACTCGCCTGCTTTGCCACCCCCTAACCTGTTTTATAGCATAACCGCAGTGCTTATTTCGAACTGGGACGCTTGAAGCTGCCAAAAGCTTCAACGGCGTTTCCAATTTGTAGGGTTCGCTCTGGATCACCTGCAACACCTTCGGAAGAACACCGCGCAACATATTCTGCTGCTCCTTGTCCTGCTTCAGGTACGTTTCGTACTCTTGGATCGCGTCTTCGACGGTGGCAGGACGTCTTCTAGCGAAGATGTTGGACCACGACGACTCCGCGGCTCCACCAGCTGTCAGCAGCGATTGTAACGACGGAAAGCCCCCCAACACGCCTGGTTCATCTTCTGTGGTGGACGAGAAAGCTCCCTTTGCCCACTGCAGATACACCAAATTCTCCATCTCCGGCAGTGACAGCGATCCTTTCTCGTCCGCGCTGTGGTCGTGGGTGCCTTTCACCAGCTCAAAGTCCGCCGTCCGCGCGATATCAAAATGAAAAATCCCCCCTCCCCATATCAAAAAGGAAATTTGTGATGCTGATTTGTGACCACAAATCAGCTTTGTATTGCAGAGAGGCACTGCGGCCAGATCCCCAGGCTAGCTAGGGGCGTATGGGTCTAGTAGTTCAGCATGGCAAGCGCCCCCCTTTAGGCCCAACAGCATGACAAACCGCTTCGATAATGGGGCGGAAGCTTCTGTCCTTGTCTTCTTGCAAGACAGACATGATTTGTGACCTCAAATCCGCAACAGAAATTTTTGGAAACATACCTTTTCAATATGGGGAGGGGGGATTTTTCCTCTCAATACGCGACTCGCTGCAACCACGGTGCCAAGAAGTAGCGCATCAGAACGACCTTGCGTTGCGGCGTGCCGTACTTCTGCTGGTACGCCTCCCACACCGAGGGCCACTTTGCGACGGGCTGCTTGGCCCCGTTCAGCGCTTCGTGAAAGAACGCAAAATTGGCCGTGGTTGCGATGTTGTACATCTTCTCCCTGGAAAAGGGCACTCCATCGATTTTTTCGATTCCGGTGATCACCTTGCCCGTGCCGATGTTTTTACCGCGGGTCGCGACACGTGGAGTGAATCTGAAATCCACGCGTGCCATGTCGAGGTCGAGATAAGCGCCGTCGTTGAACTTCGTATCCGACTGGAGCCTCAAAGCGTCCTCCAGCGCCCCGCCGGGCACGGCGAGAAAATACGTGATGAAGTTGGTATATCAAATGTATTAAAAATGTCTGGGTCTGGAAAGTTGGAACTTGTGATGCTAAGTTTGGACTCTAAAAAGATCTGTATTGCATGACCAGCAAGAGGAGCCACATTTGTGCTACGCGAGGAGGGCATTTGTCATGCGGAAATGGCATCAGGAAGCTTTCCAAAAATCTGTGATGCTGGGTCATGCATTACAAGCATCATGGGTCATGCCAGACGAGCATGACAAGCCTTCCATTCTTCCAGACCCAGACATTTTTACATTTGATATGGTATCGAAGGCGAACACGTCGGCGAGGAGCTTGCGCGTGATCGTCTGGTCGAGCGCGATGCTCTGGTCGGCGAAGGGGGGCGCCATGCCGCGCATAAAACCACTGTGCATCACGAGGAGGGTCGGGTAGGTTTGGAATGCTTTCTCCTCCTCCGAGCCTTGCGCGTAGAACGGACACTTTTTGCCCTTGTCGCCCTGCACGCCGCGCAAATACCACTCGCTGATCAGAGTCAAAAAGGCAATCTGGTCGATCCGCTCGTTCTTCTTGCTCCAAGAAGAGAAATAGCTCCAGACGGGGTCGGGGCACTTCGTTGTTAGCGAAGGCGTGCAGAGGTTCGGGTCCTTCGCCTCATTCCTCTTGTTCAAGTCGTCCAGGAGCGGACGGGTGGCTGCAGCGGGCATTAAGGCGTAATCGCTCGATTGCATCACCTTCATCAGATTGTCCGTGAGCCGCAGGATTTTCACCACGTCCTCTCGCGTGTCGGCGTCTTCGATGATCTTCGCCACGTTGTCTAGGTTCAAAGTTTCGCTCTGCTTCGGCTTGAACATGCTCTTCAGAGCGCAGTCGTTCTGCCACGCACCTGAAATAGAAAATTTAAATTCTTAGCTTGTTCCATATTGTTATTGTGCTGATGATGTTAATCGTGCGGCGGCAAACGCCTTCGGTTTTTGCCTTCTTCGACCAGCATCGGAATATCTTTATTCATGGGGTTCCTGTACTGATCTTGCGTAATATCTTTATTCATGGGGTTCCTGTAATCGGCGCACCCCGATGTTGTTGTTCTGATAGATACTGATTACGATTGGTCTACCTGTGTTGGGCTGCTTCTTCCTCGGACGGAGGACTCGAAAAAACTACTACAACTGCTTCACTAAATCATAGAAATCACAATATCACGCGGCTGCACCTTCTGTGAGCAATTCGATGTCGCACACGATCAGCTCCTTCGCGTCCATGCTGGTCTTTACCAGAATCTTAGCAGCCGTCTGCAAAAAGAGCGTCTCGTGCGAGTGTGCTGCCAGCGCTAAATCCGCTCCCATAACTCCGTACGGACAGTTACCCGCCTCCTGGTTCTTTGCAGAACAGAAAAACAGCTCGTCATCTTTGTCCGACTGGTGCGTGAGTGCCAACTGAAACATGTTTTTCTCGTTTTGTACCTTCTTCACTTGCCTCGTCAGCTCGGAAAAAAACAACAAATGTTGCTCGGCGCGCGGTTTGTCTTGAAACAAGCCCTTGTTCGTTTCGCCGCCCACCGCCACGAAGAACGGCCAGGCCGTGGCCGCTTGCGAATAGCCCGTCTCTGTGTAGCAGGCCGCGAGCAGGGTCATCGTGAAGTTATTTTGCGGGTAGAACGGCTGCAGAATTTGGACGGGCATACCCTGCGCGGCCATTCGTCCCCCGGCAAGCGGTCCTTCCGTAATCGGGATATTCTCCCACACAACGCCCGTTCTTTCCTTTTTTCCAAAAGCAGCAGGCTCGCTCAGCTTCGCGAAGGCTTCGACAGAGGCGAAGCTCGCCGCCGCAGGCCTCCCCAAAAGTGCCGCGTCTTCCTTATCCTGAGCAAAAACGTCCCCACCCCAGAGTCAAGATGGGGAATCCGCTAGACAAATCAGCCACCTCTGGTTGTTTCGCATTACAAGTTTATCCTCGTAGTGTAATCCTGTTTAGCTAGTTCCGAAGCATCACAAAACTAGCATATCATGCTGATTCTAGCATTACAAATTCCGAAACAGGATCAGAAAATGGTTCTCATGGGGCTCCGCATGAGAAACTTTTTTGGCATGCAGATTTGCATGACAACTCTGGTGTGGGGACATTTTTACTCAGGATATTCCTGGTACTTTTTCGCCCGGTCCAAATTGACGCCGAAATTGTTGTTCACGAAAATCCAGTATCCTGTGCAAAAGTATCGTACTCGTATGGCAATCATGCATTACAAATATTTTTTTAAAGGGAAACCCGCATTACAAATTTCACTTCTCATGGTGAGGAAATTTGTAATGCATTTATACGAGTACGATACTTTTGCAGTCCATATCCAGGGATAAGACGCGTCCTGCGTCAGTTTCTCCAGCCTCTCAACGAGGACTCTGAGGCCCGGGTCGAATTCGTGATTGCCTACAGACACCAGGCGGTAGTCCGCCTTCGAACCGAGGAGGAGGAGCTGCTCGACGAGCGTTGCGCCAGCGTCGAAGTTCACATGCGCACCGCCGCCGAGAAAGTCGCCCTGGATCTATCCTGAGTAAAAACGTACCCACACCAGAGTTGTAATGCAAATCAGCATGCTGAAAATGTTTCTCATGCGGAGACCCATGAGAGGCATTTTCTAGTCGTGCTTTGGAATTGGAATTTGTGATGCTATAATCAGCATGACAAGCTAGATCTGTGATGCTGCTGAACTACCTAAACAGGATCACACTACGCGGGCAAACTTGTCATGCGAAACAACCGAAGCTGGCTGATTTGTGTAGCAGATTTCCCATCTTGACTCTGGTGTGGGTACGTTTTTACACAGGATAGGATCGAGAAAATCACGATCGTGTCCGGGTTCTCACGACGAAAAGTGGACATTTCCGCCATCACGTAGGGCATGCCGAGGTCCAGCAAATACACATCGTTGATGGAAAAAATACGCACACGACGTCGGGCCGTCGCCGTCGCAGGTTTGTTCTCCGCCATCTTCATCTCTTGCTCCGCGCCACCAAATAAGACTTCGGGGGCATCAGCAGGACGAGGGTGCATCGTCAGAGCCTCCGTAGTGGGAAGGAGCCATCTTCCCAGGTGGAGAAGTGCCGTGGCGGTGATGCCGCGAAACATCATCATCACAAAGAAGTATAGTAGAAGAACGTCCGCAGTGATCAATAAATATTGCGGCCACTTCGTCTGAGATTTCTAGTCTTGACCTTGAGTAAGAGTATGTTGAGTTTCAGTCGCCCTCGCCGCAAGGACAACTATAAATCCTGAATTTGTACTTTAAGAAGAAGCAGTAGCAGAAGCAGGCTTGTAACGCCAGTTCGCTTCTAGCACTAACTTAAGTAGAAAGCCGATTCGCGAGTGGAGTGAACTGATGCCATCCAACACTGTTTGAAGTCGAATAAAGCCGCGCGGATAAAAACTTGGAGGAAGGTATAAAAGAGGGGGCAAATTGTACATCGCAAAAAAAAGGTTCCGATCACGACCTTGCTTCCAGTGCAACCGATCGACCGCATTTTTCACGCATCTTCGCAACTTCCGAATACCACCGAGTAAGTACAGCATCGAGGAAGACCGAAGACCGAGCATACCGATACCACCGAGTTTTTCGCGTTCTTCTTTCGACATTTGTTTAGAGCTTTAACACGCGTTAGCATGAGACGTGGCGAATCTCTAGTGAATTTTGCATGACAAATAGCAGAGGAGACTGCCGGGACATTGTCCCTCTCGCCCTTCTGGGAAGAGCGTTCTGCACACCGCAGAACTCGCCGGCTATGCGGCAGGCAGCTGGACATGGCCTGGGCGTCGTTCTTTGGCCTTGTCTTTTCGTCTTCCTGTGCTTGCAAAAGAGTAGGCACTGCAGCAGCCGTGGCAAAGACGCCAAAAACAAGAGCCGCGAAGCACATACAGTTTAGGCAAGATGAAGGCGCGAGAGCAAGGGTGAAAGGACCCGGCCGAGAGCTTTGACGCGTCTATCCGGCGGGCGCGTGAACTCTCCAGGCATTTTCGGCAGAATATAGAGGCGCTAAGGGCAACAGCGGGCGCCTGTCTTTTCCCCTCGGCCCCACTTCCCAGGGTCTACCTGTGCGTTTTTTTAAGCACTTTTCTGCGCTAAACTTTGCTTATAACGGTCGAAAAGTGGCGCTCGGTGAATTTTGGGGTGAATTTTGGAAAGGACGCCGGTGAATTTTGTCCTCCGCTTCCTGTTCAAAATGCGCTGGCGCCTGAGAAACTCCGGGTTTTGGGGCTTCCAGAAAGTGTCGCAAAAACAAAAAGCCTTAAAATTCACCAAGGGAATTCTTGACCTGGGGGTCACGTCGAATAAGACTTGCTCCGGAGGCAAAAAACAGCTGGGGAGTTGTAAGCCGAGTAAGTACAGCATCGAGGAAGACCGAGCAACCACGAGGAAGTTGCGTTTTTTCATTCATCTACTGAAGCCCAGTACGAGGACGCTTTTTGCTACACATGGAGACCGAGTATCTCTTTGCGCGGAACTCGGTATAAGATCTATAATCTTTCAGTACATTCGTAATTAGCAGAGCCAGGTCTTTCACATTGCGGTTGTGGTTGATGAGGAACATGAGTAGAGAAATAGCGAGTAGCTTTTTGTGCGTTTCGGCATTTGTGTGATTTTGAAGCAGCTGCCTTTGGACAAATTCTTCTGGCAATTTTGCCGAGTGGTTGACTTTCCTCGCTGATGGAGTCTATTTCTGTTTTTATTGATCTTCACGCTCTGTTTTCACTTTATACTGTGCATCTTTTTTCGATTAAGTCAGCAATTTCGTCTTCTTTCCGTACAATGTTAGAGACAACTTCTGGCTCTGACAACACGACTTTACAAGAGTAAAACTGAAAGTACTAAAGGCAATCAATCACCTCCTGGCGTACTAGACGAGTAGACAAAGAATGGTCAAGAAGCTTAAGAGGGCGTTTAAATGCCCCGAATAGCTGCATGACCTTCTCTGGAAAAGAAAACACTGCGGCCAGCTCCTGCCTCCCGCATACCGGATAAGGAGCATGATCTCGACAACCAAAAAGTAAGAAACATACAAGAAAAAGAATGTGGAAACTACGACCTCCACTGAAAACAAGGTGAAAAAACGGAAAAATAACGACTCGCTCCCCATCCTCCGTTGCTACTATCTTCATCATGTGAAGATTTTAGATTTAGTTATCTCCGATATTTTCCTGCGATTCGCCCTTCAAATTGCCTTTACTGACCGAGGTCAAGAGAAAATGCCGATACTGTCGCATCGCGGAATCGGCCTGCGAGACTAACAGATTGACGTTCTTCTGCTCGGCGTCGACTTTTTTTTTCACCGCCTTCTGCTTACTACTGGTCCTGGGCGTCATATCCAGGAAAAAAACTGTGTAAGTGTAACTTTGTAGGAAGAGCAGCATCACAAATTCGTTTTGCATTAAAGGGAAAACCTGTCATGCGCAACTAGTACGTGGAAACACGTATGAAAGTGGCCTATGACGCACATCCAGCATGACAACCGTAACAGTTTTGTATTTCCTGCATCACATATTTACGCTCACATCGTTTTTTTCTTGGATACGTCAAGTCTCTCATCCGCATCTCGTAGCTATCTTCGCGGGAGGCAAACAGTGCCTCCAGGAACGGACTGCCGTCGGCAAGCGTTTTTCGGCAACTATCCAACTTCCGCAACTCATCGACCAGCATGATCTCCTCGCGCGAACACATCATGATGCTTTTCCGTGCCTTCTTCTGCGCTCGCTCCGTCCGACCTTTGCTGTACGCCGCGGAAAATTCCAAGCCTAGCTGCGTGGTGGGAAGTGCAACGCAAAGGAGACCGGTGATCATGGCGAAAGCTGAATTTTGTATTTATCATGATCGTTGGTGGACTTCTACTTGAGTCGGGTGGATATTTATACATGAAGTCCGCGTGAACAAAAATTTCTTCGAGTTTCAAAATTCTTTCTTATTTTGAAAAATCATAACCACGCATGTAGAAAAATCATAATCATGTACAGTCCTAACCCTAAGTAAAGTCTCAATCAGCAAAAGTGATAAAAACAAAGACGCATCAAAAATACACGTGACGATTTTCCCGCTGACTGACAAGGGATAGGCATCCCCATACCCGACCGTCGTAATTGTGGTGATCCCCCACCAGAAACTCATGAATACGTTCTCAATCAACTGCAAAAATGTCTGGGTCTGGAAGATTGCCAGGTTTGTCATGCATATTTTGCATGACCAATGACGCCTGTAATGCATGCCCTAGCATCCCAGATTTTTAGAAGGCTTCCTGATGCTTATTCCGCATGAGAAATGCCCTCCCCGTGTAGCACAAACTGGACTCCTTTTGCTTGTCATGCAATACAGATTTTTTTGGAATCCAAAGACAGCATCACAAGTTACCACCTTCCAGACCCAGACATTTTTGCACTTGATATTCTCAAACGGGGAGCAATTCGTGTAGTGCGGCTCGTTTTCCCTGCGGTAGCAGTTACGTTAGGAAAAACTGTCCCCACTACCCCGGTTTTCCCCAAATCAAAAAAAAATTTTTGAACTGATGCAACAACACGGCCGCCGGCTGCGCAGCCCGACCGGATAGTGTCCGCTAGTGGATCTTCTTCAAGGATAATCTCTGATGCTGTTACATATGCAAAGGAGCAAGCGAGATGGCGGCGCTCAAAAGTCAGCGCATGAGCTGATGGGGCAGCAGGCTTTGTGGATGTGTGTGTGTATCTATTTCGGCCCGATCCGCGTGTAGACTACTGCAACGCGGCCCCGCCGCACTGCTCGCGCTTGCTTGGCTGCGGGCATGGTGCTGGAAAAGCGTGCTCTGCGTTGCTATCTCGGACGGGGCGCTGTTATTCTGTTAGCGATCCAACGCCCCGCCTGCCGTGCCGAGTGTTGATTTGTGGGCGTCGGCCTGGATTCGTCAGCCGCGCTGGCCCCTTGCCCGGGCCCACGTGGCCGCCGGACTTTGAAGGCCGCGCCCAACTTTTGAGGCCCCGGCCTCGCCGCTTCCCTGGAGGTCGTGCATGCGTCCACTTTCGGGACGTTTCTGGTGCCCGTTTTGGTGGCCGCAAGTGCGTAGATAGCCGCTTAGGGACGAAATCCCCAGCATACGTTTTTTTTCTCGCCAACGTGTCCGAGCATGCACTCAGGGAAACGGTGCCGGCCAGCCTCAAGTGGAGAACACAGGTCCACGGCAAGGGGCATCGCGTGGGAGCCTTAGGTGGCCGGGGGGCGGGTCTGGCACGGGCGCCTTGCCCCGGGCGCTGCCCCGCGGGGCTCGAGCTGCTTGCGCCCCAAAAAGCCGGGCGGGGCGTTGCGCTTTTCAGCCTGTAGGATAGAAAGAGAGGCACACTGGGGTCGGTCATGGAGAACATCAGCAAGCTGCTCTGCCCTGAAGGAGGGGCGGCCGGCTGCGTCTGGACTCCGAGCCGCAGAGGCCTTTCTCAAATTGCGCGCATACTTCTCGAGGAGCTACCAAAGCAGTTCGTTGGCGCCACTAGCTACGCAATCTCTTGGATTCCATAAAGCAACACACCCGGGGGGGCGCGCGCCTCGGTCTGGCCATTCGCGGCGCAAGTCGGTTGCAAAGGGCCCGCCCTGCTTACAATTGGATCGAAAAAAAAAAATTGTCTTTGGGGAAAACCGGGGTAGTGCGACTCGTTTTCCCTGCGGTAGCAGTTTTCCCGCTCATATCAAGTGTAAAAATGTCTGGGTCTGGAAGAGTCATGCTGTTTCTGCATGACACAGAAGGTCTGGCATGGAAGCTCTAGCATTACAGGTTTCGAGAAGCTTCCGCAATGTCGAATCCGCATGACAAATCCCCCACTTTGGTGACAGAAAGTGGGCAGCTTTTGCTACCCATGCATGAGAGCTTTTTCTGTGTTCTGAAATGTGCATCACAAGTTCGGACTCTTCCAGACCCAGACATTTTTACATATGATAGCTCATCCCACTCGCCCCGTTCCGTCGCCCAGGCCAGAAAGCTGAAGAAAATGAGCGCCAGTCCCAACATGGTAAACAGGAGGAGAAATGAAACTTTGCTCTGCGACAGACCCTCAAACACGAAGCCCAGTTGCTTGTTCCCGTGTCTCGCCAGCTTGAACACGCGCAGCAAACGAAACATCCGGAGAATGCGCATATCGGGCAGGGGGGCGGTGTCGGGGGTGCCGGTTTTGGAGTCGATGGCGCCGGTGGGAAACTCCAGCTCCACGGCGGCGCAGTAGAACGGAAGTAGCGCCAACACATCCAGCACCGTCCACATTTCGCTGAAAAACTCGCAGGTGGTTTGGTCCGTGATGGCGTAGCGGGCGACCAGCTCGAAAGTAAACACCACCACGAAAAAGATTTCCAGATGCGCCCAAAACGTATTGTAGTGGGTGAGCTCCGGAATCGTCTCGATACAGAAAGTGATCGAGGAGACGATGATGGTGCCGACGATCACTGTGTGCAGCCAGGCCGCAGCGGTGCTGGAGTCCGGACGCTGTTGAATTCAAATTTGGTTGTGATAAGATGCTACAAGTGGAAGAACTTGTTGGGGTTGCATTTGAAAATTCAGAACATTGATACCATTCAAAATTAACATACAAAGGCCCTCTGACAAAACGAAACGTCCCTTGCAGCTTCGCAGTGGTTTTATACCTCTATCAAGTTCTGCAGCCATGGCTTCGCTTTTACCCGCCACCACCCGCTCGCCGATGTTGTGCGTGCCCGGTTGGCGGACGCGCGAAACCGGTTCGCGGCCACATACATCTAGGTTGGTGATGGATTTACTCTGCCCTCTTTGTTTCGAACAACGACCAACAGCACACAACGCTCATGATTACCACCTTGTGTGAAGATCTACTTGTTCTCACTTTCATTCGATATCGGAACTCCCTCAGTTGCGCTCCTTAAGCCTCACTCGCATGCGACCGTAAGAACGACCTTCTAGCTTGCTCTAATTCTCAGCTGGTGGAAACAAAATGAAGGGCCAGGTAACGAGTCACTCACACTCACCCATGTTTCTCCCACCCATTTCCATGAATGTAAGTACATGTATTTGCGTGAACAGCTTGCGCACAGACCTTTTATGCACGGTCCCTGCAAAAGCTCAACACGGTTAAGTCCGTTCTGCTGCTGGTTGTTCATCATCTATCGCGTCCTGCTGAACAGAATATAATTACGCGTCTTCGTTGAGGTCTTCTACGCAAAAACTACTTCCTTGGGTTTTTTGGAGCTGATTTTGTGACTCACAAAAAGAACTTGGTTCGGTGGAAGGTACATAAACATGGGGGTTTCAAAAAGTCGTGTGGCTGTAGGTGTCGTCGTGGGGTGAATATTTACAATCAAACAATGTCGTCGTCGTCTTGCGAATGCGAAATTTCACAGTATACAAAAGTATTCATGGCGGACAAGTTACGTATGCCTGTAAGAAGTGTGATCCTCGCAAAAGCGGGATTTTTTACGCTTCCCCTAGAAGTAAGTACACATCACGGCTCTCCAGGGTCACGACCGCTCTTCGCTTCTGCATCAGCAACTATCAATTTTCCAATCAGCTCAGTACCCGCCCGGAAAATTGGACACGTAGTGGTAAGCCAAATACCCGAACAAACACGTCACACTCAAGATAATGCCGTCCAACACCAACACGGGCGATTTGTCGGGCAAGAGTTCCCTCAAAATGTTCCTTTGCGCGGCCACCGGCTGCTTCTTCTTTTTCTCCTCTTCCGCGGTTTGCTCATCGCGCTGACTCTTGATAAAGTCCCGGTATTCCTTCAGTTTCTCTTCGATTTCCTCCTCCGTTGGCATCTTGACCTTCGCCGCCTTCTCTTCCGAGACTCCGTGCCTTTTCGCCAATTCTGCCGCGGTCGGGGGGATGTATTTGGAGGAAAGGGGTGGTGGGCCGCTCTTGGAAATGCCCACTTTCGGGTTCTTGATTGTCGCTTTTGGTGTAGTAGAAGTACTAGCTGGTGCAGCTCCTGTGGTCGTCGTGCTGCTGGCGGGGGTGGGTTTGTTACTTTTATTTCCGAGTTGGGAGGACGAGGAAGAGCTACTATAATTCGGTGCAGATGTAATTGCGGCACCTTTTGGGGCAGCTCCTGCTGATGATGCCGCGGCCTTGGATTCTTGGGGTTTTGACTTCGCGAAAGAAGAAGGAAGACCCGGTGTGAAAGTAGTAGACCTCGTCGCCGCTGCGGGCGCACTACTGGCAGAAGGTGCTGGAGGGGCCGTCGACCCAGCAGGTGGTTGTTCCTTTCCGCCGCTTTTGTTCGGGGGTACTACTTCTCCGGAGGTCGTTGAGGGAGCCGAGAGGGCGGCCTTCGGACTACTTGTAGGTGCTTGCTTCAGCTCTTTCCGGTCGGGAAACACCGAGGGGCCGAAGGGAGAGGACTGCACCCCGTACGGCGAATTTCGGTTGTCGTCGGCAGGACTAACAAATTCGTCGTCCGTATCGGGCTCTGGGGCTTTATTCTGTCCAGTTGTATTTGCGGCTGTTGTAGTAGCTGCTGTCGGTGTCGCTTTGGGATGCACCAGATTTGATGCCGCAGTTTTCGCATTCGATGTTGACGTTTTCGTCGCCTCGTCTGCCTCTTCCGAACTGCCTGTTGTAGATTGGTCAGTTGCGGTCGTCGCGGCGGCGGGAGGAGCTGCTGGCTTTTTACTGCCGTCAGCTGGTATGCCGCTTGTTGGCTTTTCGCCTTCAGGTTTCTTGTTGTCCTCTTCGTCCCGCCCCTCTGCCTTGTTCACAGTTTCCTTATCCTTCTCCGCAGCAGGCTTCGATTCCACCTTCTCGTCCTTTTTTTCCGGGCTCGAAGCAGAAGTAGAGGAGCTACTTGATGCGGCCACTACTGGCTCCTCCTCCACTTCGTCGCAAAGTGGCAGAAGTTCCTCGTTTGTCTTCTCACACATATCCCACGAAAAAACTGTTTCACTGTGATGATTTTGCAAGTTTTGCATCACAAGTTTGTTACACATGACACAGAAAATTTTCCATGCGCGCTTCCCAAGGGAAAACACGCTTGACAATCCAACGTCTTGCAGGTGTAGCAAGACAAACACTTTGGTGTTTCGTTTTCTGCATCACAAGTTCACAGTGAAACAGTTTTTTCTTGCGATAACACACCTCGCAGCGCCACTGCCGGGTCTCCTTCTCCGCGATTCTGCGTCGAGTCTCGGACGGGTAGTTTAAAGCACCTGTATGGAGAGAAAAAAGTTTGTCATAGTCACTAACTTGGAGGCTTTGCATTACAAATTTTTTTAGCATCGCAGCTTTTCCTTGTATTGCAGAAACACTAAGGGAAATCCCGTATGAAGTTTAACTGTGATGCACTTTTACGCATGACAAGCATTTCTTGTATTGCAAAAATGCCCATGAGTGATCATGACGAACTTTTTTCTTTTGATAACCTGTATTGTAGTTGTAGTGTAAGACGTGCTGTGAGTGGCTTGGAATTGTAGTTTTGCTTTTATTGGTCGCGGCCAACGTCCATGCAAATTCGAATTGTTCGTTCTGAACTGGAGATCATGTGTAAGTAACTGTCACTCCACGACCTCCACATCAAATATGAACACTTAGCACGACAAAATTACTACGATACCAAGTGCGCCGTCCGGCGGACTGGGAAAAAAGCTCCGCAGTGCTTCAATCATGGTGCGCAGGCCCCAGGCGGGTTGCCACATATGGAAGCGTCAGGATTGAAATCGTCAAAGTTGAAATAATTTGCGATGCATAAAATCGATAACAGTTGGAAGCCCTATTTCTAAGCGGTGCATGGCAAATTTTCCGAGCACTGGAATCCGATTTGTCATGCTATTTGGGCACAGACGACTGCTCTGGTCATGCCACTTTAGCAGCTCTATTTCAAACCCTAAACAGGCTGACGATCGGCCTCACTTGCCATCCCGGCAAGACAGGCACTTTATGCCTTGCATTTTATGCATGACAAATCATTTCAACTTTGTCTATTTCAAACCTGACGCTTCCATACCACAGCTCCGGATGGTAATTGGAGATGGAGAGGCAAATCTTCTTGTTCGTCTGAAACCGCCCATTCGGGGTCAAAAGGTAGATCGCTGGGGGCGCGAAGGGGTAGTTCAGTGGGAGCACTATCCTGCCGTGGTAGATTCCCTTCTCAAAGTCGCTGCCTGTAGAGTAAAGCGAAAATTAATGCTCGATTACCATTTCAGCAGCCTCGGTTTCGTTTCAAATCAAGAAATATTGCGATCATGCAAAATCCAAGCAAAAATACAAGTTCAAGTACATCACACCTCCGCAGCCGGAGCGAACTACGCTTACGCAACTCGTCGAGAAGAAATTCACAAGTAGCTTTCTTTTCCTTTCACAAAAAAACAGTAGAAAAATCCAAATCAACAGGTAAGTACCTGCAGGACCCTTGAGCGTAAAATGCCACTCGAACAAATCGTCATTTGCAGGTTCGGCCGTCCAGAACTGTTTTTTTGTTTTTGGTAACCGGCTTCGTATACGTCAATTCGCATGACAAAGACAAGGCAACGGTGTGACAGACATCACAGGAAAAGAAATCAATAGAAAACAAACACTGCACTGAGAATATTAAAGCACGAGGAAGTACATAGATACTATACTAAATTCACATTAAGTACCTTTGATGGGTTCTGATTGATTTCTTTCAATTCGCGATTCAGTCGACGGATCGCACCAGCCGCACCACCTCCCCCAACAGCACCCTGAGACATGTCTGCCATCTTGCGTTTGCTTCTCTTTCTTTTCAGAACAGACAAAGAGAAAAATATTCCACTTGACAACAAATGGATACTCGCGTCCGCAAAATTCTAGACCACACTAGCACAAATGAAGCGGGTAATGCCTTTATCTGCCAGTAGTAGCTCTACGCGACATGCCAAACTTATCACCATCAGTCTTCGAGGTGAGAATGAGCGAAATGTAGGGGATTACATATGATATCGGTGTTTGTTTAGATGTTCGAGGTCGTCCTGGCTGGAAATTCAATCTCAAATACATTGACTAGCTAGTAAAAGTGATTTGTTTTTAGCTAGGTTAATAGCTTATCTATATAAGGCGTTTTTTACAACTTCCGGGACGCTACATCGCCGATATCCAGCTCCACGGATTCGCCGCAGAACCCTAGCAAAAAACCGAGGAAGAGCCCCATGGCGTAGCGTCTGTCTACTGCCCGCGCTTTCCATTGTGCGTGGCCTGTGGAAGGTTTGGCGCAGCTAGCCGCATCCAGGGGATGGCTGACGGCAAGCCGGCACGGTAGACACGCAAAGCCGCGCGCCCTGCTTATGAGAAAAGGCTGAGCAGCGTGCCATCTGCTGCCAGGGGGGGTTCGCCAAAAAGCACCCGCAAGCCAAGTGCAACATGGTCCGCAGGCCGCGGCCTGCAGGGCCGCAGGCGAGAGGCGGGGGCGCGAGGGGGGGTCCGCGGGAGGGGGTCCACACAGGGCCTCCCGCAGGGCATATTTTTACCCCTAGCCCCGACGCTGTGGTCGTTTTGTCCCTTGCCAAAAAGGGGGCATCTCGGAGGGGCATCGCGGACGGGGATCCCGGACTCTCGTGTTGTCCTGTGTGAAGTCAATCTGCCCAGGTAGGAACACAACGAAGCCGGGGCGCTTTGGATAGCCTCACAAAATGGCTCCCAAGCTCGGCGGAAAGCGGCCGCAAGGCACAAACAAAACACAGAAAAGGGCTTGCCCCTGCGAAGCTTCGTGCCCTATCTACGCCACGCCTTCGTGTGCAGTATCCCGGCGCCCCGGCGTGGAGACAACCGAGGCGAATCCGTGGAGCTGAATATCGGCGGAGTAGCGTCCTGAAACCCTTAAAAAACGCCTTTTCTAGCTACTTAAATTATATAACTAGTTCAACTGCCTATCTTATAGAAATATCTATATCATATATCTAAGACACACCGAAATTTTTTTTTTGATCCCCCATGGGTAAGTTGGGCGTTGGGCACGTTGCTGCCGTCATAGATATCGGTGTTTGTTTAGATGTTCGAGGTCGTCCTGGCAAGCGAATGGAGATTCAATCTCAACTACAAAATTGCGACTGTGATCGTGTACAACTTCTGAGTGCGAATTTGTATTTCAACTACCTAGCTAACTTCCTTCTACTGGTACTTACCATTGTTCCAATCTGCCGTTGGGAAAACCACATGCGGATCCGATTTCTTTTGTTCAATTCTTGCATAATATTGATCGAGGACTCACCGACGAGCGAAATCGAAATTTGTCAACTGACCTCAACACAGCTTGATGTACATGTATGTCGTACCGATTAGAATACCTGACTCTGATCCACCACCTCATTCGATTCGTTGTTGCATTCTGATAAATTGATAGGACCTTCCGAAGGTCTTTATCGCGGATGAACACAGTTTCGGATTTCGATTTTGCGAGAAGCTAGACCAAATGGACGAGGAAAGCTCGCTGGTCCTCGTCGACTGTGAGCCACATTGGTTTTGTGATTCGGTCACGGTACTATCATTGTAAAAATCCTTTCAGAAAAGTTGGTTTCTGCCGATATGAAATGGAAGGCCGTAATCAAAGAGAACGAAGTACTCAGGCGTGCAAATACCTTTTTTTCTGTCATGCATATCATGCGTTCATCGTGTAGTAATAGCTAAAGTGCTGTGTTTTTTCATCTCGGCGGTTCGCCCTTCGACTACACTCCTTGTTTTTCCGTCCAACTGATTTTTTACAGCATCAAAAAGTTGCAGACTTTTTCGTGCCTTCTATCAATCTAGGAAAAGACGCATCAATCATTATCTTCTGGGCCCCCAATGGCCCTGGTGACCCCTTGCTTCACCTACGAAAAGGGATGAAACAGGAGGGAGCCGATCTACTAATCTGCAGCTGCTAGGAGGTCTAGGAGTGCGCATACGAAAGAACTGCTACTGCTACAACGAACTGCATATATTATTTGGGTCGGTCGTCTTAAAACATTATTTTCGGAATTCTTTGTACCTCATTCTTTTTCTTACTTTTTTGTTCATCTTTTTATCAACAATTAATTTGACGGGTGCTTTTCTTTACTTCTAAAAAAAGATGCAAGATTGGGTCCGGTCGGCCTGCGAAGAAGCGCCATCAAAAAGATGCAGTTGTAGGGGCAGGGCGTAATTACAGAGTCGTGTTGCGTTCATCTTCATCTTGCGGGTGTATGATCAATGTTGTTCCATTAGCGTGGTTCGCCCGCGGCCACACGGAGCACATCTCCTGGTACTAGTTCTGCTGAAAATTAATGAGATATGCATATGACCGTGTGCTGCAGGTCTCTTCACAACTATATAGAATACCTATTAGTAATCCGAGACCGAGCCGTTCCCGTTGATGAGAGCTTCAGCAATAATCTATCGCAAGTGCGACGGCGGTAGAAACTGTGTATTCAACTGGAGAAGGTTCTGGCTTCACGTTTAATACGGTATTCGTATTCCTAGAGAGACTTTCTAACAAGTTCATACGTTCTGGTTCTCTTGCTCTTAGTTTCTCTACTTACCTTCGTTCATTCATCAAGCACAGGTATTAATTGCATGGTGAAGATTCTAGGCATTGGGTATAGGGGTAGTATTTCTATTTGTTACTGGTAGACACGACATATTGCGACTCGTCTGCAAAATATCTACTTATCAAGCGGGGGAGCTGTTCTGTGTAAAAACGTCCCCATACCAGAGTCAAGTTGGTAAATCTGCAACACAAATTTCCAAGCTTTGGGAGTTGTGCATGACAAGCTTCCACCTGCAGGGTAGTGCTGGTGAGCAAGGGCTGCCGCATGAGAAAGCTACTTTCTCATCGTGTTTACAGCATGACAGAGTCCAAAACACGATTGGAAATGCCTCTCATCTGGATGCGCATTACAAATTTTCCTGTGACTGCAAATCTGCATGACAACTGTGGGGTGGGGACGTTTTTACTCAGGATAGGGGAGGCCTATTAACAAACTTACGCAGCAGCCGGCAACTGCAGATGCCGCGAGGTTTGCTTGTAGCCTGGTATGTATCAAAAGTAAAAATGTCTGGGTCTGGAAACTTGTGATGCTGAGTGGCGTAGCATGAGAAGGCCACAAGTGCTGGCTCAGCATGACAAACTTCTGAGCTTGTAGGCGTTGCCTATTCTGCATGACAAATTGCGTCTCCGCATGACAGAAAAATGCGGCTCTTTGGCAACGTGCATGACAGATTTAAGAGTCATGCCAGACAAGCATGACAAACATGCATTCTTCCAGACCCAGACATTTTTACATTTGATAGTATGTGTCGGGAGTAAATGTCGCGGAGCATTCCCCTGGCCAAACCCCGCTGCGCAATCAATTGCACCTTTTCGTGCGGAACCTCCACAGCCACGTTGGAGAGACACTCGATCGTGTTATCCGTGAACCTCAGGTCGCCGAAAGAGAGCAAATGCCCCAGCGCTCCCAAAGTGTTCCACAGGATTTTAAAGACTTCTTTGTTTTTCCCCTTGTTCAGAAAGTTCGCAGCGGATCGCTGCTTCGACTTCCGCACCAGTTCAGCCTGGGTCTCCGCGCTGCTCGGACCCCATTCCAGGGCTTGCTTCACCACCTTGGGTATCTGCTCGGTGGGCGGTTTTAATTGTTCTTCTTCCGGGTTCAGAATAGATTTCGACTTGCTTGTCGTGGTCTTCCCGAAAGGCTTGTTCGGCTCTTCGTCTTCGGTCGTGCCGGCTTTGGTGTCAGACTTAATATTAGTACCTTTTTGCAGTTCTTCCTCGTACTCCTCTAGCAGTCCCGGGGGTGGTTGGATCAATTTCAACTTCAAAGACATTGTGTTTCGATCGTCGGAGGTTGCGCTGCTGGAAGACGAGGCGGATGATGATGAAGATGCTGCTATCGAAGCGGACGATCTTGGCTCCACCTCCGTGGCAGGACCAGGAGCATCCTTCTCTCGTTCTACTACTTTTGTATCTGTAGTACTGGTAGTTCCATAAGTTCCACCGATCAATCCCTCGGCACCTGCGCCACTGCCTAGTAGTCCCAGGCTGTCCATCTCTTTTTTCTCCCGCTCTATATGGAAGCGTCAGGATTGAAATCGTCAAAGTTGAAATAGTTTGTGATGCAAAAAATCGGATGCCAGTTGGAGCCTCAGTTTCCAAGTGGCGCATGACAAATTTCGGGAGCACCCAGATTCAGTCTGTCATGCTCTTTGGGCAAAGAAGACTGCTCCTGTCATTCTACTCTGGCAGCACATTGCATACCCCTAATCACGCTTACAATCGGTCTCATTTGCCTGCTCCCCAATACAGGCCTTCACTGCCCTACATTTCATGCATCACAAGTTTTTCGATTTCGGTCCTGACTACACATCCATACTCTAGCTCCTTTTTGTAGTCCCTGGTCAACTCGATTTGCGCCGCCGCAATCCGTTCGACGAAGTCCTCCTGGATCTTCTCCAGCAAGGCCGCCGCCTGTTCGCATTTGGGAAGGATGCAGCCCAGGTAACCAAGGCACCGCACAACGATCACGTGGTCCAGTTTTGGTCCTGCTACAAAAATCCTGTGCAAAAACGACGTCTCCACTCCGTATGTGATGTTATTCTATATTTCTGAATGAAATCTGCTCGCAGAAACTTTCTGTCTTGCGACTTTTTCCCATGCGATCCATGTTCTAGTCGTGCTTGGAAATAATTTGTGATGCGCGGATAGTCAGGGTCAGGCAAAAATGCTTCTAGTTCACCTTCACACTACACAGATTTATATGCAAGCATTTTCTGTCCTTCCTATGAGGTGGGGACGAGGTTTTTACAGAGGATGCCTGCGTCTTTATCTTTGCTATCCCCGACGGCAGCACGGGGAAGATTATCCTCTGGAGACAACTCGAGTTGTCCAGCCTGCATCTTTTCGCTGAATTCAAAAACTAATCGCACCGCGGCCAACCGCCAGTCTTCGTCTACTTCGGGTTGTTGTAGTTCACGATCTTGATGTGCGTCGATGTTTTCAGCAGGGGAAACTGCATGCTCTGAAACTCCTCCTCTTCCTGCACGCGGCTCCATTTCTACATCCGGCATGAAAAACGCACCTCGGTCCTCTTTCCCTCCAACGGTCGCGGCGAGCACCGCCGGTCCGGCTTTGCGCAGGTGATCCGCAATATCCCCCAACGCAATAATGCCCCCGCGGTCCGCGGTTTCCGTGATTTGTTCCCGGACAAGGTGGAGCAACTTCCGAAAGTCCTGCTTCAGTGTATCAAACGCAAACATGTCTGGGTCTGGGACTTTGCTCGACTTGTCATGCAGGTTTTCGATGACCCATATGATTTGTAATGGAGGACCTAGCATGACAGATTCCGTGAGATCACTATCATGCCTATCCTGCATGAGAAACTGCCTCTCAACTTGATCAAAAGTGGATAGCATTTGGTAAAAATCATCGCTCGTTCGTGTGGATCGGCTCTGCCGACCGGGTAACCCATCGCCTTGCATATAAATGACCGACATAGACGAACCCCGTTGCGGGACATACATATGGCCGCACGGAAGGGCCCTAAGCGCTACATACATAGTTCACCCTAGCGCCCACCACTTCGGTCGGGACTGAGTCAACCTGGTCCTGGGGGTTCACAGCGCACTAGCCATCTGCTAGCATAAACCGACTGGGTTCTACAAACTGATCTAACTTCTCATAACAGCGAGGCTATCATAAAGGTGCGCTAAAACGGGTTCGGGGCGCTCCGTACGGAAGGGAGCCTTTCGATGGTAATCATGCAACGCAGATTTTTGCATGATTCAGATTTAGCATGACAAGTTCCAACCTTCCAGACCCAGACATATTTGCATTTGATACAATGCGGAAAAGATCAACTCCGAGCCGGACACCGGGGACACTTCCTCTGCTTCATCTTCGAGGGCCGCTTGTGGTTCATCATCCGCATGAAGTTCTAGATCTTCCTTGTCTACTTTCTCCGCACCAGCAGTTCCTGTTGCGGAGGTACTAGTCGTACTACTAGCCAGTAACTGCACCTCGTCGGACAGAAAATCGATGACCCGGCAGCACAAGCGGGCGAGCATGACCGGGAAGCGGCGGCGCTTTGGGTTCTCAGCGACGCCGGAAGTGGTGAGAATGCGGAAAACGAGGTCGCGGTGCAGAAACCACACGCTCACGTTCAGGATCAGCTTCGGCAAGCACAGCGTGGCACTGGCGTGGTACTCCGTCATCCAGGTCTCGCTGCGGGCGGCGTCCACCAGCATGTCCTGCAGTGCGGTGATGCAGAACCTGGGCACGTTGTGGCGCTGCTGCACGGACTGAAAAGCTAAAACCGATTGCTCGGTCAAGACCCCTTTCAGCGGGACTGGTTTGGTGAAAAAGAGCGCAATCACGTGGGGAAGCAAGGCCACCGGCGCGAACCCGGGCACTTCTTCCAAGATTCGCAGGGCCCGCTGGTGGTGCAAGTAGATATTCACCACCTCCTTCTGCGATATTGATGTTGAAGCGGGGGTCAGCACTTCGTGTTGTTTCAACAGGTAGTTGTCTTTGCCGTGTTGACCACGTCCGTGCTGCTTTCCGTTCCCTTTCAACGTCCGCCTGGAGTTGGACGAGGACGGGTTGTTGACATTCAGTGTGCTACTACTATTTTGCTCCACCAGGAGCAGAACGTCGTCGGCACCTGCGGTCGCATGGTTCTCTAGCGCATCCACGTGCCCGCGCTCCTGGGTGCGTTCGCAGAGGAGATGAAAGCACAGTGTTTCCAGCAACCGGGTGAGTTGGCAGGATTCCCCCCCGAGTTGCATCGCCACCTCGGTCAGCGCACTCCACGCAGCATTGGTTTTGGGCTTCTTGTTGTTTTCAACTTCCGCGTCTTTGTTCAAAAGTGATCTACTTCCCGCTCCTTGGTCTTCGTCCTGCGCGAGGACGGCGGTGCTGCTGCCCTTTGAGCTGCTGATTCTTTTCACGGTACTGTAATCGTTGTTTTGTCCTCCCGCTTGTTCCTGCTCAACTTGTACTTTCTTCTCTGTTTTTTGCAGTGGTGCTGTTCCTGTGGTCTGCTCTTGATTTATTGCCCCAGCAGCACTGGTTGTAGTCGTTGTCGTGCCCGGAATCAATCTTGCCGCTTTCGCCAACAGGGCGTGATGGTGCTTCAGCATTTCCCATGGCGGCATCCGCTTTTTCCTGCGCATATTACCGCCGCCGAGCTTCTGGTCGCGAAGGTGCATGCACACGCCGTAGAGCAACGTGGACATGTGCTGGACGACGGCGAGGAAGTCCAGCACGAGGGACGCAAATTCATTGTCGTGCAGTAGAGAAAGCGTTAGCTGCATCAGCAACTCCGCCACACAGGTGTCGTGCGTGGTGACAAATGTATTACGCTGTTGCAGCTCCAGGCGCATTAACTGTTGGCGGTTCGTAGGGTGCTTGTTGCCGTTGAGCGAGGGCCACTTGGCTGTAGAAGTTGCCTTGCTGTCCGTCAAATTCGAACCAAAAGGCGGTCTCCCACCAGCATGATGTTGATTCGCGGTGGTCGACCTGATCCGGATGCGCTGCACCAAGGCACAGGCAATTTCCTTTGCGTGGCTGCTGTCACTGTTTTTGAAGCGCAGCATCTGGCTGAAAATGCTGACCAGCCAGTGCAGCCGCCGGGCGCGGTGCGTGTTCGCTGCCACGGACAAGTTCGCGATCTGCGGGCCCAGGTGCATCACCAGGTTGCCCAGCAGTCCCGCGCGGAACTTCGTGTAGGGCATGCAGGAAACCACTTGAGACAGGGCGTGGAGCGCAATGTCCACGTTGTGCGGTTCATTTAGGTGGGTAAACATCACCATGTGCGCCAGCCGGACGTCCAACGCGAGCTGCTCCGTCATACTGCTGTTCGCGGAGCCGAAGCTCGAAGAAACGCCCTGTGGACAAGGAATAAATTGGGTGATTGTATTCTCAACATCAGGTCCAGAACTTATTCCTTGCTGATATTTGCCCTATTTAAATTTAAATTTATTGCTGGACACGAAAAAGAAAATAACCCTTGACCTGTTGTGAGGACCACAACAACGTCCTTATACGTGGCCCCGTCGTGTGAGCAACATGCAGAAGAGAGCTCGTGTGGTGGAGATGAAACTGGTGATCGAAGCGCATCAATCGCAAGCAAGTAGATCGACATCTTCACACTCAACAACAGGATCCTCCTACCATTGACGCAATGCGAATAAAACAGTGCTAATATAACAAATACCACTTGGGCCGTCCTCTTCTGCACGGTCATCAACTCTTGCGTGGCCCCCGTCGCCCCCGGCTTGCCAGGAGAAGTGGCACTTCCAAAGCCCGCTTCCGCTTCTTCGTCGATGATGTTTGCCCCCGCGTCTTTGTCTTTATTCTCGGCGGGCGCAAGATTCTGCTTGTCCAGATCCTGCACGACGCGGAGACAGCTGTAAAAGCGGTCATTTTGGAGGTTTTCGAGCGGCAGCGGAAAGCTTTTCATCTCGGGCACAGTGAGGAGCTGGACGACGATGTTCAGCGCGACCTGGCGACAGTAGGGCACCTCGTCGAAGAGCGCCACGGCGAGCAGCGCGGAGAGCCGGGGGGGAGCGGCGTTACTGTCCTCGTTCGGGGAGGAATTGTTCAGTAAAAAAGGAAACACTCGGTGGATCAGCCGTCGCTTCGGTTTCATCATGTTGACCACGCCGGTGGTGGTCGTATTGGTAGTTGTTCCTAAGACGACGTCCACCTTCTGATGTTGAGCTCCTGCGGCTGCACCAGGTCCTCCTGCTGTGTTGAACGACAAGCTTTGAACAGCTCTACAGGAGGAACCACCTCCTTGCAGGTCTTTATTTGTGGTGGTGCTGCACGGGGTACTTTCGGACATAAGCGCGGACTCACCAATATCAAATGCAAAAATGTCTGGGTCTGGAAGATTTCGACATTTGTCATGCATTTTTTCCATGAGCCATGATGTCTGTGATGCATGCCGTAGCATCACAGATTTTTAGAGGGCTTTGTGATACCTCTACCGCATGAGAAATGCGCTCTCCGCGTAGCACAAAATGGAATCCTCTTGCTGGTCATGCAATACAAATTTTTTTAGAATCCAGAGACAGCATCACAAGTTCCGACCTTCCAGACCCAGACATTTTTGCATTTGATACCCAAAGTCGTCCGTGTACCGCCGGATCACATGGAAGCCGGGAAAATCCAGGACCAGAGACCAACGCCCAAAAAACACCTTCGGGTACAGAATACTCATCTGCTCCAGCACCTGCAACGCCTTCACGCGCACGCGCTGCGCGTCTCCGCGGAGCTGCGCCAGGACGAAATGCGGAACGCGGAACACCTTTTGCTTTGAATACAGAAAATAAAGGCACTTTAGCTTTACTCGTATTGATGTGTCGTGATCAACATCCTGATAGATTACCACCGTATAAGAGGACTGAAAAGTAGCGACATCTTCAAAAAGCATTCCAAGTAGAGCCATATGTTGCTTTAGCCTGTTTTATTTTGCACACGATGAAAACCAGAGTGGTCTTCAGACCCCGACTGTCTGTAGTACCTGCGAGGGCTCTATCAAATGTAAAAATGTCTGGGTCTGAAAGGTTACCAGGTTTGTCATGCATATTTTGCATGACTCAGGATGTCTGTAATGCATGATCTAGCATCATATATTTCTACAGGCCTTCCTGATGCCTATCCCGCATGACAAATGCCCTCCCCGCGTAGCACAAACTGGGCGCCTCTTGCTGGTCATGCAATACAGATTTTTTTAGAATCCAAAGTTAGCATCACAAGTTGCATTCTTCCAGACCCAGACATTTTTACATTTGATAGGCTCCGCATAGATCCACTCCTCGAGCGAGCACAGCTTGACCGCGTCCCGCTCTACCGTGGACGTCGGCGCCAGATATTCCGCCCCACTAGAGATGAACAGCTGCAAGCAGGCCAGCCAAGACAGTGCGTAGGGGGATGTGTTATTCGCAAAAGGGGCTCCAGTTACGGCGGAAGTACCAAATATAGCCGCCGGGGCGGAGGTAGTGAGGTCGTGGGCGTTTTCTTGCATGCCGGCCGACCGTCGCCTTGGCCGCGACTTTGCTTTTTCTTGGCTCGCCATACCGCCGTGAGTAACGTTAGGCCGCACGGTATGGCGGCCGCTCGATAAACGTCGCGAATTTTAGCACATCTCCGAAATTCCTTTCCGAAAGCCAGCTCCCATGCTATGGAGCCGATCCGGGTGCCACGGGGGGCGCCCAAAAAGCGAAGGGAAATCGGGCCCATAGCATGCGGATTGGCTTTGCGCGTCTGTGTCGCTTTTTCTTTTTCGCGTTTTTATTTTTCACGCCGGCGCTTTTTGCAAAGCTTCCCAGGCTCTGAAACCGGCGAAAAGGCGGCCGCTTTCGCGGCCGCCCAAAATGCTCCGAAATCGCGGCCGTGCCATGCTGTTTCGCTGTTCTGACTTTGGGCGCGTTTTTTGCGCGCCCCTTTTTGGGAGCCCCAAATCGCCAGAAACTAAGGCGGTGGGCGCCTCAGAAGGGCGCCCCTTTTGCCGGCTCCCCTGCGTCGTTTTATCAAGTGCGAATCGATAGTTTTCGACCGGGCTTGTTTGATATCAAAGCCCCGGCCGCTTGATAATTGGAAACTTTTTATGTCAAAAAACGCCTTCGGCCGCTTGAAAACTTCCGGTCGTTTTTCACGGTAGGTGTCAAAAAAACTCCCTGGTTAGAACCGTTCGGTGACCTCACTACATACCACTACCCGAATTGATGTTGATCCCGGTCGCGGCACCCACACTAGTGTTCTTCCCTAGTAGAGAGACACCACCGGCACCAATGCCTGCTTGCTTGTTCGCCTTTTTCCCAGCAGCAGCCGGTGTTTCCGAGGGCGACGGCGGGGCCCGCGAGGCGCGGCGGCACCGCTGCACGCGGGCACTCAGTTATCCAGGAAAAAAAGTGTGTAAGTGTAACTTTCTTTGAGGAACAACATCACAAATTTGCTCTACATGACCACAGAGAAAACCTGTCATGCATGGTTTGTAAGGGAAAACACAAATGAAAATAGGACTTCATGGCTGTCTGGCATGACGTGTGTAACTCTGTTGCATCTTCTGCAACACAAATTTACACTTACACAGTTTTTTTCTTGCATATCAGTGTGGAAGAAAGGTAACCCAGAATTCGCACCAGCTCGGAACTGAATTCCCTGGCGAGCAGCAACCGCCGCTTGAACAACCGTTGCGACTCGTTTTGGGCCGTCATCGAAGAAGTACTAGCCCCTGGAGCTGCTGCTCCCGCTTTAGACGCGGCTGATGTCCAGTCGGGCCGGGGTTTGTAGGTAAATTCGATGGGAAGCTTGTAAAAGTGCCCGTGCAGCACCTTGCAGCGCTCCAAAATCTTCGTCATCTGCTCGTCCCGCAAGTCCCTCCGCGCCGCCGAGCTCTGAATCCGCAACGCGCGTACCTCGCGCATCTCGTCGCCAAAATTGGCGTAGTACGTGTAATCCGACCGGACGGAATTGTTGTGGGCGGACGAGTCGTCCAGCGAGGAAGTAGAACCTAATTTCATCTTGGTGCCCTGGTGTAGTTCTACTCCGATCATGTCTGTCTCGTCATCAACTCGAGCTCCTTCTTGTTGCGGAGCTGGGCTAGTTGTACCACTGTAGTCTATTCCCGCCCGGTTATTTGTAGCAGAAGTTGTAGTTTTGCTCCCTCTCGACGTCGTTGTCCTCCCGTAAACTTCAGCTTCTCGTCCATCGTGCCCCTCCTGGAACTCGTCGCGCAAGTAGTGGTCTTCCTCGTGCTCGTGCATGGGCGGCATTCTGGACGTAGTCGCACTCGCACCTCCAGCAGTCTCTCTACTCAGTCCTCCTGCACCACCACCGCTGGTCATCGTGCTGTTGTAGCTTCCCGGACGAGACCCTCCCTGCTGGTTCGTCCCACCACGGCCGCCACGCCTGCTGTTCGTGGTCTCGGGGAACCCAACCGCGTCCGGCTGCCACACGGGGCCCAGGTCCGCCCAGTAGTCCGCGGCGTTGGACTCGTAGGTGCCGCGGATCCCGGCGAGCCAGAAGTCCTCGCCAAGCTGCTGATGCAGTTCCTCCGGCCCCTCCCCCTCGTTCTCGGACTCCGTGGACATCTCGCTCCGCCCGCTGCTGCGCCACGTACCCAACGAGCTTCCACCAACGCGCGTGCGCGGGGCGGGCGAGGGGCGGCTGGCGGACGACGCGCTCGTGGTCCCGTTGTAATTGTACACGCCGCCTTTGCTCCCGAGCGATGTCGAATGGTTCGCGGGAGTGGCCCGAACAACCCGTGCTGGAGGGGCACCTCCTTCGCCCGCGGCGTGGTTGTACATCAACTCGCGAGCAGCTGAATCATCTTGCCGGTGCGTCGCCGCCACGTCTGCCACACCGGCAACTCCTGCTCTTGCCTGTGGCTGAAACGGAGCACCAGGAGCTTTTGCTGTACCACGAAGATGCGCACCACCAGCGATTCTCTCCTCGTCGGACGACGCCGGGACGACACGTGATTCGTCCCCTGCTGCACCCGGCGGGGTCGTTATTTTACCATTCGTGGGCGGGTCGTCGAAAAACTTCGGTCCGTCGTACTGTGGAAAGCCTGTCACAGCGGACGCAGGGGTACAACCGTGGTCCCCGTCGGAGGTTATAATTTTCTCCACAGAAGTAGATGAAGTTGAAGAAGTTCCTGGTGCAGCATAATGATCCCCGGGCGGCGGCGGCGGGAGGTACTCGGGCCTTGGAAGCCTCGTGGAGTGTGGGAACTCGCGGTGCTGCAGGGTTTGCTGCTGGTTCTCGGCGTAGAAATTTTCCCGGTGGTCGCTGTGCTGCCAATTCCCGAAGGAGTCGTGCGCCGCCTCGGCAAACCGGGCGATGGTCCGGGAGATCTGCGGCGCGTCATCCTGAGTAAAAACGTCCCCGCACCAGAGTCAAGATGGGAAATGTGCTAGACAAATCAACCAGCTTTCGCTGTTTGGCATGACAAGTTTGCCCTCATAGTGTGATCCTGTTTCGCTAGTTCAGCAGCATCACAGATCTAGCACATCATGCTGATTCTAGCATCACAAACTCCAAAACACGACTAGAAAATGCTTCTCATGGGGCTCCGCATAGGAAACTTCTTTGGCATGCAGACTTGCATGACAACTCTGGGGTGGGGACGTTTTTACTCAGCATACTCGTGCACGCTTCTCTGCTCGCCGACCAGGTCCGTGTCCATGATGTATTCGAAGGCGCCGTCCCGCAAAATCCCCTCCCGCCCCGCGGCGCGCCCGAAGTTCGCCAGATTTGCCCGCTGCTCCTCGCTATCAAATGTAAAAATGTCTGAGTCTGGATGTAATGCTGTCTGCGGATTCTAAAAATATCTGTGTTGCATGAGCAGCAAGAGGAGTCAGTTCTTGGCACGTGGAGAGGGCATTTCTCATGCGTAATTAGCATCGAGAAGCTCTCAAAAAATCTGTGATGCTAGCACCAGCATCACAGACCTTACGGGTCATGCAAAATGTGCATGACAAGTCCCGACTCTTCCAGACCCGGACATTTTTGCATTTGATACTCGCGCCGCCGGTCGGATTCCGTGCGGTAATTCTGCAGCAGGCCGTAACTCGTATGAACTGCAAAAATGTCTGGGTCTGAAAGATTGCCAGGTTTGTCATGCATATTTTGAATGGCCCATGATGTCTGTGATGCATGCTCTTCTAGCATGACAGATTTTTAGAGGGCTTTGCGATGCCTCTACCGCATGAGAAATGCCCTCTCCGCGTAGCACAAACTGGAGTCCTCTTGCTGGTCATGCAATACAGATTTTCTTGGAATCCAAAGACAGCATCACAAGTTACCACCTTCCAGACCCAGACATTTTTGCACTTGGTAACTCGCCTCCTCCAGCAGCCTCCGCAGTTCGCTGGTGGGGTCCAGAGACCGTGCGGCAGACGACGAGGACGAATAAGAACCTGGCGGACGCTGATCATGTTGCACCTGGTGGCTCGTTCTAGTTGTACTGTAGCTGCCGGTGCCCCTGTTGTAAGAACTACCACCTGCATGATCAAATACACGACCCTGCACACCCAACGCTCCGGCACTGCCGCGACTCACAGTGCGACTCGTGATGGCCGCGTGAAGGTTTTCCACAACATCTCGCAATTTATTTTCATCCAGGTCGTCATAATATTGAGGTCCACCTCGCTGCGTATCGTCACGTGGTCCAGAAGCGGTACTACTAGATCCAGGCTTGCTGCCTGGTCGACCTTCGAGAGTTCCCTGTTGTTGCTTGTAGTTGTCTTGTCCTTGCAGCTCCCTCGTCCCGGGGTACTTGTAGTTGTCTTGCCCTCGTGGTTGTTCCTGTCTCCGCAGCAAAGCAGCCCGCCGGTCGGCCTCCGCGACCCGAGCGCTTTTCTCGAAGTTCTGGTCGTAATACAGCTCATGATCAAGGGCGTTAGTGTAGGCAGCTGTTGTAGGAGGACGACCAGCTATATAATTCTCGCCTTCAACATTATCGGGTCGTAAAAGTTCATGTTGATGCTCTTCGCTCATCTCGTCCCGCCCCTGAAATCGCTCCACCTCCACCTCCGAGGCCCGGTGTTCCACACCGGTATACGGCCGCGAGTTGTAGTCCGCGAATAGGACCGTGGAACTCGGGAACACCCTGGCATCCAGACCGTCGGACCAGATGTTCGCGTACCCATCGAGCTGCGCGGGCACGAAGTTCCGGTCCACACGGAAAAAGTTCTCCCGCTCGTCCTGTTCGAAATCCAAGTTGTGATAACTACTGCCTTGCTGGTGATGACTTTGAGCGTGAGCTTGACCCGTCCCGCCGCCCGTGATGGTGCGATTAGAAGTGCTTGATACATAGTGCGACGCGGACGACGGCGCACCTGCTCCGCGTGGTCCTCTTGATGTGCCAGCAGGGAGGTGGTTGGCAGAGGCGTAGAAGTACTCTTCATCCGAAGATCGTGGGTATTTCGACGTGCCGGCCCCGAAATATTGCAAGGAAAGATCCCCCCTCCCCATATTGGATACGCATCCGTCTGAAAATTTGTGACGCAGATTTGTGGCCACAGATCGCGTCTGTCTTGCAAGAAGGCAAGTGCAGGCTGTCCGCCACGTTATGCAGGCGGTTTGTAATGCTGTAAGGGCTACAGGGCAGCCGTCGACCATGCTAGGTGCCTACACCAAAAGGCCCCTGCCTAAGCTTACGATCTGCGTGCAGTCCTTTACTGCAACAAAGACTTGATTTGTGTATTCAAATCCAGCATCAGAAGTTTCGTTTTGATACGGGGAGGGGGGATTTGTCCTTTTGATACGGAATTAGAAGTTCTTTCCCGCCGTTCTTCAGCGCGCCAGTTCGTTGACTTGTTACTGGAGGTGTTAAAATTTTTGCGATCAGTCTGGTGATTGTGGCTCATTTGTGCGTTTGTTCTTCCGTGATGACTGTTATTAAACTGCTGCTGTTGTTGACTACGCTGATGTTGTTGAAAATTGCTTGTCCTGCTGTGCTGGTTATTTCCCCCGTGGAAATTATTTCTGCCACCGCGGGACTGATTTTGATTTTCCATTTGATGTTGCCCGGTTTTAATATCGCGCCAACCGCCCTCGGCAGCTTTTTGCGCCGGCGCGCCATCAGCACTGGTGACGTTGGGAGGAGCAGTGGTAGATGTTCTTGAGTCTCTAGGATTATTACCGTAAAAGTTTCCGTGGCCCGGTCCCACAGATGTCGTATTAAAACCGCCACCGGAACGGCGATTGTTGCTAGTATTCTGCTGGTGAGTAGAAGTAGATGTTGCAACTTTATTATTTCCGAAGGCTTTATTATTTTCACCAACGTGCTGCGAAGATTGATGCGGTGTGCTGGTTTGGTAGGTTCGCGCATCCCCCCGCGTCGCGTACTGTTTGGTGCCGCCTCCGTGCACGACCTGTTCTACTTTTGGCTGCCCGTGTGGATGCGGACGATCATTGTAGCCCGCAGGACCGCCAGGAGCGGCCTTTGGGTTGTAGGTTTTACCGCGTGAAGAGGACCACTCCTGCTGCTGGGCGTTGTGGTGCGTGGCAGAAGATGTTGTTGGGTATTGATTTTGATGATGCTGTTCTTTATGTGCCGACCGGTAGTGCTGCTGCTGCTCCTTCTGCGGCATCGGGTTACGGCCACGTTCATGGTACATTTCTGGTTGATGTTCTTGGTGCGCAAAAGTCGTTGCCGCACCCTCGTTGCAGCTGCCTCCTTTGGAAGAAGTATTTTTACCCGCTCCAGCCGCACCATAGTACGACGCCGACGAGGTGGGCCCATCGCAAGAACCTCCCTGTCCCTTACTGGGCCCGCCGCCACCTCCCTTCGTGGTGTTACTCGTCGTGGTCAACATCCCTTGACGAGGTTCATACGCGCCTCTGTATCTGTTCTCAACAGGCGCGTTGGAGTTCATATTTCCCGAGACGAAAGTAATTAAGTGGATACCGATTTATTTTCCAGCCAAAAAACGGTCCTCCGTTCGATTTCGTGCTGTTTGTAGTACAACACCATCTACTCTTTTATGTAGTTGATCAGCTTCACAACAGCAGCACAACCTGCGCAAGTAAGAACATCAGATTTAGATTTTGAAGTTTTCAAAAAGAAACGGTGTCATCTTGAAGATTCCTCGGCATCAGAAAAGCAACCCAGAAACCGAAGAAATTCAAATGATACCTGCTCAATAAACAAACGGCGCGTGGTCCTTGCGAACAAAGCTGTTCCAAAGGACGACGGCAGCTGCAATCCGAGGACCTCCAAACGACAACGTCAACAATCTGAATTTCGTGCGCCGCAGTAGCAATCAGAAAAATTTTGCGCAACACATCTTTTTCGTATTTTTTCTACCAAAGCTATGATACCTTTCTATTTCATCTATCTTGTATCCATTGCGTCTGCTAAGAAAAAGCATCAACACCACAAAATTCTATACTATTTCGTAGCTCGCCAAAATTCGAATCAATTCCGACACTAACGGACAAAAAAAACTTTCGTTCAAAATCCAAAGCGCAAAAAGGCATGCAGAAATCATAAAAAAGATAAAGATCTTTAGGCTATTTTCAGTTTCTCAATATATCTGCCCGAATACCAAATATTGTGGCTCTCTATCATTGGTCTTGAATTGAAAGGCTCTAGTAAAACAAAGAAAATTAGTGGTCAAGATGTCGGAAAACATTTAAACGAAGCCACTAAATGAAAAATGAACCTTCCACAAAAACCAGATTTCTTTCTTTCTGTGCCTATCAACCAGAAGCAATCCCTTCTAAGAGTAAGACACGGAACGCGCTTTGATGGAATGCCTAATTTAGTTTTAGAGTGAAGTTTAAAGCAATAATAAACATGCTAATGAGCCTCCCGGCTTCGCCTCCCGGCTTCGCCTCCCGGCTTCGCCTTCTGCCCTGCCACATTGATTGAGTTTGAATTTTCAGACAAGTTTCCGCGTGGAGAGGAAAACCTTAGCCTTCGCGCTGCTGCTATAAGATAATCGGACGACGCATTATATCAAGGATCTTCAGTGACAACGAGATCTTCAATCTGTCGCCAGTGTTGAGCACAAGCTCGATGAAAGGAAGTGGGAACCAATGGATGAAACAAAATGTGAGATGATTTCACAGATCTTCACTACGTGCTAGTGGCACGACTGTCGCGGCCAAATACTAGCTAGACCAGTTTTCTGAATTTTGCCGGGGAGAAGAACAACAGGGCAATTTGCCAGAATAACTGAATTTCTATACCATCATTCAGGCGGGTTTTGCACTTTAGTGTCCCTGCCAGGTGCAGCACAATCAAAATCTTGCTTGCAGCTTGGCGTAGGCCGAAGCGCAATGTCACCTTTTTTTACGGTACTTACTTGGAAACAAGCATTTCGGGTACAGTTTAATCATTATACAGAACGAAGAGAAATGCTTCTCGTCGGGAAACTACAAAAGATCGCATTCAAGAACAGGATACCACCATACTATATGCACATGCTCATAGAAAAATATGATTAGCGTTAATTTTTCTACGTAGTTTTGAAAATAAATGCGACTGTATTTAACGTCCGCACCTCTTTCTTACACATAGCCATGCAGTCAAGTTGTCGCAGTGACCACTTAATACTCGATGTTGAAGTAGTGATCATACGTACAACGGTCTAATTTTGATACACATTTCACGTACTTTCGTCAAGAGCTGGGCAATGAGGACAGCCACCGCACGCGCTAGCAAATGTTGAACCCCTCGCGTTCGTATTTAACTATTCCGAATCTTCCGAATCACAATCGAGACAACGCTTGTTGTGCTGTGGAGTTTATTTTATTCCCTGCGCTACTTCCGAAGGTCGTCGTTGGTTGTTCATTTTCTACATGGTTTTTTGTAATCGTCCCCGAGTTCTTACTCTGTCCCCTGCTCGTCCTGGCAGCTGCCCAGGCTTCCAAGTCGCAGCCAGAGAGTTCCGCAAGGTGGAAACTCAGCGGCGATGTCCAGACGCTTGCGGCAGTACTCGTTCCTACGAAATCTCGATTTGTCGATGTTGTTACAGTTTCAACACCTCCTGCAGCAGAGGACGAAATTGGTGCAATACGGACTTCCCGTTGCGCGAATTTGGAGAAGTCCAGCACTCGGTAAGGCGTGAAAACGAGCACGCGCTGGTGTTGACCCAATTGCGGAAAGCCACGACTACTACTTCTCGCGCTTTTCTTGCAGCTGGAGTTGCTAGAAGTTGTACTGGTGCAGTTCGACGCATTTGCTGTTCCAAGCAGTGCAAGCAGCTGCTCCACGACTTTCTCCACCAGAATTTGCTCCTCGCTCGCGCTTTCTATCGTCATCGTGGTTCCTGCACTACTACTAGTAGTACCGAGGAGAATCCACAAGCGGTCAAGAGTTGCGAGCGCGAGGCGAAACGTCGGCGCGCTTGTAGGTATTTGCTCGCCAGGAGTGAACAACAACGACCTGGATGTTGAAGATGCGACCGGCAGACTGCTAGTATTGCTCCCGCCCCCCGTCGGCGTCAACATCGACTCAGCCTCCCACACCCCGATAACCGGTATTTTTCTATCCGCCAGCTCGATGGACCGCTTCCCAAAATCCGCTGCGAGCAGCGCCAGCGAGCGGGATAAAACAGTTTGTCTTTCCTCTTCTGGAGGTTGTTGTAGTTCGCGGACCACAGGCATCAAATCGTCAAACAACACGATCACACTTGCGGCTTTATTCTCCAACGACGCGAGGATTGGGGATACTGATCTCCCAGTGTCCACTTGCTCCGTCTCTCCCGCTGGCAATGTGCTGCTACTCCTAGTCGCCAACGAGGATCGTGAGGCGCTGTTTGAGGCATGGCCTTTACTCGGATCAACAAGCAGTGAGGATGCAGCTGTGTAATCGACAATCTTGAACGAAGAGCTCCCATTTCTTGCTCCGTCTATTGCGGAAGTAGAGCAGTTTTGTTCTTTCAAAGCTTCGATGCCCCCTGTCTCCGCCTCGCCACGGGCGAAAACCGCGACCTCCCGATGTAATTCGGGACAGACGTCGTTCGCACAGAGCGGCAGTCGCCGGTCGCCCGCCAAGTTGCGCCACTGGTTTTGCACGAGCCACTGCTGCTCCACGTGCCAGCAAAACTGCATGGTGCGTTCGGGGTTGGGGCCGGAAAGCACGTTAAGGTAGTACAAATTGTAGCCCGGCGGCGTGACACAGGGGCCGTGGTACCCCTTCGGGACGAGGTACACGTCCTGCGGAAACACCGTCACCTCTCCTATGTAAAAACGTCCCCACCCCATAGTTTCTTGTCGTACAAATATGCATGGTAAGAAATGTCTCCCATACGGAGCTCCATGGCAAGCATTTCCATTTTCTAGCGATGTTTTGAAATTTGTGACGCTCGAATCCGCGCGATATGCTAGCGCTGTGATGCTGCTGGAGCTAGCTCAACAGGATTTATTACACTACGAGGCCAAACTTGTCACGCGAAACAACTAGAGCCGCTTGCTTTGTCTAGCAGATCATTTCCCATCTTGACTATAGAGTGGGGACATTTTTACACAGGATAGCACCGTGTCGCTAACCGTTCCGTCGCTCGTGAAGGTCCGGTGAAACGCGTACGGGGAACCCTTCGGTTCTTTATCGAAAGGAAAAATAAATCCCCCCTCCCCATATCAAAACGGAATTTCTGATGCTGGATTTGTGTACACAAATCAGCTTTGTATTGCAGAGAGGCATTGCGGCCAGATCCCCAGGCTAGGTAGGGGCGTATGGGCCTAGTTGCTCAGCATGGCAAACGGCTGACCTTTAGGCCCAACAGCATGACAAATCGCTTCCACAATGGGGCGGAAGCTTCTGCCCTTGTCTTCTTGCAAGACAGATGTGATTTGTGACCTCAAATCAGCAACACAAATTTTCGGAAACATACCTTTTCGATATGGGGAGGGGGGATTTTTCCTCTCAATATTCTTCGGTATAAGAACTTTGTTGTGAAGTGGATGATGAAGATGAAATAAAAGGGTCCGCATGAAGATCCGTGGCCACCGCGACCATATCCGGCACTTTCTCGATCTGAAAAAAGTAGATCTCCTCGTTGATCGCCCCATCTCCGGTTTCGTCGTGCTTGTGCGGCGGGTACGAAGACCAGTTACCATCCGGGGTAATCAGCTGGGAATAAAGCAAATATAGGAGTAGGAGATCGATACATACAGTATAATTCTGGATTTAGGTGATTTGAAAAGAAATTTTTGTCCTATTGTTAAACTTCTGGAGTTCTACTTGTCGCTTTACTTTACAAATCATGAAGGAAAGCAACAAAAAATCCTCGTCGCAACTTCGCCCTACAACTACACAGCAGCCTCTGAGAAGTACTACCTTAACTTGTACCTCGACGCAACACAGCTTGTCCGCGTGCTTCCAGGTCATCGGGGACATGAAGTTGTTGACTTGTCGGGAAGCTTGTCCCCTTCCCCGCAGCTCGATCGAAATCCCCGACACCGGTCCGTATTTCGCCGGCAGCACTTTGTCGCAAAACGCACGGCAGATGCAGACTGTTGGGGTCTCTGCATTCATCGCGGTCGGCAGTTTTGCGTTTGCCCTCGGCCCATTCTCGGTAGTACCAATTTTTGTGGTTGTGTGCAGATGATGCTGTTGGTGGTCCACTTGTATCGTGAACTCTGCACCCTTTCCGATGTAGAGAAAGTCAGTCAATTCCAAACAGTATCAACTGTAAAAATGTCTGGTGTTTTGTCTGGAAACAAGACCTTGGTACAGCACGGGGAAGAGAACGACTTGAACTTTTTGAAGAAAGAAAATAAAAGAGAACTACGTGAATGCACTATGTAGAGAGAGATTAAACATGCTGTAAAAATGTCTGGGTCTGGAAGATTGTGACACTTGTCATGCACGTTTTGCATGAGCCCTGATGTTGGTGATGCATGCCCTAGCATCACAGATGCTTTGAGAGCTTCTTGATGCCTATTCCGCATGACAAATGCCCTCTCCGCGTAGCAAAAATTGGATTCCTTTTGGTACTCATGCAATACAGATTCTTCTGGAATCCAAATGCAGCATCACAAGTTGACTTCTTCCAGACAGACCCAGACATTTTTACATTTGATAAACAGGGACTCCGGCGGCCGTGCAGAGTGAAGTGGGTCCGCGTTTTGCCGTCGGCTTCGGTGACGGACACCTGAGCACGTGAAAGAAGTAAAACTGAAAGCGCATGAATATGTTAAGATATACAACCTTGGTCGTCCACATCCACACCTCATCTGCAATAGGGAACAACATAGACTAGATTTGCTTTCGGATTCGGCGTGGTCGTGGACAAAATAATCCTGCGCAGAACATCAAATCTATCCCACGGTGGGTACCTTGACGCCCCGAACATTCTGCGGCACGATGCAGCATTCTTCTGTGAGAAAACAAAAAGATCGGCGTTCTTGCGTTTTCTCGAATCGCACGATGTCCATGCCGATGTACTCCATTTGCACACGGTCAGGTCGACGCTGCAACGCCCGGCACGCATCGTCTCCGGTCGTGGTTTTGGTCCCTGACTTATCGGACATTCTTTCGTTTCTCGATATCTTTCGATGGTCGCACTGTAGTTTCTACTCGTCGCCGTTGCGACACGAAGTCGTGAAATAAAATCTTTGACGCTGTTGCAAAGAGTTTTAGCACTTGTGTCGGTGCCCGAAGCTGCCTCGAGATCTTCGAAATATTCAAACACTAACCGATGCAGAGCTGTCTGTACCTTCTGTGAGACGCAGTTGCGCGGCTAGGGTTAGCAGGTCCAAAGTTCTTTAACATGACTAGACTTCGAATGCGAAACCAAAATCACAACAATTCTACAGAAAGACACGACGACGCAACTACCGAGGTTCTCGCTGGACTTGATCTAATACAGGACGAAGATCCTTGATTCTCCCGACAATCGACGATAATCACACGAAAATCACGATATTGGTATGAAAGACTTCCGACACCGAAGGTTGCTGTACGCCCAGAAAATCAAATCTTTCCTCGTTCTTCGTGTGTTTTGTACTGAAGGCCGCGAGGAGGAGCACCACCACCAGCGCAAACAATGCCGGTGCCGTTTGTAGTTTCAAGAGCTCTTCTGAAGATTTTTTTACATTATAATCGAAACGTCCTGCAAGTACTAAAAGGTCAACCCTCTAGCGAATTCGAATTCAATTCCTTCAACGGTGCGCACAGCCCGTTTTCCCATCGCGGGCCTTGAAGTATTTTCCCCTGTCAGAACTTGGGAGAAATAAACGACCCCGCGACGTCTGCGATTCAAAGGTTTGAGTAAAAAGTGTAGAAGTCAGATCCACGTGTCCGATTCTCGTCATAATTAGTAGATTCAAAGGTTTGTGTAGTAGTTTCTCCTAGATTTCTTGTTTGCGATTCTTTAGCGTCCTAAGGAACTTGAGTACAAATTTGTTCGGAATCAATTGGGTACTGCAACAGCGTGCCGCACTGTTCTGATTCGCTCCTTCGATGATGTGAATTATGTATCGCCCTTCTCAGATCATCGACGACAGGAATCAATTAGTTAAAATCCGGCACTACTTCTAGAATCCGAGACTTTCGATGAAAGTCTGCTGCTGTTTGCTCAGATCGTTTCCACGCCGCGCGAGAATCTCGAGAACGTCGGAAACCACATGACAAATAGTTTTCACGTCCTGCATTTCCTGCAACAGCAGCACTTTGACGGTCTCCGTTCTTCTGGCTAGCAGCGAGGAAATGTGCTGGACCTGTGGAACGATTTCGATATTGACTTGTAAAAATTATTCTCAATCTCACTTGTATGTTCAACCCTTACTAGATACAGGCACGACAGAACAAAGAGCAGACGCAAGCAGCATGAATTAACATGGATGCCACGTGGTCGTCATGAACGCGATATCGATGTGAGGAAATAAGGGTACAAAACACGAGGCGGCACCGAAAGTGCAATAATTATCGGATCGCCATTATAAGTAAAATCATTTGCAGAAACTCATACCGATTGCAATATCAACTCCGACTCCGTGACGCCACCCGTCGCCTGCTTCTTTTTTCGGAGCTTTGCCTTGCTGGAGGACAAGATGCCAATGTCAACCTCGGACTCGTCACTGTCCGACTGCCCGTCCTGCGATTTCCCCTCCAGCGGCATGGTCAAGGGGAGCGCGGTGCTCGACCCGATACCCGCAAAGCTCTCGTCGTCCTTCCCCTTTCGTTGCTTCGCGACCTTCACCCGGCCGGCGGTTGGACTTTCCGGACCGCCGTCATCTTCGCCATCATCGTAATTAGCGCTGCGCCCCAGCGCTATCCTCTTTCGCATGTCCAGTGCGTTTTTGCGCTCCTGGTTTTCAATTTATTGAGAAAATAAACTTTCTTCAAATAATATCCAGTCACAGCATAGGAAAGATAGATTCTCCTAATTTCTGCTTTCCACATTCTTACTTCCAGTCGGATTCATGTATCAAAGAATGGGTTTGGATACATGATATGTGGTGTCGCAAATTAAACTTGCGACCATCGGAAGGAATGCATGAGCATTGCTTCGTTCGAAGCCACTGCTACTGTAACAAAATCAAGTAGAACAATCTTCATTTTTCTGACACCCAGTTTTGGTAAAAAATATGGTTATATATCCTGTACCTGTCTTCTTCTGAGTAACTCATTCCTGCTCTGGGTCGCGAGTCTTCTTCGGTGATGCAACCCGGGAAGCCAATACTCGATGTGCTCGTCGAGTGATAAATGTTCCTTCAAGACCGAGCTCACGTTGGCTACCTTCTGTTTGTATTACAGTGAAAAATACCCCCTCCACATATCGAAACAAAGTTTCCGCTGCTGGATTTGCGTACACAAATCAGCTCTGTCTTGCAGAGGAGGACTGCAGGCACATACTAAGCCTCAGCAGAGAACTTTTGACGTAGGCGCCAAGCATGAGAAACGTCTACGCTTTAGGCCCAGCAGCATCACAAACCGCCTACAAAATGCGGCGGACTGCGCGGAGTTGCCCCCTTGCAAGACAGACACGATTTGTGGTCACAAATCAGCATCACAAATTTGCAGAGGCGCTCCTTTTCAATATGGGGAGGGGGGATTTTTCCTCGTGATAGTTTGAACTTGGTCCACGCGTCGTCGTCATCCTGCACGGCTTGGGATTTTGCCTCGGACAGAGCGACCTATAGACTGCAAATATGTCTGGGTCTCGGTCTGCAAACTTGTAATGCTAAAAATCAATGATGTTCGCACTGCAATACGCAGCCAAGCATGACAACTTTTTGGGCTGCTAGGTGTTGCGTATTCCGCATGGCAAACTGCGTTTTTGCATGACATGCAAGAGAGCCTCTTCGTGCTCACGCAACACAGATTTGAGAGTCATGCCAGACAAGCATGACAAACTTGCACTCTTCTAGACCCAGACATTTTTGCAGTTGATACGACTACCATGATCGCCATAAACAAGTTGAGCAGGATGAAGAAAATCAAAATGATATCATATTTAAAAACGTGGCACCCACCCCATAGTTGTAACGCAGATCTGCATGATGCTGAAAGTGTTTCAGTTTCTCATGCGGAGCCCCATGAGAAGCATTTTGCTCGTATCGTGTTTTAGAGTTTGTCACTCTTCAATCAGCATGATGCACTAGATCTGTGATGCTGCTGAACTACCTCAATAAACAACACTACAATACAAGGACAAACCTGCCATGCAAAACAACCAAAGCTGGCTGATTTGTCTAGCAGATTCCCCATCTTGACTCTGGTGTGGGGACGTTTTCACTCAGGATAAATGATGAACATCCCGATCAAAACGCCCGCCAAAATCGGTGACAGCTTGTACATCTCCCCGAAGGAAGCAGAGCCGACGAACGAGTATGAGAGCGCACAACTACCCCTCCTGCTGCTCCCCCTCATTTGTAATGGACGCTGGTCGTATCAGATTGCGTAAATTGTGGAATCAGATTACGAAATGCAATCAGGTTACTGAAATCAGATTTTTTGTGAGATCAGATTTGTTGAAGTTGACTCAACTAGAAGCGAAACAACTTAGGAAGGAAGCGAAGTGTCTACACCAACCTGAACGAACGCACGCCGGGCGGCCCTAACGGTCCGCCGGAATCAGTGACGCGCCCAGCCGACCAAGGAGCTGTCCGGCGGGGTCCGTCAGCGAGACCCCCGACGGGGCAAGAGCACAAGCAGAAGGGCGGGCGAGGCGCCGGGGCGCATTGGCGCAACAACGAGAAGACAGCGTCGTCGGCCAGGGCAGCCGCCGCCGGCCGGCCGGCCGGCCGGCGGCGGCTGCCCTGGCCGACGACCAGAAACCCCAAACCCTAGACCCCAAACCCTACCCAGACCCCTGATTTCAGTGATATTCTGAATTCAGTAACTTGATTGCACAACTAGCCTGATTGTAATAATCTGATTTCATTTTGATAATCTGATTTGAACCGAAGCCATTTGTAATGGTGCATACGCTACGCATGAGCAGCAAGAGAAGCATGGGCAAGCGAAGTTGTGCAGGTTTTATATTGGTTGTTATACAGGAATCTCAACGGTTTCATCTCAACAAGTGCATCTCAACGGCCTGATAGGCCTCAACGACTTTCCGATGAGCTCAACGACTGGTCTCAACGAAAAACACGCCCAAGAACTCACCGGCGCAAAAGACTGCAGCCCCATGGAAAAACCAGAGCAACAGACCGGGCGGGAAACGAAGGCCACACAATTAGAAAAGCACAAGGCGCAACGGGAGCACGCGCGCCGGGAAGGCACTGCACAAGGGCAGAAGAAGAGAATCGTCGGGCAGGGCAGCCGCCGCCGGCCGGCCGGCCGGCGGCGGCTGCCCTGCCCGACGACCCTAAACCCCAAGCCCTAAACCCGAAACCCTAGTGGAGCAGGCGGCATCGATTTCGTGAGCCGGCCGTTGAGATATATTTCTCAACGTTGAGCTGTGAGGTCTCAACGTTGAGATCTAAGAGTGCAGTTGAGATTCCTGTTATATTCATACATGACAAATCGCAACTCAGGATTGTAGCGCTGTTTGGGCTCCCGGAAGAAACCTGTCATGCAAACTGCGACATAAGGGGAAAAGGGTGAATACGTATATTGGGTTTTTGCATGACAGATGAGGGCCGCGGCGGAGAGGGGGAGAAGTTGTGCGTTCTCATAATGACTGCAGGAGAAACAAAGAGGCCTTCCCAAACGTGTTCACTTTTTCGAATTTGTCGCCGAACCTGGTTCGTTTGCAGATTTTTTTAGTACAAAAACAACATGCTAAGAAGGTTCCATCGTGAAGAACAACGGGCTACCAAGATGGAGGCGGCTCAGAAGAAGACAAGAGCTGCATTTCATCTTCTTAGAAGCATGATGTTTCTGTCGACAAATGCCGACGAGGGATTATTTTTTTTTAGATATGCCTTGCACCTAGTATGTACAACGAAGATGAAGAACTTCTTGTCAGCAAACTTATTCCAATTGTAGTTCAAGGCAAAGAATAAAAGAAACAATCGATCCCCTATCTAAACTATACCCTCCGACAAAGCCCACAGAGAAGCCGAGGAAGATCGACAAGAAGATGACGGCGAAGGAGATGAAGAACTTCCAGCTGTACTTCAGTGTGTGCATCATGATGGTCACGTAGGGGATGAAGGTAACATACTTCACCGTTTTCACCCAAATCAAGACGGCGTTGTAGGCGTTCCAACTCCGCATCTCCTTGATATAGTAGGCTATTTTGGTCAAGTCGAACAGCATCGCCTGATTGGCGATGTCCGTGCTCACCGACCCGCCCGCGGTGCTGAATGCCAGGACGCGCATGATCGCGTACACGATGAGCAGTATCAGGTTTGCCCAATCCATTATGTTCCAGCCGTCCTGTGTGTGTTTTTTTTCAAATGCGGTACATGGGGTACTTAAGTAATATCTTTCCTCGTCTCAGCGTGAGTTTTTGGAACAAAGCCAAGAACGGCTATCCCGCGTTCCAGATCAACGTGAGTCGTGAGGAATTCGTTCCATTTTCGCATCATTCACAGCATTATAACGAGAATAACTGTCGAGTAGCTAGCTATTTTCAAAATCATTCGCTAGCTATTAAAAATAGCTACTTGTTTGCATTGTATTTACGGTGCTATTAGCACGATGAACTAGCTAGCCTGAATGCTGTCACGGATGCGTCTCATAACGCTAAACCCTGGCGACGCCGTAGCCTATGGACCAGCCGAAGGTGGGACGACGGGAGTGGACCTGAGGAGCGAATGATGTTGAAGTGTTGTGGACATGAGTTTGTGTGAAAAATATGTGTGGAACGGATAAGTGCCTGACTAGAAATTGAATTCAGACGTGTGCAAGCCTTAATATTGTTTTGCATTGCATTACGAACAAGAATTCTCAAATGTTGTCAACACCAAATTCTAAAATGTTTTTCTGATTTGTCTGTTCTAGTGAAGTCGAGAAAGAAAACGAACTACCTGATCTGTTTCCGTATTGCAGCATCTCCTCCGTACTTTGCCTCCACAAAATAGATCCCCGTAAGTCAATGTTGTACTTCCGCTTTCCAAGTTTGAGTTGCGTGTGAGATCCCCGGGCGATTGAGTTGCTTTCCGTGTCAAGTAGTTGTGTCTTCTTACGTCTTCGAAATTTCATCACCATAGCGCATAGCACATGTTTTCATCCAACCTTCTTTTCAATTGGCCACTCAATGAAAAACCGTAGGGGAAATTCACGTGAGAGAGCAGTTTTTTTTCAGCATCGGCTATACGCTGACAGCTTGACAAACAAACACATAATGCCGCCGAAGAAGCAGCCTCAGTCAGCCCTTGAATTTATCAAGGCCCAGGTCGGAAAAATGAGTACCGCAGACATTGCGTTGCACAAAGCTGTGATGGAAGATCTGGAGGAGGAGCTGAGTGCTCAGGAGCACGGGTTTGTCATGATGAATCAGCTGTCGCGCCAAGCGTTTCCCGGCTCTCTCCAACGTAAGTGTAGACGTTGGCTTACACACCTTGTGTTGCATGCAGGAATTGTTTCGATGGAGGACTTGGGGCATGTGCCATGCCGTATAGAATATGCATGTTTTCCATCACACCTTTGCTGAGTGAGAGTGAGAGATTTTTTGTGCTTGTGAATTTTCCCCACATGATTATCATCTCATATAATTTTCTCCTCAAAAACACCTTCAGGCTATGGTGAGTTGCCCTTGGAAATCTGCCAGATCTTGTTGAGTACTTTGTGCCGGAAATCTGCTATGTGGGTGTGCCGGTGGATTTACCACGAGATCCAGTGGAAATGGCTGCTCATCGAGATGCGTGTGCCGCCCCACCTGGTATACATGCATTACAAGTTTGTGTTTGCGTCATGCTTTTTCATAGTACAAATACGCATGACACATATGGCGCTGTAAATCCTGTATTCCCACATAGAGTTTGCACGTGGATATCGTATTGCTAACTTTGATGAACAACATTATCCTCCTCGACACCAACAACAGCTGATCGAGAAGTGTCCGGTTGCCCGGTTCCGCAACCTGCAGACCACCGCCTTGGCCCTGTCGAAGTGCGGCAAGTCGCCCCAGTGGGTTTTGGCCGTCACCCGCTGCCCGACCCCCGATGAGATCGACTTGGCCAATTCCGCGAAGAACGGTGCCACCAACGTGGCCAACGCGCAGGTCGCCCAGGCCCAGTCGATGCAGTCCTGCATGGGTACCACCCCCGCGATGACCCAGGGTATGGGCATGACCCCCGGTATCGGCATGACCCCCGCTGTCGGGATGACCCCGCTCGGTTCGCAGAACATGGGCATGCAGCAGTCCCAGCAGATGGTCTTTCAGATGACCCCCGGACCCAACGGACAGGTAATGTAGTTGCTATCGTAGAACAGAAATAAGTCGGCTTTCCAAGCGGAGATGTTGTAGTTGGAGTTGATGCTGTCGTAAAGAAAAAAATCGGTTTTCATCTTTCGTATTGTCACCACCAAATCCGAATTTGTGATTGAACATCCAACACAGATGCTCATGCAGCCGGTCGTCACCTCCGCGTCCCAGCCGACCACCAACTCGCAGACCATGTCCCAGGGCGTGAACCCCACCGCCTTCAAGGCCGCCGACGACAAGGTGGCCTCCGCGATCAAGGAACAGAAGGCCTCCGTCGGTAAGGCCAAGACCCGCCTGGAGGAGATGCAGGCGTCCGTCGCGCCGGTCCCCCTGAAGCTGGACTTCCTGGACAACGAGGGCAAGCACTACGCGTTGTGAAAAGTGTCAGCTTCATGTGGAAAATTCGGTCAAAGTGTACTCGTTCGTGTGCTAGTTGTGTATGCAGATTCGGTATCTTCAAATAGGCTCGTATGTGACCACGCGCAACACGTGTTTACATGAAATACGACGTGCTGAAACTGCGCACGTTGTGGTATTTGTGTCGCGATAGCGACGCGCATGTTATGCCTAGAAGCCGCGTTCTTGTCTGTCATGCTGAATATCGAATTTTCCATATGAAACTGACACTTTTGCATAGCATATTGCAGCGCGCATTTCGATCCACGAGGGTGCCGACCCCATGGCGAAGACCCCGCAGGAGAAGATGCAGGACGCGCTGGAGGCCATCTTGGGCCCCAAGGACCAGAAGGCGATCGACGACTTCATGGCCTCTCCGCGCCAGCAGAAACAGGCGATCCAGAAGACCAAGGAGAACAAGCGCATCATGGCCGAGATCGCCAAGTTGTCGAAGGAGCAGTCCAAGGAGGACGCGCTGGACATCAAGAACGCGGAGAAGGCGTTGAAGGGGAAGATGAAGACCGCGATGAAGCGTGAGTCCCGCGCGTCGCACTCGCAGGTCCCGTCTTCTTCGTCGAAGGCCATGAAGAAAATGATGAAAAAGGCCTTGCCGTAGGTGACTGACACTTCGGCTCGATCTTCTGTTCCAGGACAGTGCGTCCTGGTTCTATGTTTCTGTGGGACCACCAGAGTATCATGTGAGAAAACATAGCCTCACACTGCACCAATACGACCTAGAAACTAGGTATGCAAATATGTATCACAAAGCACGTCGTCGTTGAAGAGCTGCTACGTGTGAGGCTGTGTTTTCCTTGCCATACTTGATGTCGTTTCAAGTCTCTATATAGCTGGTGGTCTCGCATTATGTTGTTTTTACAAATGAAAAAATGATATTTTGATAATATCAAATTATATTTTGAGCCACCATCAATCTCGGTGCCGATGGTGGCAGTTTTATCAATAACTGCACAGATATATTGTAAAAAATTAATTTTACTTTTACATTAAAAAATGAAAATAGTAGACTACCCAACACCACCGCATTCGTTACGAAGGCAGTTACGCGCGCCGTGGCTGTCTTTGTGACAAAAAATTATGTTTTTATGCGAAGCGCACGAACCTCCTGTGAGACAGAATACGTGATGACAATGCACAAGACTTCGCAACAGCTGAGCCGCATATTGAATTCACTATTCTGACGTGATGTTAATCAAAAATTGAAGTACCTGAAGCTGCGAAAGGCAGTGTTGATGCGTCTGTGGTGCGCCTTGATGTGATTGCTCGGTTTCTGGGTGAAGAATGTGTCGGTCAATGTGGATGTGCAATTTGGGTCGTACAAGTGGTCGCTGTCGCAGGGGCCGTGAGAGATGTGCAGTAGCGACGTCTTGATAACCAACCTTCCAGGTCCTCATCATATATCTGCCTCCATCTACGCCCGTAGTCTTGTGCTGATTGATACTACTGAGAGATGAGATAAAGTAGCATCACGCGATGATGCTTCCGCCAAAGCTGCCGCCTGCGCGGCTGCAGCTGGATCCCGATGAGCCGCCCGCTGACAAGGAGGGTCAGCGGATTATTCCGGTGGATTACTACGTCAGCCTGCATTTGGACCCGCCAATCAAGATGAAGAAGGATCACTGGCTTCTCGAAGAATTGCTCGGCGTCGAAGACGTGTCTTCGAGCGATGATTCCGCCGCGTCCGTCGTCATTTCGCCGAAGAAGAAACGGAAGTCGCGGGCGACCAGATGGGACGTTCCCATCCGCTGCCCGCACACGGGCCGTCCGCAGTACAAGACGAAGAGTCTTGCTCCGTCACCCGGAGGATACGACTTCTGGTTGAAAGTGACGGCTCCGAGGGATCTGTGGAAGCACGGGAAGATCACGTGGTGCCCGCAGATGACAGGCGACGAATGGGATCTGGTATGTGGAATTTTGGAGCCATGATGCCATGCAGTATAATGTTATTCCGCATGACACTACTGCTGCATAACAAATACTAATGCACGAATACTACAAGGCATTCATTTACCTGTGGCACCGCTTGACGCAGTCGAAGCAAGTGGTCTACGCCAAGTTCGGGAATTGCAACTTCCGCGACGAGCTGGCGGACCTGGACGTTCTGAACCTTTGGCTGTCCGTGGAGCACATCCGACGCAAGGCAATACAGCTGCTGGGCCGACCCGGCGCCGACGACAACAGCAAGCGAGCACAGGTGTTTTTCCTGCTTTTTGATATCGATCATACCACGCAGCATAAGATTATCCACGACGGCAGTATTTGTGGATACCAGTAAACGCAACAGCTCCACCGTGCATGATATTATCCCGCATGGCACGATGATGATAAGAAGCACGCATATAGTGCCATGCAGTATAATGCTATTCTGCATGGAGCAATCGATATCAAAAAACAGTGTGCTGCGCTGCGCCGCTACGGCGAATTCGTCATCCTGAACCGCGCATTTGCCGCCCAAGACGAGAACGATCCGGAATACAAATTGATTCGGGAAGTTTTTCGCGTCGACTGTGGTGCAAGAGAAGGTCCTGTTTGTCTGCTGGCGGATTCGTCCACGGTGCGATCACAGGGTGCGTGGGGATCAGCGGTACCTATAGATTTTCCACCGTGAGTAAAGTTATCCGCCATGCTATCACGTGCATGAAGATGTGCATACTTGCTGTTGATCAAGTAGCGTCATACCGTCGCGCATAATCTTATGCTGCATGGGAATACAATCATATAAAACATCAAATAACCAGTTCATTTACTATTCCGATGTGGATCCGAAGAATCCGGAGCACGGTATTCCGCCGAAGAAGCCGGGATTCTTGTCGCAGATTCTGCAGCCGAACGCAATACAGACTGGCGGCTTGGCGCAGCTGACGTCGAAGGCGCCGAACAAGAAATCCCAGTACATCGGACACCTCTACCTCGACCAGTGGAATATCGAATGCAAAAGTGACCACTTTTTGCTATTTTTGTCCTCTACAACACCATCGTGAATAATATTACTCTGCATGGAACTACGCAGCACAAAAATAGCAAATAAGTGGTCATCTTGGCACTGTATACTCTTTACCCAGTTCGGGTATGCCGCGCTGCAGGCCCGGTTTGTGCCGAAGGAGAGGAGCTGGCGCGACATGGATACGGAGTGGTTGATAAACTTCGACAAAACGACGAAGCCCTTGCTGGAGTTTCACACCATGAGCGACCAAGGCGGAGACGGTTCTCGTGCAGGTCAAAGTCAGGAGCTGTTCCTGCCGGGAACGACCCACTTTGGGCCGTTGCATCGCCACTCCAACAACTGCAAAAACTGCGTTCCGGGACTTGTCACCGCCAAAGACATGCTCGACCACTGGGCCACTGGTCCGCGTAACAAGGGAAACAACCAAGGCGAGTTTTTTCTCGCAAAGGACGAACTCGTGGAGGAGGAGGTGAAGGATAAGCCGGCGTCGTTGAAGCGAAAATACCGGAAGGAGCTGCTGAAAGAGCAGAATTCTTCCACGGTGAAGTCGGCGCTTGCGACACGTATTGTTGCACCTTTTTGTTATTTTCAGAATAGGCGAAATGGAACAATTATTATGAAGCATTATGACGGGGTATAGGCGACCCTATAGGGGGGGGGTCTCGGTACCCCTCCTGAGTCCATCATACCACGCGGCGAAGAAAAATGAAGGCGTTCTATAGAGGGGGGTTATAGGGGGGGGGTCTAGGCCCCCCTCCGGAGGCCCTCATCTGAGGTTACAGAATTGCATCGTTTTTATATGATAAAATCACATAATACCAGGCTATAGCACCTTCCACTGCGCGGCGTCGCGGTTCTTCGGTATGTGGTTGTGGTGCGACACGATGCAGGTATCGTACTGGCTCACCCGGTTTATCATCTGCGCGCTGGCGGATCGTGAGAAGGTTAAAGGCCGCATTATGCAGGTGAAATCGTGCATATGGAATCATCTGAAGAGTGTTGTTTCTGCATGACAAAAGTGGTTGCTTTGATTTATGATTTCAGGTAGATCTTCAGATGATTTGTCATGCACAGTTTCACCTGCATTCTACGGAACCTCACCAAGAAGCGCACTGACGCTATTCTCGTGGAGAATAATGAACCCATCTTCATCCAACCCGACGTCGCGCTGCGGAAGAAGCTGCAGAAGGAAGGCTGGCTCGGATACCATCCGGAAATGTACAAGGAGTTGAAGGAGTTGAACTACTACTTGTTCGGCGTCCACCAGGACGTCGTCCGCGGCCATTTCACGTACTACACCTTGCTCCTGCACTTGGAGAAGTGTGGCAAGTGCTATCCGAATTTGAGGACCAAGGAGCTGCACAACTCCTACAAGAGGTACATCGATCCCGACGCGAAGATGAACACTGCGCTTCCGACCGAAATCGTGCAGCGCAGTCGCAGTAAAAACCGCAACAGAACGTTCGTCAATTTGGTGGACGATTTCTGTTCTGCATACCACAAATCCAAGCTGCACGAGGGGCCGGCGTGGTTCTGCATGCAGCGGTGCGTGAGCCAGTGGTTTTACGAAGTCGGAGATCCCAGCTTCGGCCTCTTCGAGTCCTTCGGCTACGGACACACCACAATCACGCCGGAACAAGCCGAGAAACTAGGCGATCTCTGCATCTACGAGTTGGGCGTGTCGGCGAAAACGAACGTACTCGCGGTATTTTCTTTGCCGGAAGAACACGCGCGGAAGCTGCTGAACAGATGGTCCATCCGCGTGGTCCGCTGTCTCCCCATCACCGAGTTCTGGCAGGAAGGTCAGTTTCGCGAGATGAAAGTGACCCAGCGGAAAGGCCAGAAAGCAGACGGTCTGATGACGAGCAAGCAGGTGCACAGGATCGCGTATTCTGCCATGCACAACCGGATGTACGAACCGGAGCGGGTCGGCGATCCGAAGGCGCTGGAGCTGCTTACTCCCCGCGAAATATCCACACTGCTGAAGCTGCTGATGAAGCGCAAGGGAAGTACACCCACTGGCACAGACCTGTCGCACCTGCTATTCGACAACGCCCAGCAGCGCACGTTCGGCAAAGATTCCGGCACCGAGCTGACCAAGGCGTTCAAGGATTTGAAATTTTCCGCGCACAACGCCTGGAAACAGTACAAATCCCTTCCGAAACTCGTCCGGACCATACTGGACCACACGATCTCCGAGCAATTCACGTCTGTTGCTGCGCACCAGTACGGCTTCCGCGCCGCGAAAGCCGAAGTCATCATGAACGGCGATTTCATCAGTAAAGACCAGATCCGCGGCTACGAAGCGTTGGGTAACCGATTCGGCGCGGACCGCGACATCGAGGTGAAGATCAAGGACGTCGAGACCTGGGTTATCGCCCATCCCGTCGATCAACCCCAGGAAACCGCTACGCACTACCGCCTGTCGAACTGGATGGGCGGCTGGGTTCAGGCGGTCGAGCTCAGTCGGCTCGGACCGATGACTTTCCGCATTCCAACTACTACGGAACCGAAGAAGAAGAAGCCGTTTTTGTTCACGCAGTTGCGGACCTACGAGGGCGTTGTGCGCCGGCAGAAAACTGGCGATGAGCCAACGCAGGTGTTTTTAGCCTCGAACTTGTGGTCCACGCCCGCGATCTACATGCCGCTGATGTTTCCGACGATCCCCGACGCGCTGCAGCTCGGGCTACTGCAGGGAATCCAGACCAAATTTCCGTTCGTCAAGGATAAGCACCTGAACTTGCTCAGCAGCGAGAACAAGTTGTGCCTCTTCCAGTGCATGGCAAACGATATCTCCTCTAAAAACCACTGACCACGAAAAAACGCTATATGATAAAGCTCTGCTGTGGTTGTACGTAGTTCTAGCATGACAAATACCGAACATGTTCATGCAGTGGCAAACTTGTCTACTTTGTCATGCTACTTTTATTTCATAGAGCGTTTTTTGTGTGGTCAGGGTTTTCCAACTTCATATCGCGTGATCCGATTGACCACGAGTTCGCGACCCGGATCGTCACCCTGACTACTGCTGTGGATGAAGAAGAGCTTGGTGGTGCTGGAATCTTCGCGAAGAAGAAGAAGAAGAAAAACCCGCGTATTCTGGCACCGCAAGAACATCTCGGTCGTCCGAAGGGAGTCATCAGCACCATGATGGACGGGGTAAAACGGCTGCAGTCGGTGTACCAGTACTCGGTGGTTTCGCTCGCTGATCTGCTGCCAAAGGAAATCGCAACCATGAAGTCGCACCGCAATCAGCAAGGTCTGGTGAGCGACACCATCCGGTTGGGCTGGTGCGACACCTACATCCCGACCCACGTCAAGTACGGCCCGGAGTGCGGCGTGAGTGGCGACGTCACCAAAAACGTCGTGAGCGATTTGCTGCCGTTTGTCGTCGCGGAATTCGATCTGGAAAAAGATGAATTCGAGACTCGGCGGATCGACGACGGTGCAGGGCCGAACAAGAACAAGGCTATTCCGGTTCCGGATTCTGTGTTCGAAACTGCGCTAGCTGCTGACTGGATCAAGGCCGACGGACCGCGACGGAGGAAAGCAGGGGATGAAGAAGCCCAATCGCAGGCGGACGGGACGCAGATGGACTTGCTCGATCATGTCTCGCCGAGATCCGCAAGTGATCTTCCGGGCGACGAGGGGTTCTTGGAGGCGTACGGGAACCGCAAGTCCAACAAGCGGTCGTCGCAGCAAATCGCCGAACACAAGAATGCAATCGAGTCCTGGGACAAGCATCTCAAGAAGTGCACCATAGAGAAAAAAACAGGAAACAGCCTCTTGAGCTAATCATTTGATTTTTCTTTTTTCTGTTCTTCGTATCAGGTCGCAGCACTGGTCAATTTCACGACGTGAAGTGATTATTTTTACAGCATTATGCAACCAGACAACCTTTCCTATGCCCAACCAAAATTGCCAATCTGTCATGCGTGTAATCACTGCTTTGAGACATTTCCAAAAAGGCACAATCGCAAGGCTTTTATGCAAATAATTTTTGTCGATTTCCGTACGTTGTCACAGAAGGGCAATGCGCATGACAAATTCGACTGTTGATATTGCAAAACTGGTCTTCGGCAAGGTTGTGCGGACCATAGCAAGAATAGCACCTGACACTGGTGAGACGAAGGCAAGAGTATATGAATATAAAGTAATATAAAAATTATAATTATACGCTTTGTGAAAAGCTGCAGTGCACTTTTTCAGTACAAGAATAGCAGCAGAACTTTATTTGGTGCAGAAGTTGATTTTGACTGCACAGATTAATAGTTTCGTATTCAAAAAAAATACCTCTCGTCTATACCCCCGAAACTTCAGCGGTGAAACTTATGGAAAGAAAGCTGAGACGATGGCTAGGCTTGTGATGCGGCCGTTTGTATATATCCATAGTCCCTTTAGCATGACAAACTTCTCTGCCACCTCGTCTCAGATTTCACTTTCATAAACCATCTGCTGTTGACTAGAGATACGCACTCCGTAGAAGAGAATTCAAAAATTAAATGTTAATGATTTTCTATTTTTGTTAGTTCTTGTTTCATTTCGTAAAACCTGGATTTCGCATTACAACTTGTAGCAAGTGAGACTCAAAGTCACAACATAAAAATAATTATTTGTTTGCACTGGAACTCCCAATCGATGCAAACTACTTCTTAGCCGCTGCAGGAGCAACATCCTGCACGCGTTTCGCATGACAAAAATTCCTTCGTGTTGATTGTGTGTTCCTTCGTATGGGTTTTTCTATTGCACCACCATCATCGTCCTGTTTTTTGTTGTTGTTCATCGTCGTTTTGGTTCTGTTACTGCATAGAAGAAGATGAAGATTGGGACTCGTTCACGTGGTCGCTCAGAATCGACGTCAGCCTGGTGGCAAATGAGCTCTCGGTCGTAGCATGCACGTAGTACTGCTCAAGAACTCCCTCCAGTCTTGGTTTTTTTACTCCCGGTGCGTTCGGATACAGATCCAGCGTTTTCTTGCCCGCGCTGGATGATAATTGTTTTTTTATTGTGTTTTCATTCTGTTTGACTATCGCATTTCTATGAGTAGTTGCTATGCACTAAACAAGCATCAAGCTCACACTAATTTTTCAATGATAATATGCAATAATGGTAGTACCTCTCTTCGTCTCCAACGTGGCCTGTTTCGTGGAGGGTGCGGAACGGAATCAAGGCGCTGCCGTGCAGTTCGTTGAAGCTTCCAACGACCGGCTTCGTACGACAATGCACCAGCAGAAAATCAGCATCGTCAACCTTGTATGTTTTGCCGCGCGACCTGGCAGTTAATTGTCATGGAAATAGCAGGGAGCAGCAGTGCGTGGAAGCTCATGCAAGACTAAGTGAAAAACTGCGAACGCGCTAAGTGGTACCGCTTCAGCGAGCACCGGAGATTGAGGCTTTTCCCGTGCTCCTTCCGCCAATACAAAGTTTTTTCCTGTACCGCCCACTTCTGATCTGGATTGGATTTGTGATACAGCTGGCCATCGATGGCGTCGAATTCCGTCGTAGCAGGTTCGTACACCAAGTCCGTCTCTTCGATCTGCTTGATGAACAAGTCCCGCGCCGATTTCTCGACGAGAGTTTCTTGGCTGTAAGCATTTAACAGTGCTCCAACCATCATGTGGCGAACGACCATGTTGCACCCCCACAGACGACGCAAGCGGGCCGGCAGCTCTTCCTTCGTCACCACCGAACTTGTTACGTCAAAATCCGAATAGTCCACGACTCTGTGGACAACATCAACGAAGTACTTGTCCGTGTCGTCGAGGCTGGTGCCGACCAAAATAGTTCCATGAAGACGCTCCCCCTCGTTGCACAAAATGAACTTGATGCGGCGCTCGAAATCACCGCTCCACTGCTTCGTACTTTTCAGCTGTATCCCAGCATAGTGCTCCGCGTTGCTGGGATGATCAGGAAAAGCGTTCAGCTTCGGTCGGATAAATACGTCGCTTGTGGTTTCAAAGATAAATTTCAAATCAAACCATTCCAAAATGTCTGATGCAAATTCGCGACGTGCCTTTTTCTCAATCTCGTGCGGTTGTGTTCCCATTTTGTAAGTCGTAAAATAGATGATGTCGTACGACTGAGATGAGGAATTGAAATACGTTCAAGAGGTCGTAGAAGTGCACACAACAACATCGAAAGAACCACACGAAAGGGACCCTGTTTTTAGTTTCAAAATCCATCACATTCATGCTCCCTATAATATCACAGTTCTCCTCTCCCCATGCAAAACACATACTGCAAAATGCTTTTTATTAACCCGATTCAATTGTTATTTTTTCCAACCGAAGCTTAGGTTTATGTAGCAGACCGAGTAGCTGTAAGCCACCTGATATAGTGCCGCTGTCGTAGTCCTTCAAATAATGCAACACAAATCCAAAATCATGGCATTCGACGCAGTACCGTGCTGATTCTCCCTCGGCGTTACGAGACGCATCCGTGACAGCATTCCTACTAGCTAATTAAATATCTATTCCGCACCTGCAGAGGTGGTATTTACAACATGCTTTTTTGAAAGCTAGCTAACGATTTTGAAAATTCTTAGCTACTCGACAGTTATTCTTGTTATAAGCATCTAAATCTATTTCTACTTTTTATTTCATGATCTCCACTTCTACAATGATACAAGTACAAAAACTTCCCTTCTTACCTGCATATACTCCGTTTTGCTGATACTAAATTCGGACAGCTCCTGGGCTATGTAATAAGCCGCGAACAGTATGAGCACCATCTCAGCTATCATCTGGCCATCGAAGTTGGGCTCAATGTAGCGGTCCGTGACCACGGTGAAGTCAAGCCGGTTCTCCATTTTCCCGCTCGGTGTTATTTCGAACACCAGCTTCGTTGCCCCGTAATACCCGAGATTCACGTTGTAAACCTGTAAATCGAGTGTTGAACGAAATTATGCACAACAAGAACTTCAATCAAGTTTATTGGTGCTGCGATCATAATCATCAATCGAATCAACGAACTCTGAAGAAACAAATCTCAACTGGCGTAAACGGAAACAAAGGCAGCTGCCGGGGCAACAACATTGATTTCATACTAGCAAACGACCATGCACAAGTTTATTATCGAAATCGCAAAAATAGTAAGTACGTTGAAATCGATGAAAACCGCCCTCGTTGCTACGTCGAAATATGCGTCCTCTTTCCATTTATTCAATTTTTCCTGCGCTTCTGTGTGGTTCGTCCCTATCGTGTTCATGTATCCGTTGGGCGAGTACGTTGCCGCTATTCCGGAATAACTGAACCCCTCTATCCTGGGAAAAAACGCTTCCAGCCCATAATCAAGTTGGGAACTCTCCAGCAACACAAATCCAGAAGTTTTGGGTCGTGACAAGTTAGTCTCATCTCTCTATTGTAGTTGTGCAGGTTAATAGCAAGGACAACCGCATCACAAAGCCATCAGCTCATCCTGTTTACAGCATTACAAATGCCAAAACACGACTCAAAATGCCTCGCTCATGAGGATGCGCATTAGCATTTTACAAATCTTCCTGTAGTTGTAGATCCAAATCTGCATGATACAACTCTGGGGCGGGGACACGTTTTTGCTGAGGATACCCTCCTCTACGGAGTGCTCGAACTGATCCTCCGGGTCTTTCCCATACTCATCGACCGCTTCGACGTCCTCGGTGTAGCCCCCATAACACGTATGAGAGTGCACAACTCCCCCTCCTCTTCATTCGTCATGCAAAATACTCCAAGTTCGTACCTTACTCGAAAGCACTGCTAGCATGACAAGTTTTGGAGCCAGAATCTCGAATAGTACTACTTACAATATGCACGCAGATTTGTCATGCGAAAAACCCTATTCTGCTGTTGCTTGTGTTGCTGGTCATGCAATACGACTGCGGGGGAAGGGGAGTTTTGCACTCTCATAACACGGCTCGTACATCGAGTAGGCTGCGGAGAGCTGGTATGAACTGCAAAAGCATCGTGCTAGTAGTAATTGCAATACAAATTCGCTTAGCACGACAAATGGAATCTGTCATGCTGATTAGCCTTAGGAACGAGATTTGTAGTGCATGACTGCAATTACTACGAGTACGATACTTTTGCACAGGATAGCTGGCAGTTGCTCGCTTCCTGGACGCGGACCATATCAAATGTAAAAATGTCTGGGTCTGGAAGAACGCAACTTGTCATGCTAAACATGAAGCATGTAAAAATCTGTGTTGCATACATACCAAAAGTCGTCCAGTTTTGACCAAGTCTGGCGAGAGTTTCTCATGCAGGATAAGCATGATAGAGATCGCGCAGATTCTGTCATGCTAGGTCCTGCATTCCAGACCTCATGGGTCAAGAAAAAGCTGCATGACAAGTCGCGCATTCTTCCAGACCCAGACATTTTTGCATTTGATAGACCACCCGAAACCGCACTTTGCCGGTCAGGAGATTGTAACTGTAGATATAGTTGATGTGGAGCATCGATTTAGATTTCCGTATCTACAAGAATCCTTTCTGCAAGATAATTAAGAAGTGGTGCGCATGGTGTCCGGCAGAACAGATGTAAAGTAAACACAGCCGATAGTAATTAATAGGTGAACTGAGATCTTTCATCACAAGCGGCATGATTAGCTGCAAATCAAACAAAGCTTCGAAACGAATTTCTGTACTGGTTCTGGTCCAGCTTCAGAATCGAGTAAGTCGCATTTGGCGCCATGCTGTCATAATAGACATTGTCGTAAAAGGTCGTGTTCAGGTAGCGCCACAGGTCGTCGATCGCTTATGAAATGCAACAACTCGTGGTCCTTTCTTCCCTCATGTGAAGGAGCTGGTGCGCATGAAAGGCAATAGAAGACAGCTTTATTGGCATGAAGAATTCATTTTTGTCCGCACACGACGGCCTGCAATTCTCTTTGGACAACTTCAACAACATGCGGAACTTTATTTGATGTTATGCAGAACTGCATTCCCAAGAACGCCAACAACAGCCCGGGCACGGTAAACTAAGACTTGCGCTTTTAGCTTCAGAAAAATATTAAATTTCTCGCCGTCACACGACGACAACTGAGGCCGCACAGTAGAGGAAGACCGACGTCGAGTCGTTCAATCGGATATGGTCTCCACGTCGGACAGTTGTATCCTTTGCGCGTCCGACCCGGTCCCGGTTAGGTTGTCGAATTTGTCTCGTATCGATTTCTCGAAGGAGTAGAAGTTGGCAAACGACTCAATCATGATCAGGACCGTGAAAAGCGTGACAAACACGATGAAGCAGCACACGTGGCGGCATTCGCGCAGCGTCTCCCCCATGCCGCGGTTGCGGCGGCGGAGGTCCTTGATGAGCTATCCCACAGAAAAAAGCAGGCAGGTCATATTTGTAATGCAAAAAGAAATATACAAAAAAATCTGTATTGCATACCCTAACCAGCACGCTATGGGCTCACCTATGACAGATTTTTCTGCTTTTTATCTTTTGCATTACAACTATGCCTTGCCTGCTTTTTTCTGTCCGATATGAGCTCCGCATTCTCCAACAGATTGATGCTGTCCTTCGCTTTGGCAACCGTCGTCATCTTCTCGCCGGCGTCCTCTCGATGAGTTTTTTACAACAGCAAGCAGCTCTCCTAGACGAAATTATACGCGACCACACCTATGACTACGACCGATGGTAGAAGAAGTGAAGTGTTCTTACTTACGATGGCTCCTGCTATCCTTGTTCCTTGCAGAAGATCTTCGCCGGTACAGATTCTCCTGCTTATCGTGTTGTTCTTCGATAGAAATGTAGCTGCTCCACGGCGAGTCTCATCATTTTATTTTTCCCACCCCCGCCCCCGTCAGTTACTTGCGGGGCAGTGGGACGACACAGCATCTTTCACTGTTTCTGCTTTTTCAAGATCTAAATTATCTAAAAAGCTATACCGGGTTTGAATTTATCCGTGATAAAGAGACACAAGAACGTGAACGTGTCAATGTTGTGCAGAAAGTCTTCAAAGTACGTGCATATTATACGCGAGATAACATTGAACGAGAGGAAACTGGGGAGAAGAACGAGCCTCGAAACGACGGGAGGTGAAACGCGATCTGGTAGTTACAGATATTTACTTCTGTGATGGAAAATTCAAACTCGTCCATGACCATGCGGCCCGTACGTTTACGTACTTTCTCTCTCTGGTACTTCGATCGAAGATATAAACTGCGAGTTGTCATTACCACACGACACTCTAATACTCTCCGGTGAAAATAAATAAAGAACGATGAATACAACGCGGTCCAGAGTCTCATCTCTCCTGATACTTCCTGCGCCCTGTTCCACCGTGTGCGCAGTTTCCCTCGCTCTCTCCCCCTGCTCTCGGTCTCGAGTTCATCTTTTCACTCGCACATTAGAACTCTAACAGCTCCCTTAGTACTTTCTCGACCGTCCCTCGCATTCGATCTCGATGTTTGTTTTCAAGTAATTTTCTCTCCTCAAATAATGACGTCGCTTGTGTTATAACTTAAGACCGTGCGTAGTATCGAGATGCAGCAATCGTTGAAGTCGATTTGAGATCGGTTGTTGAACACAAAAAATACGCAAAACCGGAGTACCAACTAGTACTCCAAACATCGGCAAAGCGTTCCAGATTGTTGCGCCGTTGTCCGCTCTTTTGTCTCAAAGAAAAAGAAAACAGCTACTACACAATGCTCACGTCACAATCCAGAACATGAGGGGGCCTGAAAATGCTATCGCTCGAGGAATTCGAAGTTTTTCTTTTCACATGCGATGCACAACAGCGCCGTGGCCCAGCTCCAGAGCGCCGGCGGGAAGAACCTTCTAGTAGTTTTCACACTTCTGAGCAATGGTCGTCCATGCTTACGCAACTTACGGTTACAACCCTTCCTCTTGTTCATCCGCTTGTTCCAGCAGCACAAAGGTTTCCACTTTGTCGCACGCAGAGCACTCCACATCCTGCTCATTTGCTTCGGAGTAGCTGGCCTCGATATGGACTGCAAAAGTATCGCACTCGTACTGATTGCAATCATGCATTACAAATCTCTTTGCGCAGGTGAATCCGCATTACAAATTCCATTTTTCATGCTTAGAGAATTGTTTGTCATGCGATTTCTACTAGTACTTACCATGCTTTTGCAATGCATACTCGAGCACCTGCTGCAACACGTGGAAAGCAGCGCCCACCTCGGCGGGAAGATGCTGCGCAGAAACGCCGATCGTGCGGTCAATCAGCGTATTCAGTTTCTGTCGGATGGAAGCGAGCAGGTTCGCGATTTGCTCCTCTGAAGATGTGGCAGGGGACGATCCTCGTGGACCACTTTGATCATCTTGCACTTGTTTATTCCACGACCTGTCGTGGTCTTCTTCGTAAAAATCTTTCCACGACCCAGCATCATCGTCCCAATCCATGTGGTCGTCCTCCAGTCCTCCCCAGTCGTCGTAGAAGTTCTGTCCCCAGGAAGAAGCTTTTTCGTTGTTGTTCTTGTGCCAACTTTGCGCGCTCCTTCCGCCGTTGGTTTTGTTCATCCCGTGCTGGTGGCCCCGGCCCGCCCGCCCTGTATCAACAGCTAGAACCACGTCTGAGTCGTTGTCTGGACGGGGCACGCTGATGAGCAGATCCGTGCCCTTCACCTCAAAAACACAGGATGTTGATGAACTGTAGTTGTCTTTGTCAACGTCGTCTTCAATAGCTGCAGGAGCAACTTCTTGTCGCTGGGTCACTTCTGGGAGAAAGAGTACGAGGGGCAAAACATCTTGGATCAAGGTGTTGTCCCGTAAGTACACCTCGCTGGTCTTCATCCGCTCGAAGTAGGCCGCCAGGTGCAGCTTCGCGCCGTCACTGTTGTTCGCCCCTCGAGCAGTTCTCTTCGGTTTTTTCCCGGCACCGATGTTTTTGATCAGCGAACTTGGGTGCGGCTGGCAGGAGACCTTGTCGGTCAATCCCTTAAACACTTGCTCCGAAGGCAGCTGCACAGCCAAGTTCAGCGACGCCGCCAGCACGCAGTGCAGCAGCGCCTTCTTTCGAGGAGTTCTATCGAAAGTAAGAACTGTTTCACTGTCATGGTGATGCATAGCATGGAATATTACAAACTTAGTAGCTATTTGTCTTACAGCACATCGTGCATCATAAAGACATTGGAGTTATATATAGTGAAGGTGTTTTCAATTGGGAAGCGCGCATGGAAAATAATTCTCTGTGCCATTATGTGTAACCAACTTGTGAACAAGGTGCAGATCTTGCAATAAACTCATGACAGTGAAAGAACAGCCTTGTTTCCGTGGGATACGTCAGGGCGGCGTTGTAATCCATTTTTCCTTGGCGAGCAACACTACTACCATCGTCGAGATGCAGGTCCTTCAAGTAGCCCAACAGGTCCTTGCGACAGGTTTCCGTCATCTCCAGCGTTTTGCTGCTTAGGAAGTTTCTGTCGCACCAATCGTAGAACCCGCCGCCGTGGGGCTGGCAGTGAAACTTGTTCGCAAACTCGAAGTACACCTTTATCCTATGTAAAAACGTCCCCACCACATAGTTGTCATGCAATTCCGCATGCTCAAAGTGTTTCTTATGCGGACCCCCATGAAAAGCATTTTCTAGTCGTTTAGTGGGATTTGTAATGCTCCGCTCAGCATAATAGGCGAGGTCTGTGATGCTGCTGAACAAGCTAAGTCGAGGAGTCCACTACGAGGCCAAAGCTGTCATGCGCAACAACCAAAGCTGGCTAATTTGTCTAGCAGATTTACCCATCCTGACTGTGGGTTGGCGACGTTTCTGCTGCGGATAACCTTCGCAAACAGCAAGTGGTCGCTCCACAGCCCAAACCCGAAGTTAAGCTTCGCCGCGTCAGCCTCCTTTTCTTTGCCGAAGGGCAGGACAAAGGGCGTCTTGAAGGACAGGGTTGCACAGATGGACAGGAGGTCCGGGTGGATGTTGCTAGAAGTGTCTTGTTCTAGTAACCCTACTCCTCTTCTTGCTGATGAACTAGAACTACTGTTCGTGTTCGACGATTGATTCATCGGGTTCGTGGATGCTGAGGAGCCCGACAGCAGGCTTCCGAGCAGAAGCATTTTCCCGAGGCAGGGATGGCAGGGGATCATGGAGAGCTTCCACCCGAGTGGCGTGAGAGACTCCGGCTCCTCTTGCTGACGATCTACTTGTTCTACAGGGTTCGCCGCGCCGCGGCCCCTATTAAAACTACTTCTGTCGTTCACGACAAGCGCCCCCAAGGCCTGCAGCAGGGCCACCGCGTTTTGCACGGCCAGTCTCTCCGGCGGCACGATTGCTTTGCTCAGGGTCTCCTGGATCGACAGAAGCCCCGGGAGCTGCAGTGCCTTCACCTGCAAGCAGAGCTCCTCCACCGGCGTCCGCAGCATTTCCGGCACCTCGTGGTCCGCCATGCAGTTTTCCCACTCGTATTTGGAAAACAGCTTGAAGAACTGCCCCGGCCTGCTCCGCCCGGCGCGTCCACGCCGCTGCTGCACGTTGCTGCGCGCGCACTGGAGCGTCTCTAAGGCGGCGATGTTGGTCTCCGGGGTGTAGGTGGTTCCCTTATTCAGCCCGGTGTCGATCACATACACCACGTCTTCGATCTATCGCAGGAAAAAATTTTGTGAGTGTAAGTCTGTGATGCAGAAAGTGCAACACCGTTATACTTGTCATGCTGGACTGTGCGTGGTCACAGGCTGCTTTCATAGTACGTGTTTCCACGTACTAGCTGCGCATGACAGGTTTTCCCTGTAATGCAAAACGAATTTGTCATGCTGCTCATCCTACAAAGTTACACTTACACTGTTTTTTTCCAGGATACGATCGTCACGGACGTTTCCGCAATAATGTATGCACTGCAAACGCAAAAGCATCGCACTAGTATAAGTCGCATTACAAATTTTCGCAGCATGATGAGAAATGAAATTTCTGATGCGGATTTGACTTACAGAACAAACAAAGACATTTCTAATGCATGACTGCGATTAGAAGAAGCACGAGTACGATTGAGATTGACTTTTGCAAAATGCGTATGTTGGTGCTGATGATGATTTTTCGGACGTGCCTCTCCACCTTTTTGAACACCAAATTTTGCTCATTCGGCGGGACTATCAAATGCAAAAATGTCTGGGTCTGGAAGAATGCAAGATCTGTGATGCATATTTCTCATGACCCATGATGCCTGTAATGCATGACCTAGTATCGCAGACTTTTAGAGGGCTTCCAGATGCACGTTCTGCATGAGAAATGCCCTGTCCGTGTAACACAAATTGTACCCCTCTTGCTGGTCATGCAATGCAAATTTTTTTCGAGTCCAAAGACAGCATCACAAGTTGCAATCTTCCAGACCCAGACATTTTTGCAATCCATAGGGACCATGGAGTGGAGCGGCAGGAACCGCCACTCGATGCCGTTCTTGCTGAAGTCCGGGGTGGAAGATTTCAACTTTTTTAGCGCCTTCATGGTGTCGGTGATTTCCATCCACCCGGGCACGAAAATCAGGATGGCGCCGGCGGAAGGGGTGGAAGACGACGAGGATGCAGCTGTTGAAGGGTGACGATCGTGTTTGGTGTTGTCCCTATAATTGTTCCTTTGATGCGGATCATTCTTGTACGCAGCTCGCATCTCTTCCCGCTCGATGTACTGCACAACTTGCGCGATGAAATCCGTGTCCATGGTATTACAATGAGAAATGCCCCCACCCCGGAATGTGCGAAAGAGTTTCTCATGCAAAGTTTCCAACTGAAAGCCTTTTGTCTTGCAAGAAAGGACTACGAGCCTTTCTGATGCAGAATCTGGGCACGCAAGGCATCTTTTGCATAACAGATCCGACTGCTGTTGGTCTCCTTTGCAACACAGGTTTGAGCTATTCACTTTCAGCATGGAAAATTTGTGATGCTGATACATGCAAGACGGGGAAAATTTCCATAGGAAAGGTCTGCAACGCAAATGCTGCCAAGTTCTGGGGCGGAGGCATTTTTCACTGTAATACATGGCCAGGGGTCTGTGTAGGAGATTCGAGATGTTCATCACCATGCTCTTAGATACGTCGCCCTCTCGTCCACCATTCTGCTTTACTAAAACTCCACTTTTTACCTGTTCCTTCGCGTGGGAATCAAGAAAGGTCCACACGTCGTTTTCAGTGACATCGGGATTGCGCCAATCCTTACCCGCGGCCCCGCCACCCTATCAGAATGAAAAATCCCCCCTCCCCATATCAAAACGAAGCTTCTGCTGCTGGATGTGCGTACACAAATCAGATTTGTCTTGCTGGCGAGGACTGCAGGCACATACTGAGCCTGAGTCGGCAGGCTTTGGCCTAGGCGCTTAGCATGACAGACGTCTGCGCTGTAGCTAAAACAGCATGACAGACCGCCTGTAGAATGCGGCGGAGCTTGTGGCGTTGCCTTCATGCAACACAGAGACGATTTGTGACCTTAAATCAGCAACGCAAATTTTCGGCAACATACCTTTTCAATATGGGGAGGGGGGATTTTTCCTTTTGATACCGTCGTGGAGCTGCTTTGTTGGTTGTTCCAGTGGCCTCCACCTCCACCAGTATCAAATGCAAAAATGTCTGGGCCTGGGAGGATGGAACTTGTGATGCGTCCTGTGAGTCACACCAAAATCTGTGTTGCGTGATCATCAAGCGTTTTCCTTTTTTGACCAACATGAGCGGGAGTTTCTCACGCAGGATAGGCATGATAGAGACTTCGCAGAATCTGTCATGCTAGGCCCTGCATTTCAGACCCCATGGGGCATGGAAAATATGCATGACAAGGCTGCATTCTTCCAGACCCAGACATATTTGCATTTGATATCCAGGACCACGCCACAACTTTTTCTTCTCCCCGGGTCCTCGGGCGCCCTTGATGTGGAAATTTTGGTCCACAACCCCACGGAGGAACAGGTCTTCGGCGAAGAACTCCTCGATGGGATAGTTTGTTTTACCCGGTAGGTCGATGAAGTCCACGGTGAGCGGGTTCCGGGAGAACCGCGCTCCTTCGCTTTCGTTCAGGATCGACCCCGGCCCGGTGTTCTTCTCGCCAAAGTACTCCAAAAAGGAGCTGGCGTCGATGGTCGCGGACATCAGAATCAGCTTCAGCGGTCCGCTATCCCGTGCAAAAGTATCGGACTCGTACAAATGCAAGTCTTGCATTACAAATCTTGTTTCCAAGGGCAAGGCAAATCCGCATTACAAATTTGATTTGTAATGCTAAGTCAATTTGCCATGCAATTTATACTAGTACGATGCTTTTGCACTGCATATTCGCCCCTTCCCTCTTCCGCGAGTTTCTTCCTTTCCCGGACCAAATCGCGCAGGATGAGGAGAACAAAATCCGTGTGCAAACCGCGCTCATGCACCTCGTCCACGATAACGAAATCGACGCCATTCAGCTTCGGATTGCCGACCAGGAAGCGAAGCAGTATCCCGACCGTGCAGTACAGAAGCTCGCAGTCCGCATTTTGCACCTTCCGCTCGAATCGGATCTGGTACCCGACGCGGTCACCAACCGTCTCGCCCCGCTCGTAGCACACTATCGCAAGAAAAAAGTGTTACAATTACACATTGTGTTGCAGGCCAAGCAAGACAGAAAAGCTCTGTCATGCCGGATATGCATACTAGGAGCCTCGTTTTATAGGTGTTTTCTCGTAGGATTTCTGCATTACAAGTTTTCTCTCTCATGCAGAAAAATTTGTGTTGCTGAATTCACTACAAATGTGTAACTGTAACACTTTTTTCGTAGGATACACACCCGCTCGCAGACACTGGTCGCGGATATTCGGCGCGGCTGGGTGCAAATGATGCGGCGGCAGATGTCCTCGCTGGTAGCTGCAGAGTCGGTGTCGTTGCAGTACTCCATGAGAATTTGCGGTAGCTGTGTGGTCTTCCCGCACCCCGTCGCGCCGCAGAGGACCACAACATCGTGGGAAAAAACGCTTCTCACGAACTGCCGTCCGGCCTTGTAGGCGGGGAGCCATTTCCGGAGGTGCACGCGCTCCTGATACACTTTGCACGGGTTGCGGGTGACCGTCGGGAGCGCGAAACCAGCAGGAGTTGGCTTAACTTTTATATTTGCATCGGACGATAGATCTGCGTGTGGTCCACCTCGTCGTGTTACCATCTCCTCGTCGTCATCTTCCGCCACACTGTCTTCATCAGGCCCTCTCGCGTCGACCTGAAGATCCTCTCCGCTGGACGAGAGCTGTTCGACCACAGGATCCATTTCGTAATCTTCATCCCTCTCGCCGCTGCTGTCGGTTTTTTGCTTTTTGCTCGCGGCGGCATGATCGCTCGGCGCGGCCGGGGCAGCTCGTCTTTTCTTTTTCCCAAAATTGCTGCTCAAAAACTCATCCTTGTCGAAAGTGTGCCCGCCGCCCGCGTGCCCTGCGAATTTCCGCGTCTTGTTCAGCGCAGTGGCGAGGTTGTCGTCTAGCTCCCGCAACTTCGCCACGTCGCGGTAGTAAACCGGCTTGCAGTATTCCGTCTTCCGGATCTTCTTCACCCCGTCGAGCATATGGATGTGTCAGGATTGAAATCGACAAAATCGAAAAATTTGTGATGCAAAAAATGTAGGGCACTGAAGGCCTGTATTGGCGAGCAGGCAAATGAGACCGATTGCAAGCCTGTTTAGGCGGGATATGCAATGTGCTGCCGCAGTAGCATGACAGGAGCAGTCTAATCTTCTTTGCCCAAACAAAGTGACGGGCTGGATTTGGGTGCTCCCGAAATTTGTCATGCGCCACTTGGAAACTGAGGCTTCAACTGGTATCGATTCTATGCATCGCAAATTTTTTTTCGATTTTGTCAATTTCGATTCTGACACTTCCATAGAGCAGCGGCCTCAGATAGTCGTACCCGTCCGCGGCTGGGGGTAGTTCAAAGTAGCGCTTGAACACTGCCAAGTCCTCGCTCTTCAGATTCCGGATGTCCTTGTCGCCGGCACTGGCAAAGTTGTGGAAGGCGCACAGCTCCTCCCACAGCGGTTTTTCGTTTTGCCGGACGTCCCGAAGCAGCTGTCGGGTCTTGACCCAAGCGCCGTTTGCGGTGCTGGCGTCCTCAGCCTGCGCGGCTTCCAGCCCGACGATCTCCACGCAAATGTCGCGAAGGCGGGCGAAGGGATGTAGTTCGTGTTGGGAGGTGGACGACGTAACTCCTGCTGCGGACTCGTTCTTGTTTCCGTCCTCTCCGTTGTTCGTGTTTCCCGTAAGATGACCCCCGTACTTCATCGTCCCGTCTCTCCTTGCGATCTTCTTCAGCGTCGGCGCCCCGCGGTACTTGCCCCCCGGCTCGAAGTGAATCCCCGGAAACTCTTTCACCATCTGCTTGTAGGTATTCTGCTCCCGACCACGCACTTGCCAGGAGTCGAGCTCAAGTTCCTGCGCAGCGGGGTTCTTGGAAAAATTATCAATCGTCATCCAGACGCGGTTTCGCACTTGCGGATCGCTTGACGCCTCGACGTGCTGCCGCCAATCGTAGCCGCCCCCGCCCTTTCCGCCACCTCCGCGGCCCTTTCCTCCTCCACGACCCATTTTTCTTTTTATTTCTTTTCGCCCGTGGACCACGCACATGAAAAATCCGAAGTCATTTCTGGACACTACGACTACACGAAAAAAATCGATCGCATTTCTACTTGCAACTACTGAAAAGAAGGAGAATGTAATTATAGTATTTTTATTAAGTACATCTACATGACCTAGTTCCCTGAACGCGAATACACGACACTAGCTTTACCAACGAAAATGTTTATGACAACTACGACACATAGCAAGTACTTACCTTTATACCGTGGTGAGTCGAGACGAACCACGCGTGAGGATCTTTTGGGCAACTAAGTGCGGGACCACTGATCGTCATTGTGATAGTAATTATCTCGCAACCTTGAATAATATGAAAAACAAATGCAGAAGCGGCGTCAACTAACGCCTGCCGCAGAATCAATTCGGGTAGTTGCCAGTGTCGACAGGAGACCACGACGAGCCTCGTGCTGTAGTAGTTGCAGCCGCTACCGTGTTCGAAGATATAGCATTTTTATGATGAAGCGACGAGATTGCTGCGTAAATCGATTTCACCAGGTTGGAACTCCCTTGTCATCTTCATGTGATCTCGGGCAGTCGAGATCATCGATTTCCAAAAACTTGCGATTTTTGTCGTCACAGTAGCAATCTATCCGCACTGGAAAGATGATCACAAGCAACCGGCCAGAACGAGGACGACACACACACACACAAACACTAACACACAGAACGACAACCCACACTACGCGAGGAGCTAATGCCAAAATAAAGAAACAAAAAAACCAAGCCAGAACATTTCTTGGCACCATCATCACACAACCAAGAACCGCGATGATGCGAAGTCAGACAGTCCCGGTGTCTGACTCTGATCGAGGCCGAAAGAAGGAGAAGCCAGAGCCTGGCTGTTTATTTGTCAGGAAAAACAGAAGCGGAGAAGATGAATCAATATAAACCTCCTTTACTACAAGCTTGCGTATATCATTTATCTACCTTAATGTCAGCAGTGGTCTGTCTCCAGTCAGCCCCGCTTTCTGTTGTTCAAAATGAATCACCAATCGCCGACGAGCCTGCTTCGTGTGAGTACTTACACCCCTCAGACGACGAGCGCGCTGCTCTGCACGGAAAAGAAGTTTGCAGTCCGGCCGTCGGTGCCATTGAAGCAGGAGGTATGCAGCCTAAGTGCGTCCAGGTCGTGGATCACATCGGCGTGACTTGTACCAAAATTTTTCAACACAGACACTCTATACCTGATAGATGCGTCCTATTACTGACGACCACATAGTAGTATTTTTTCACAATGTGCTCTATACAGGAGCTAGACTTTACTTGACCTGCTGCAGTTGATGCAAGACTAACGGCAAGACAGACCCTTGCAGCCGAGGCCGCCTACCTTTTCAGAATCTAGAATCAGATTCAGAAGCGATCCGCGTTACAACAGTATTTTTATAGAAGACACACTAGTCAAAAAAAGCATCTAATATGCTGCGGTACAGCTTTTTTTGATTGGCGTCTTCCGTCTTCCAATGAGTCCGACCATAAGCCTGAAAAATTTGCACTCGATACGGCCCGCCATCGTAATCCCCGCTCACACAAGCGTCGAACCAAATCATATGAATTGCAAAAGTATCGCACTTGTCGTGTAAAAAATGCATACACAAATTTCCTCAGCATGAGAAACAAGATTTGTAGTGCGGATTTACCTATAAGAAAAAGATTAAGATTTGTAATGCATAGTTGCGATTAGTACGAATACGATACTTGTTTTGCACAGGATAAAATACTTCCCCGTACGACTGCCGGTCGTCGTCCCAGTTCTGAACTGCAAAAGTATCGTACTCGTAGTAATTGCTGCTATGCATGACAAATCTCTCTCTTAAGGGAAAACAGCATTACCAGTTTCATTTGTAATGCTGAGCGAATTTGTAATGCAATTTTCTTATACTAGTACGATGCTTTTGCGTTCGATACCAGTCCACCTCCGTTTATCCCGTGTAAAAACGCCCCCAAACCCCGAGCTGTGATGCAAATCTGCATGCGTAAAATGTTTCAAATGCGGAGACCTATCAGATCCACCTTTGTGATGCTCGTATCTTCAGGATGCTATTTGCTAGCTCCGCGTCGATGTTGCTGCTGCACTAGCTAAAGACGACTACACTGCGAGCCCAGATTTGTCATGCGCACCAACCAAAGCCTATTGATTTGTCTAGCAGATGTCCCGCCTTGACTATGGGGTGGGGACGAGTTTCCACATAGGATACTGCTCCGTCCAGTTTCACGCTCTCCAGGCAGAGCCCGTTATCGCCACTGTGGGACAACTGCAACGAGGCGACCCGCGACCCCCGCAAGGACCCGGTATTGAAGGTGTGCTCCTGGCCCTTGTACGCAAAAACCTTTTCCGTCTGAAACGTAACCCCTAGGTCGGTGGCGAGCTTGACAACCAAGGGCGCGGGGGACTCGCTCTTGTCTCTGCTACTGCAGGCTCGGATGGAAAGCGAGGACGAAATGTACCCTGCTGCGCTGGTCCCCGGGGGCGCCGTCGTGACCCCCGGCTTCGAAGTGTGGTCCGGCGGTGGCGTATGGGGAACGATATCCCCATCCACGGGGTCCTCGTCCTCGGCCAAAAAAAGCGGCGCAGCCTATCAAGGAAAAAAAAACCCCTTCCCATATCAAAACGAAGTTTCTGATGCCGAATTTGCGGATACTATGGCTGATGCCGAAGTTGCGTACGCAAATGCGCTCTGTCTTGCTGTAAGGAATTGCGGCCATAGTACTATCCCCGCCTCGATAGGGGCGTCTGGGTCTAGTTGTTTAGCATGGCAACCGGCTGCCCTCTAGGCCACCCAACAGCATGCCAAATCGGTTCCACAATGGCAGGGAAGCCTCTGCGCTTGTCTTCTTGCAAGACAAACCTGATTTGTGGCCACAAATCAGCAACACAAATTTTGTTCGAGGGAAGCATACCTTTTCAATATGGGGAGGGGGGATTTTTCCTCTCAATACAGCCACTTCGTTGTTTTCTCCGGTCGGACAACAGGACGAGTCATCTTTCTCGGCATTTGCACCGAGGGACGACGTCGTGTCGGCTGCGTTCATTTCATCTCGTCCACTAGAGACAGTGCCCGCGGACGAACCGAACAACATATCACCGGCGCTAGAAGCGCTGCTTGAGGACTGCGGTGCGGCGTCGCTTCCCGATGCAGCTCCTGTTCTTGCGCTGTCACGCGTACGCCGCGGCGCGTCCTCTGCAAACACGATGGTGGCGGTTGTTGAGCCTTCGTCAGACGAGTCTGCTCCGTGGCTCCCGCGATGTGTGGTCTCGAGCGTAGTTTCCTTTCCACTCTGCGTCTGAGCCCGATTCTGCTCCAAGAAGGAAGCAAACGCGGCTCGCGCTCGGCTACGACGACCGCGCGATGAAGTAACCCGATCTCGCCCACCATCGCGCCGTCGCTGCATCACCGTCGCCTTTGTTCGCATCGTCTTTGTTCACAGAGAGAGAGAGAGAGAGAGAGAGAGAGAGAGAGAGAGAGAGAGAGAGAGAGAGAACCTACATTCGCTGAAAGTCGCTGAAAGCGCCCCGCGGACGTGACCACCGGCGGCAGGGACGACCATAAGGGTCAGGAGACTCCNGAGAGAGAGAGAGAACCTACATAGTCCGATCAGATCAGATCAGAGTGGCGACGCGCACGCTACCACCGGCGGCAGGGACGACCATAAGGGTTAGGAGACTCCCCTTTTTTCGAGGGGGTAAGAAAGCTAAATCCGCACGCAAAATTTCGGCGGGCTTCAAACTACTGAAAGATCCTGGCTGTGCGTGAGGGATGCAAAAGGATCAAAACGCAGCAAGCAGTCGAATACTAAATAGCTCTCAAACACCGACGTCCTTATGTTCTCATGTTGTTACACTCCCGACGGTGATCGCAGCACCAGGAGCCCACACGAACTTGAAGAGTAACGCGCGGCTAGCAGAGCAGAGCAGGCGCGAATCGCCGACCTTCCACAAGCGGAGGCCAAGCTGTAAAATATTTTTTCCAAGCAGAGCTGTAGCGAGCGCAATAGCGCTGAGGAACAGGTAAGCTGTTTAGAGCCCCGGCGCCCCATGAAACTACTTGCCAGGATTAGCAGACCTGACCCAAAACTATCTACATGCAGACGCCATGACGGAGCTCCGCAGACAACAAACCAGCCTCCGACAAACATATAAATGTCACTCATATCAACTGCGGAACCCGAGTGAGAAAGAACGAAAAGATGAGGCCGCGGGCACCGCGTTCGTGGCACATTTTCACCACCACCAGATAGCGCGCGCATGTAAACAAGCTCTGGCAGACTGACGAGCACCAAGGGGTGTTCGCCGGAAAGACAGCAGCAGGAAAAAGCGCCCATCTGGGTCCGGGAAAATCAACACGAAGTTGGTCGTCGGACCGCAGGGGTGTAGTACGAAAAGTTGTGCAACGTCCCGCCGGCAACACGTTGGTGAACGTCAAGTGCCAGAATCCCCAAAGACTGTCGCGCCCCCCCGGGCAAACCCGCTGGCAAGGCGGAAAAAACAAACCCCTGCGAGAGCGCGGGATCCGCAACTAGCGCTACAAAGGTTGCAAAAGTAAAGAGAACAGACTTAGAGGGGAGAAGCAGGATAAAAGGGTAGAGTTCAAAGTCTACAGGGGCGCATGCAAGAGGGGGCAAAAGGAACGGGCAGTCCAGTAGTAAGCAATAGCGAGTAAGAAAACAACATAACATAAACGACAGAAGGAAAGTAAAAGGGTATAGACCTAACTCTACAGGGGCGGATACAAGGGGAAGCGAAGCAGGGAAGATCAGATTTAGGCATGCAACGGCATGGAAGGAGCATACGAATTTGCGATCAGGCTCCAGGAAAACGAGACACAAATGTCTCCTGCCTAGTGAACTAGGCAGGACAATACACGACGAACGTCACACAGTTGAACGCTGGCCTTCCTCTCGTTCCACTGCACGCGTGATGCCTCTCCGCCCACCTCGCAACGTCTTCTAAAAATGGTCCGGCTGACTACACTCGGGTCGGATGCCGCTCCTGTTGTACAAAGCCTGGGACTTGCGTTCTTCGAATGGTAGCGGAGACGATCTAGACCGTAGACTAGACCGCCCCCTATCTACCGTCGCGGTTTTTTGTAGTCAGTTTCGTAAAGGCCGACCGGAAGACGCAGGGGTGATTTACCTGTGGCCTTGTAGCCCGATTCCGATCATGTATCACTCTAAGGCCTGCGCTTGTACTAGCCGTTCTCCGCCTTGGCAGCAGCTTATTGTGCTTACTCGCGCGGATCTTCAAAGAGCAAGGCGGACCGGAGTGAATTCACCAGAGACTTTTGAAAAAGATCGACTTGGTTCAAGTCTGCTAGGTTGTTCTTCTGCAGTGGGTGGAGGGCAGACGAACACGAACATAAGGAAACTCCCCACCGGGCGGGCTCTCGGCCGTCGTTCAGCGGGTCCCCTGGGTTGAGTGCGGCGCGCGGCTATTCTACTGCTCTACCACATAAGCATTAGTAGTAGCTTAGGCGCCTTGTCTTGTTTTTTCTTCTTGCTGTTAGGAGACTAGTGTAGCGGACGAGCGACAGCCTCTGTATCACAAACGCCGCTTGCTACATTCACCCGCCCCCGTTCGAGGACGGGTCGAGCCTCGCAGTGTCGTGTTCTCTAACTTCTTAACTATGCGCGGTGGCTTCACGCTTTTAACTACTTTTTCGCCTCAGCAAGCGCCTCAACAAGTTCTCTACTCTGTCTCCGTTCCCATCTCCCCCACCTTCCTCTTGGCGCACCCTCATTGCCCTAAACCCACCTGCTTCGATGTGCTCTGGCCGACGCAGCTGGTCACCGGTTCCGCTCCTCCCACGCTAACACCCCGGGACTGCTCCTGCAGCCAGAGGTGTCATGTACTCCAGAAAGGCCTAAAGCGAGGGGGGAGGGGTGGGGGGATTTTTCTGGGTGCTGGTTTTTCGGAAAAGTTGCCCGGCTGGGCGTAGTCCCCTCCTGCTGTGGTGTTGCAGGGCTGGGCTTGCTTTTCTGTTTGTCGGCCTTGTTCGTTTTCGTATCGGCAGTTTCTCGCCTATAGTCGCCCTATCCAGCTCGCTATTTTGTTCAGGTCCCTCTCGTGGACCTTGCTCTGCTTTTTCTCCGGTTGCCACTCCGCCACGTCGTTGTAGTCCACCTCGTCAAAAACCGCTTGCCCTCCTCTGATCGCGTTCGCTAGCCCCGTGGGCAAAATTCCGCCATACGTCTGCGAGGCCTTCTCGTAGAAGTTCAGGATGCCCTTCACGCTTTTTCTCTCCCGGACAATACTTATGCAAGATTCCATGTCTTTTTTGCATGGCGCGCCTAAGTGTTCTTTTCGCAATTGCACTAGTTTGGGGTCTTCGCACCGAAAAAGCAGGTGGTCTGTGCTTGGCGCTACTTTCTTCTGACAGACTGGGCAGGTCATGAAGCTCTTTTTTGGCTCCTGTGCGTTGTGCGTCGTTCTTCCCATGCCTAACTGACCTGGGTGGCCCACCCCTAGCCACACTGTAACCATGACGTTGTCTACAAACCTCGGCCTTTTCTCCTCACTTTGGTACTCTCCTAGCTGACTTGACCTCCTTAGTAGGTCGGGGTGGGCGCTGTTACTGCTCTGGGGGCTGCTTTTCACTATCTGGCTCACGATCCGCCTGAGCAACTTTTCAGTGATAACTTTTTCATAGGTTTTACGTCCCTCCGACGAGTCTCCAACGTAACGCAGCCCCCTTGTTGCAAGTGCATCTGCAAAGTCGTTAAAGTAGTTTCCCAGGTGCGACGGCACCCAATTGAAGTGGATTTCGCATCCCGGCGCTGATAGCTCTTCCAGTTTTTCCAGTTCCTTCACGATGTCGATCACCATTGCGTTGGACTTGTCCCGCAGTGCTTCGAGCGCCATCAGGAGGCCGTTGGAATCGATGTAGAAGACGTGCCGCGTGATGGATTTTAGTATCTGCTCCGGTACCTTATTTATTAACTGGTTTGAGCAATTCAAATTATCGCGATCATGGCCAAAGAACAAGCGGCGGCTGTTCCAAGTGCAAAAACAAGCATAGTCTAAGCAATACGAACAATCATCTCTTGAGGCCGAATAAAGACAACTACCCTAGTAGTAGGCTCTTGTCGTGGTGCAGATTGGTGGACATCAACTTGATGTCCAACTTCATCAAGATAAGTAGTTGGCGGATCTGTGGCAGGAGATATTGCCAAGTTGAAAGGTCATGGGGTCGTCCGATGAAACAAGACCGGGGATGATGTGAATTGATTCCTCAAATACGACGGCGACCATCTCCTAGCTGAAAACACTTTTCCACAAATTATACGTGTGCATCTGCATAATTCTCGAGAATAATACCACTCAATCTCGACGACGACGAGAGCCCACCACGAATGGAGCAGCGTTACAGGATGTGATAACATGATCAAAACGATGGACGATAGGAACGAACACGATGGATATCGCTGCGAATCGAGTCAAACACTTGCGGATCGAGTAGAACACTATCGCGAAAGGGCGGGGCCGGCCACTCATACCACAAGCCATGATGCTGTAAAAATATGAAACAACATACGAAAAACTCCACGATAAGTACACTGGTGCCGTGGCGTCTTCCTTATTTTGCTGAGTGCTGGTGCCTACGAGTATGTCTTGCTTTAGTATCAATTCGCAGAGTGAGAAGTTAGGAGTTGTCATCTCGCAGTTTTATACGAAAACTGAGTTTCACTCAATATCATATACATATCTACTCTGGCGCGTTCTCTTTATTTATTGCGCTAGCGCAAAAGGCTGACTGCATCGTCGACATTCATCAACGCCGAAGTTGCACTGAGACCGTCCGGCGGGACCAATCTTAGTACTTCTTAATAGCCGATAGTTTTTTTCTACGAAAAACTGACGCTACGCCAACGCCTCAGAAATAGAGCCGCAACAGCTTTCCCGTTTTGGAAGCGATCTTCAGGGTAAGGGCTCAAAAGGTGAAGGGAATTTTTTGCGACATCTACTTTATTTGTATCAAATCCGTTTCGTGAATTTCGAGAATCGACACGGCGTTCGTAAGAAGTGCCAGTGACGAAATTGGACGCTGTTCCCCGTACACAATTTAGGGTTTCGGGTTTAGGGTAATAATTCTATATCATATAGAATTATTACCCTAAACCCGAAACCCTATATGCGCACGATCTTCCTTGCTTTACTAGTACCGTACAAGTGCCTGCATACGAAGGAATAGCGCCGAACCGTCACGGTCGAACATGATACGAACGTGATACAGCATCCGTTTTTCTACCAACGTGAACGGCTACGCTTGAGGTGCGACTACAGGTTCAACATAAGTGGGACTGTAAACAGCTGCTTGAGTAAAACGCTATGGTCGTGATTAGTGCTAAATTTTTTCGACGCGTGCTTATCATTTTTGTACGAGCAGAAACATATTTTATTTACATAAAAATATAGTGGGCACACAAGAGCTTTCTGCTAATCGAGAAAATCGACGTACATCTACATTCTGAATTCAGTGCAGCGATGTGGCTATTTATTTCTATAGATACAGCAGACACAATAATTCATTTAAATTTTTTTCGTAATTGAAAATAGCAAGCTTGCGGATGCTTCTGCACTTGTCCCGTGCTTTCAAGAGCACACGTCGCACCATGTTGATTCAGTTTCAGTAGATTGTCACGTTATATTACGCCGCGACGGTGCAGAAAATGCATTTCCGGAAAGTTACCACGTAAATCATCAAAAGCGGAAAAGTCTCACACCGTAGGCCAAATGCTTTCTGTGCAATGCTTTAGCTTTTCTGGGGTAGGGTATATGGTATCTCTAGTACTAGTTTGGACTGTTTCCTTGCAATGCCCTGCCGATTCTCTGAAGGTTTGCCATCAAGGTGAAAAATGTCCTGCAAAATTCTCTGCGGTGTATTTTCCTCAGGGGGGCTTCGGCTTCTTTTCCTCGGGGTGCTGACCGCTATGGTGGCGGCCGTCTTTACTCGTGGTTCCTTGGTGTTTCTTGTGCTGGGCGCCCTGGCCCCCACCACTACTTGGTAGATGTTGATGAAGCTGGTTCTGGAACGCGATTCCTGTTGCGGCAATCTTTTGCTGTACGTGTTTCTGTCCTGTTTGCAGCTCGGCCTGTACGTGTTGCCCGAAGTTGGTTACGGCACCGCTTACCAGCTGCTGGACTTTTTTCGCGACGGTGTGAACCGTGTTAACGACCTGCACCTGCACCCAGTCCCGAAGGGAACAAATCTTCTCGCCACATTCTTTCACCGCGCCACCAAGTTCGCCTGGCGGAAAAACCGGTAGGTGGAAGAGCGTCACTAACGCCGGCGCGATAGCAGAGCTGAAGATCGCGGGGATGGGGGTTTGCCGAATAAATGGAATGAGGACTACCACCTGGCTCAGGACTCCCCCCACAGCGGAGGCCAACATGAGCAACAGACCCTCGGTGACGGAAGACGTGAGGAAAACCTGAATCCAGCTCCACACCTGCGCTGCGCCCTTGGAAAGCTTCTTTGCGATATTTTTAATGGCCTGTACCACATTCTCCGAAATGCTTTTCACCTTCTCCACGACAGTATAGCTTTCTCAATCGGTGCACTCTCAAGTAGTGTGAACGGGAAAACAAGAAAAGCGTGCGGATTCTGATTCTGTATTTTCTGTTTTTTAACAATGAGGCCGCATTTTTCTGCCGTCACGCGAAGCACAAGCCCCGTGCATTTCTCTTGTTTCTCCGCTCGTTCCTCTGAGACCGCACCATTTGAGCGGACCATAGACTTGAGACAAAACCCCGGCTCCGGACTCCGCCGAGTGCGTCGCCCCTCGCAATATGGGACTCTCAAGCGTTACACTCTCAGCTTTTTCATGATGTGTCACGGAAAATAAATGAATTACCATAAATAACCACCTCCAGACGATCAAGCTCCTTCGTGGAAGCACTAAAAAGCATTGAAATCTGTGCCAAATTTCTGAGCTTCTCCTGCATTACAAATTAATGTAAACAGCTGAGAGCGTAACAATAAATTGAGAACGTAACGTCCGCCAGCTGCACGACTGTTGTGCCGGAAGCGTCACGAGCTTGCGCAGGGGCTTCAAGCTCCGGAACCAATTTGAGTCGACTGCCAACATCTGCGTCCGCGCGCGTGCGCTCGGCTGTGGAAAAGCCGCTGCCGTGGCGCAGTTTTTTACGCGGGCCATTCGCTGTGAGCTTCACTGAGCCCGCCGCCCTCTGGCCCGTCCTCGAAGTCGGGGGCCTGGCCGCTCTCGGCTGGTGATGTGGATCAGTTTCTGCCGTTGCCGGGCTCCGTCTCCCCCTGGCTTCCCGGTAGGCAGCTGCATTCCCTCCGCTTTCAAGAAACCCAGAGGCCCCCACCCTTGCTTGTCTCCCACCGTGTCTGCCCGCGTGGCCCTTCGAACCTCCATGTCCCTCGTTGTGGCCCTTGTCTTCCTCCGCGTCGGTGCTGTCGTCCTTGTGTTCCGCCGAGGAAGCCGACGCGTCGACCTTGGTAGTCATGCCCTCCTCAGCTGTTACGCTGTTAACCGTTGTATACGATACTATGTATTTTACCTCGGCCATCGGATAGCCGAGAACGCATTATATGCAGATTCTTCGAGTCGAAACTACGGCCTACAAGTTTTATTTTAAAAATCTTATCGTATATATAATGCGAGGCCACGACGTAGAGAAAATCAAAATGAGAAAGGCTAAGGCGACCATGACGAAGATTTTTCATGACAAAAGTGGTGGCTATGTATCATGCTCTTTCATGCAAGAACAGTTAAAAATGTAACACCTGAGGGCGCCATAGCAGCACGTTGCTCATCTCGATACCATCTCGATCCCGCTACCAAGTGGTCCTTGAACCAAGTAGCCAGACTTCCAATGAAATTTCCATTTTTCAGAACATTGTCGAAAGGCAGTTCTCCCAGGAGCGTTCCGGCCATCTCGATCACAACGCCGCGCAAGCCTTGCAACAAGGGCTGCAAAACAACGTCCATCTTAAGGATTGTCTTGAAGATGTACGAAAACACCAGACGGAACGCAGAGAGGGGAAGAACGTTGAAGCCCGGGAAAGTGGTCACCACACTCGCTAGCGGGGTAGCGATGTTCTCGGCCAGCAAATCCAGCACGTGGCCCACATTGCTTTCCGCCAAATTCTCCAGCACGTCCACGCCAGTGCCAAGGACCATCGTTTTAGCAGCTTCCTTCATCGTTTCCACCACACTGCCCATATTCCCCAGCGCCCGGCGGAACTCGACACCCATTTCGTGAAGCACCGAACGCGCTTGCGTTTCACTCAGCATCGTTCTGCGCTTCATCTGCAGGAACGAGAAACGGCTCTGCGGTATTATATCCCGTCCAGGATGCAGCTCCTCATGTGCTTGCAGAGCATTGGAATGCTGCGTGTTTTCATCTTCAGCTTGCCCCCAGGCGTCTGCGGTTGCGTGTGCCTGCTGTGTGCTCTCTGTCTCTCCGCCAGGAGCGGGAAACATCTCGAAATACAGCTCTTCAATGCTCAGCAGCTTGGGCGGCTGTGATGGACTAACGCGTACACTCGAGGACCCGTCCGCGCTGCTGGTGAAGCCGCTGCCAACTGGTGCGCGCTGCTGCGCCGATGAGCATGCAGCTCCTTGGCTTTGCTTGTGAAATTTCGGAGCAAAAAACTCGAGAAAGCTCAGCTTCCTCGGCACCGCAGCTGGTTTCTGAGGTCGTAGCTTCTGTGATGGCGTACTGGGGCTCGATGACACAAAAGGCGGCGTAGCGATGCCCTCGTCGATTCGTTGGCGCGACACTTGACGTAAAGAGCGCTGGTGTTGGGTGTCGTGCACGTGCGAAGAATCGTGTGCCGCCACGGGCCGCAGCTCGTCTGCATCGCCGGTCGTGGCCGAGAACTTCATCTGCCCACTACGTGCAGCTACCAGCGGCGGAGCGAACCCTTGCTGAGGCCGCTCCAGCGCCGACCACCCACCGGGCGGTCGCTGCTTCCCGCTGCGGCCCGCGGGGACCAGAGCCCTGCGGTCGACCTTGTCCTCCAGTAAACGAATTTCTAAATTACTGCCGGCGGCCGCATTCGCCCCACCAGTCCTGGCCACGATTGGGTCCTGGCCGTTTGCGGACATCTGTTCGGCGATACCGACAGCCAAACGAGCAGCGGGGTCCCCAACATCACCGGTTTTGATTTGTTCTTCGTCCAGGATCTTTTGTGTCTCGCTCGCGGCGCCGGCCGTGGACCCCTCCTTTACATCTTGTATCACTTTGGCGACTGAATCCGCGGCGACCTGTAGTGCCTCACCGGCATTCCCGTGTGCGGTCGGCTTGGATTTGTCGTGGAATACATGGAACAGAGCGGTGAGGCCATTGTGGAGCAGCGACTTCAGCTGTGAGTCCACGGCCACCTTTATACCCGACATGATTCTCAGTCTGAACTCTCGGGTGTTGGTCGCTGGTAGTGTTCGTGTTTGGATCCCAGCATTGGCAGAACTGAGCTCCATAAACGAGGACCGGCCCGCGACCTCCATCGTTGTTGCGTCTGTGGCTGCACGCAAATGACGAGCCTTGCTCTGCCCCAGAATGCGCGCACGTTCACCGGCCCGCTGCCGGTTGCGCCGTCGCGCAAACTCGGCAAGCAGACGCGAGACCCGGGCTGTGTAGGCATATGGCGCGGACCTGCTCGTCGTGTTTTCAGAATCTAGGAGCCGGCCGCCTCCTAGTAAGGGCTCAGCAGAATCCCCATCCAGTGGCTGTGCCCAGCGTTGCAGCGCGCTCGACTTTTCCTTTCGGTGCCAGTCCGCGTGCTCCACGTGGCTCTTGTGCGCTTTATTCGCTCTTTTGCGCTGCCGCTGCAGCATTTCGTAGTCGTCGAGCGCTTCCGGCGTGCTGTCCTCTTCAGCCTTAGGCAAGTCGAAGGCCTTTGCAACGAAGCCGGTCATCTTCTTTTTGAAAAACGATGACAGCTTCTGCGAGAGGATCGGAACCACACCGACAAGGAAGGTCTGCACGAAAAGCTGCAGCGGCAGACCGGCCACGCCCGGTGAGAGTTTGAAAACGGGGTCAAGGACCAGGTACAAGACGTCGCCAAGCCGGGCCACGACCCTGATGACCAGGGAATTACAAAGCAAAAGACAAAAAAACTCCACTGCCTTGTGTACGAACACCGAATTGAACAGCTTGTGAACGATTCCGAACCAAATTTTCTGGAATTCCTTCGTGATCGCATCGAGACTCGGTATCACCAAGCCCCCTTCTACGTTATGATGCCAATCTTGCACCGAATGGACAACACCCGTCCACCACTCAGAGATCTGCTCTCCTTTAGTGGAGATCACGTCGCGCACTGTTTGCACCACATCACTCGTCTGTATTGCCAGCGTATCGCTCGGGCTTGCTTGGGCCGCTGTGCTGGTGTAGTGCTGTTCATCGAGACTCACTTTGCGCTGTTGAAGGTGGGCGGCTATGCCGTTCTTTATCTCAGTAGCAGCTGCTGTCGCGTCCGTTTGAGTCTCTTCGCGTTCGTCTTTGGCGAGTTGGTTGCTCACGAGCTGTTCGAGGGTTTGCGTTTGGGTTGGTTTCTTCTCCCCCTCTGGTTTCTCTTCTTTGTGCGAATGCGAGAGTGCATTCCACCATCCTTCCCCTTTTTTTGTGACGTAATCAGCCAGCTCGTTCGCCATGTTTGTCAGCTTATGGTGAATGACTTCCGCGGCCTCGTGGCTCAAGTACTTCAGTGCTCTTTCAAAGAGCGGATTCAACACCTTGAAGCGCAGCACGTCAACGATTACGTTCAGCGCGGGGTCGATTAGCTCTTTGTATAGAATGCAAATATGTCTTGGTCTGGATGAGGCGGGGCTTGATGTCATGCACATTTTGCATGACCCGTGAGGTCTGTGACGCTGGTGCCAGCATCACAGATTTTGATTTTCTGAGAGCTTCTTGATTCTAATTACGCATGAGAAATGCCCTCTCCGCGTGCCAAGAACTGGACCCCTCTTGCTGCTCATGCAACGCAGATCCTTTTAGAATCTGAATCCGCCGAGAGCATTACAAGTTCCACTCTTTGTCCAGACCCAGACATATTTGCAGTTGATACCTCGAGTTGCATTTTGCCAAAGCCCCAGTAGTATCGCGAGAAAAAACTGTGTCACTGTGAACATGTTACGCATGCAATGGAGCACAGAATTATAATTATTTGTCTTGTTACAGCTGCAAGACACTGGATTTTTATAAACGTGTTTTCCTTTGGAAAGCGCGCATGGCAGATTTTCCGTGTCATGTGTGACAAACTTGTGGTACAAAATTTGCAAAATCATCACAGTGAAACACTTTTTTCTTGGGATAAGTAGAGCAGCTTGCCCAATACAGTCGTAAGCCCGGGCACAAACTGCACGACACTCTCGGCCACCGTGGCAATAATCGTCGACAATTGCTGCCTATCAAATCCAAATATGTCTGGGTCTGGGACTCTGCCACTCGTCACACTAATAAATCGGAATCATGCAAAAATCTAATGTAGTGGTGCATCTTTACCATATGATATGCTGTCCACTTTTGATCAAGCTGCGAGGCAGTTTCTGATGCAGAATCAATAGCAGTCATGGTAGGAATCTCGCGGAATCTGCCGAGCTAGGTCCTCCATTGCAGATCATATGCGTCATGGAAAACCTGCAACATGACAGACAAGTCCAACAATCTTCCAGACCCAGCCATATGTGGGTTTGCGGTTGATACTGCCTCAGATATATTGCAAGGAAACATCCTCCCTCCCCATCTTGAGACAGAGCGCATCCTTTGACGCAGATTGCTTTGTGGCCACGAATCGGGTCGGTCTTGCAAGAAGGCACATTCAGGCTGTCCGCCACGTTAACGCTATGCAGGCGCCTTATAATGCTGCAAGGCCTACAGGGTAGCCGTCTACCATGCTAGGCGCTTACACCAAAAGACCCTTTCCTAGGCTTAGGGTCTGCGTGCAGTCCTCTACTGCAACACAAATCTGATTTGTGTATCCAAATCCAGCGTCAAAGTTTTGTTTTGATAAGGGGAGGGGAGATTTTCCCTTTGATAAGATATTCCGTGACGGCTTTTTTCCACTGTTTCACCTGCCTGTTTGGTATGCATTGCAAATGTATCGTCATCGTACTGGTAGTAACCTTCCCATTTAAGTATACATTTACAAGTCATATTCTAAAGGTAAAGCTAAAGGTCAATCCGCATTACAAATTCCATCCCTCGTGCTAAGCAAATCTGTCGTTTATACTAGTGCGATACTCTTGCGATGCATAATTGGAACAAAATACTTCATGAGAAAGGACAGCGTGCCTTCCCACGCTTCCTTGGCCTTTTTCTTCATCACTTCCGTCCACTCCGAGACCCCCCTCTTCTCCATCCGCGCGACCGTCGTTAAGTGTCCCACCAGTATTCCAATGAAAAATGCCCCCCGCGCAGCAGAACGTAGAAGCATTGGCATTGTTGTAAAACTTTCCAATGGAGGAAACATTCCCCATCTTGCATCTCTCACCAGCATCACAAACATAAATTTTCAATGGGGAACAGTTACTAGAGTTTGTGTTGCATCGAAGCGCCAGGCCCCAGCCGGATCTGTTATGTTGTCAAAGATCATGCCCTTCTCGCCTGGATTCCGCATCAGTAAGACTCAGCTCAGTCCTTTCATGCCGCACAAAAACCTTCCGGATTTGGATGAAACTTTGCATCACAAATTTATTTTGCAACTTCCAGGGTGGAGGGGGCACTTTTCATGGTAATAAACCGCTGCTGCTGTTCGTGTTCCATTTCCTCCTGCTGGAATTTCCCGAATTTCGCTGTGGAGGTTCCCGTCGACGTCTCGGTCCCAAATTTTTCCAAAAAAAATTTCGCTGTGGAGGTTCCCGTCGACGTCTCGGTCCCAAATTTTTCCAACAGACTCGTTGTCTCGTTTTTTGGTCCCCCTACTAGCGGCAGGTCGGCACGCTCCTGGTTGATGTTCATCGCCAAACTGATTTGTTCCGGGCCCGGCAAGAAGTTGCGGGCCTCGGCCCCGGCCGCGTCCTCGTATGCATTGCAAAACAAGCATCGCAATCATCATTTATGCAAAAATCGCACTAGTTGTATACACTGCATCACAAATTACCTATATTCAAGTTGAATAATGCTGATTTACCTTTATGAAAGGGAGACTTGTGGTCACGCAGGACTGTGAGTGGTAGGAGTACGAGCACGATACGATGCTTGTTTTGCACAGGATACGACCACCTCGTCGGTGTTTTATAATGAAGAGGCAATAATATTGCCTCTTCATCGTCTAGAACGCCGTGGCCACTGTCGCGCAGATCTACTTCATTGAAAGCCGTGAAGCTGCCTCCTCGCGACGTCCTGCTTGCTGTAGCTTTCGTGGGAAGTTCTTGTACACGTGCTGGTGCGTCAACGTCATAAGTCATTTCGAGCAGAGACGAGACGTCGGTCTCGGTGTCGACATCCTCTTCATAGACCGGCTCGGCGTGCTCGGTAACTACGACGCCGACTGTTTGTTCTGTCGTTCCGTTCCAGCGGCCAGAGAGAGTGGTTGGCGCGAATGGGGCACGACCGTGTTGTAGTTGTGGCTGCTGCAGTATCAAAATGAAAAATCCCCTCACCAGATAGTACTCAAACTGGATTTTTGTGATGCTGATTTGTGACCACAAATCATGTTGTCACGCAAGAAGGGAACAAGAGATGCGGACTGTAGTGCTGGTTGGCGTGGAAAGGCCTTGCATCTTCAGCATGAAACGAGGCTTCTGGAAGTGGGAAACAGCATGACAAATCTTCTGCAAATAAGGCCACAACTGCGTCTCTTGCCCTTCTAGCAGTACAAACCGATTTGTGTACTTACGCAAATCCAACATCACAAATTTCCTGTCCGATATGGTGGAGAGGGGGAATTTTTCCTCACAATATGGAGGTTGTACTTCTTCTCATTTTCAACGAGTCGCTGCTCCTCTTGCTCTGTCGTACTTGAAGTTGTACCGCCGGAACAGACTATCGAGTGCAAATATGTCTGGGTCTGGAAGGATGTTGCCAGATCAATATCTACATTGCTTGGCTCCTTCCGGGCTCTGGTAACGCATACCCCCGGCGACAGGTGGCCACGACGGACAGGTGGCCACGACGGACAGGTGGCCGCGACAAGTGAACACCCCTCCCCCACTAGCGCCTCGCGCACTGAGCCACCACGCGCGCGCCTGGTGTGAGGCGAGGGGCGCGCGCTGTCTGTCCCGATGCCGAACACCCTCCCCCCACTAGTGCTTCGCGCACTAAGCCACTATGCGCGCGCCTGGTGTGAGGCGAGGAGCGGACGCTCTCCGCCCCGATGCCGAACACCCTTCCCCTACCTAGCGCGGCCACTGGGGATGGGCACAAGGCCCCAGCGCGGGGACCCTGTCCCCACGCGTGGACCTTGTTTGTCATGCAGGTTTTCGATGACCCATGAGGTCCGCGTCCGGAATTATGCAGCGAAAGCCTACTAGCACGACAAATTCTGCGAGATCTCTATCATGCCTATCCTGCATGAGAAATTCCCTCTCAACTTGGTAAAAAAGGACGGCTGTTGGTAGTCGCGCAACACAGATTTTTTGCATCCTTCAGATCTAGCATGACAAGTTTGCATCCCTCCAGACCCCGACATAGTTTTTGCATTTGATAGAGACGTAGCAGTCGCTAAACAGCCAACCCGTCATGATGCAGAAATAAAAACGCTGCCGCGGGCAGCAGCTATTTCGTAGCGGCCCACCACGGTGCGGCGGCCGGGAGTTCTTGTCAGGCCCGATCTTCCCCGTCGTACGAACACGAGGTTTGTCAGCTTGATGCTTTTTTCCGCATGATGGGAAGATCGACGGAAAGATGACGAAGAACGAGATGAAGAGCTTGTTGCTATCCTGTGCAAAAGTATCGCACTCGTATAAATGCAAGGCTTGCATTACAAATCTTGTTCCCAAGGCAAATCTGCATTACAGTTTTTTTCTCTCATGCTGAGGAAATCTGTAATGCATTTATACGAGTACGATGCTTTTGCAATTCATAGTTGCCCCGGTTGTACAACTTCAGTGTCGTGTTCATCGCGATGGTCTATCCTGTGTAAAAACGTCCCCACACCATAGTTGTCATGCAACTCTGCATGCTTAAAATGTTTCTCATGCGGAGCCCCATGATAAGCATTTTCTAATGCGGTTTTGAAATTTGTCATGCTCCAATCAGCATGAGCTACTAGATCTGTAATGCTGCTGAACTAGCTCAAACAGCACTACACTACGCGTCCAAATTTGTCATGCCAAACAACCAAAGCTCTGGGATTTGTTTAGCAGATTTCCCATGTGGAACTCTGGTGTGGGGACGTTTTTACACAGGATATGGTCACATGTTTCTTCACCGCTTTCAGCCACCAAACCAACACGGCGCTGGAAGCGTTCCAACTCCGCTGCATCTCCTTGACATAGTAGGCTATTTTTGATGTCGTGGAGTCGCACAGAATCGCCTGAAGATTGGCGCTGTCCGTGCTCACCGACCCGCCGGCTGCGCTGAAGGCCCGGACGCGCGTCGTGATTGCGTAATAAACGAGGAGCAATATCAACAAATTCGGGCAATCCATTATGATCCAGCCGTCCTGTTTTTTTTTTCACATGGACATGGGGTGCCTTTCCTTAGTTACCCCATGCTGAAAGGCTTTCAGCATGAGTTTTTGGAACAGAGCCAAGAATCAACATCCCGTGGTCAAGGTCGACGTGGGTGGGGAAAGGGAATTGGTTCTATTGTGGGGAATTGGTTCTATTTTCATCACACAGCATTTTTTTTCGCTTTTTCTTTGCTTTTCAACATCACACAGCATCTATAATTTTACCACACAAGAGTAAAAGAACTCCCCTCCTTACCTGCATACACTTCTCCGTTTTTCTGATACTAGTAAACTCGGACAGCTCCTGGGCTATGTAATAGGCCGCGAACAGTATGAGCACCACCTCGGCTATCATCTGTCCATGTATGCATGATTTTTTTACCCAATAACTTGTATGTTTCGCATTACAAATTTTCTCAAGAGGAAAGTTGCAATTTCTTATGCAGATTCCAGTAGGAAACCAGATTTGTCTTGCATGATTGCAATTTGTACGAGTGCGATAGTACCTTTGCAGTACATAAGCGGTCCGTGACCACGGTGAACAAGTCAAGCCGGTTTTCCATTTTCTAATATGCATTGCGAATATGTCTGGGTCTGGAAAGTTGCAATGCTAAAAATGATATATGAATGATAGGCACGCTGCAACGCGCAGCCAAACATGACAAATTTTTGAGCTCCTGGGTTGCGTATTCCGAATGACAGACAGGCTTTGCTTCTTTGGAATGACAGATAGAAGTACATCTTCGCGCCCATGCATCACAGATTGATTCTCGAGTCATGTTAGACATGCATGCAGTAATCTGAGTTGTCCTATGCTGAGTTGCTTTTTTGACTTTTTTTTGCGCAGTTCCTGGCGCGATCTGAATTGTTACAATATAGCTCATGCGTTCGACTTTCGTCTTTGCTCCGTTTTCTTCGTGAATCCTTACTGTTTCGCCGCTTTGGGTTTGACGTATGACGGGGGGCGCGTCATATCTTGCAACTTTAGCAGTCGCCTTTCCGGGGTTGTCATCGCGTGATAGTCATGTGATTATCACGTGATGAAAACAACTCAAGATGGCTTATGGACCGCAAAAATCATGTGATTATCACGTGACTACGGACGTGATTATCATGTGATCCGCGCAGGCTTGATTGTTCGGGGCCCAAAGCATGGCGCAACGGGTAAAAAGCTGCACGTGCTGCGTTCTACCGCAGCCAGTTCGCGGGGGTCCTGCCGAGGAATGCTCTCCCGGGCCCTGGGCATGGACCATGCCCATGGTTGCGCGTGTGACGGGGCAGCGTTCCGAGCAAATTGCCGCAAGCCTCCCGGTCTAACTACTTCGGCACGCCTCGCGCCTGGCGTAACCCATAACGCTTGCGCGCGGCCTCCCCCCCCCGCCCCCCCCCCGGGCCCTTTTTCGCATGCTGCCGTGCCTGCGAAATTAGGGCGCGCGCGCTGCCTATTTTCGGTTTTGCTTTAAAGCAGTGCTACTGCTATGCGGAAAACCTCGGCACGCACGCACACGGCCCGTCGCGCCACAGGCCTAGCGCCCGCGCAGGCGCAGGCTTCCCGCGTTACCGGCCTTGGTAGGCGAGCGCTTCTATCGAAGGCGCCTGTAAAACTTGTCAATGGCTTTTGCCGGGAAATACGCCGTATATGCCCGATCGACCGAGATAGGCTGCTTTGTCTTTCTGCGCTGAATTGCTTCGCTTTGTGACAATTCAGCTGCTCTGCTATTGCCTCCGTTTTTGCGCAAATACGGCACAAGGTCCGCCGTTTTCGCTTTTGAAGAAATTAGCTGCTGAAATGCTTTCCTCGCTTTTTTCGTGGTTTCGTAATACGATACGATGTAAGGTCTGCTGGATTCTTAATACGTATTTGGGTGCAATTCATCCTATACGACAACTCATCTACCTGCATGCATGACAAATGTAGCGATCTTCCAGAAAAAGAGGCCACATAATTCGCAATACATATTTTCCCGCTCGGTGTTATCTCGAAAACCAACTTCTTTGCGCCGTAACACCCCAGAAGATTCACGTTTGAGACGAACCTGCAGATCGAGAACGAAATGTACTTTAAGCGAGTTTGCTGCGATATCCTCGACAATCTATCTCTAAAGAAACAAATCTGAACTGGCGCAAACGGACACGAAGGCTGCACGGCGGGCACCAGCAACAACATCCATTATATAAATATTTTTACAGATACCAAAAACAAATAGTACGTGAAAATTGACGGATGTCTGTGGTTGGGCCTACCACAGTTGTAGATGATCGTCGCCGTAGAAGTTGATGTACTGTTTTTATTTTTTGTAATATACGTACACAACTCTGCATTTTTCTTTTTCATGTACTTATGTATCTCGTCCAACGGCTAGTAGAACGGGTGTCTTCATTCTCAGTCTCACAACCACATCGGAATTGAAAATCAAGAGAGACAACATCACGAATCCATCAGCAATTCTGGACCTGTTCTTTTCCATATGAGAGCGCACAACTGAACTGCCCCACCCACTCATTTGAAGGGAATGAGTACTGCAACACAAGCAACGGCAGCAATGCAGCTTCCGCATGACACAGTTGGTGCAGCACATGGACGATTGTAGTACTGTTTGAGGATCCACCGACGCTTGTTATATATAATGCAGAGAGTCCTTCAACGCAAGAAGTGCTGGGTCTAGTTGTATTTTGCATAATACAAATGAGGGGGAGGAGGAGCTATGATGTGCATCCTCATATTCCAGCTGCGGCGGTCGCGTCCGTTGTAGACACCCAACCTGCTGGCAGGTACAGGCTTATGCATTGCAAATATGTGGTCTGGGATCGGAAGAATGCGCGATTTGTCATGCAGGTTTTCCATGACCCATCGTGAAGTCTGGATGAGTTATGCAGGACCTAGCGCGACAGAGTCTGTGCGATCTCTAACTCTATCGTGGTGCCTATCCTGCATGAGAAACCTCCTCGCCGTAACTTGGTCGAAAATGGAACGCTTTGGGTAATCATGCAACACAGATTTTTGCATGGTTCGGATTTTCCATGACAAGTTGCTGTGTTCCAGACATGATGATCCAGGGTGGATATTTGCAGTGGATAAGATTCCCGTTCGACCAAATCTATTTCAGCTACGAAGTAGCTCCAGCTGCTGCGGTTGTGAAAGGTATTAGTATTACTTCTTGATGTATGTATTAACGCTGGCCCAGCATCAAACTGCACCTCCAGGCTGCACTGCTGGTCTTCTTGCCAGAACCGGTCGCGTCAGTTTTTTGCTTGAGACGCGGATACGGATGACGCCCTTAGAGGATCAGGACCTGCTGGTGACCGTCGTGCATGACCGTACGATTTCTTGGAAAAAGCCTCGTTCTTGTTCAAACTCCGCAACATCATACATTCTGGTCACAGCTCCGCAACTGCGCGCGTGCCTGTATGTATGTTTATTTTTTACAGTTTTCGTGCAGTAATGAGTTCTTCTGCTATTATACTTCTAGCGCAAGAACTAACTTTATTTGAAAAGTATTAGGTGGCTGCAACATATGCATAACTGAGTCTGAGGAGGTGGACGCTATCATATTTCAGTTTCATCGTCCAGGTATGTATGTATGTATGTATGTATGTATATGATCCGCTCTTGTTTCAAACAGATGCGGCGCTCGCTCTTTGACCAGGCTATACTTGCGATGATCCGTCTGACAGCACGGCTGTGGGAGCAGGACGTGCGAAAACCCTGCAACGCGACACACGGCCTCAAGTCGTGGAAGCAGAAGGAGAGCAGCGTGCATGAAGGGAAATGGGCGCGCTGTGCTGCCCTGCTTCGACGAGCACTGGCTCCTTATAGCAGCATTATTCAGAGGGTGCACACCGGGCGCACTGACACAGAATAATTACGCTACGTGCGTAGGGAGTTGCGCTTCCGGAGCGGCTCCACGGACATCCGGCAATTGCCGGACGGGCAGAACGTAGGGCGCAAGCTGTGGCGGCGGCGGGTCACGCAGGCGGAGCCTCCGCCGCCTCTTGCGCCGCCTCCCGCAAACGTTCTTGCGGCCCCGCCAGGGGGTTGAGGGCGCCAGCCCAGGCTAGGCTTTCCAGAATAGCGCAGGCCCCACCGTTTTCGCCAATCTTCGGCAAGTGCCGCCGGCTGCGTGCTGCGCACTACGTGAGGCGGTAAGGCTTACGACGGTGCGCCTCCTCCACCAATACGGCACAAGGCCGCCGGGAGGGGCGCGCCATGCCGGGCCTATTTGCACACGACGCGGCAGCACACTAAAGGGCCCGCCTCGGACTGGTCGGGCGCGGTGTGGTGCTGTGCTGCTCAGGTCAAGCACGCGGACGGCCCTCCGCCGTCTCACTCGCCAGGAGCATAGTGCAGTGCGCTCCAGCTTCCAGAGCTGGGATCGTCCTCAAGAAGAGAACACCCACCAGGGGCGAGGGGTCGCGCGCTGGATTGCAGGCGCCGCCCTACATTACTCACCAGGAGCAGCGGCGTTTTGCCGCTTAGTTTGCGAGAATTGATGCGTCTACCTCTGGTAGCGCATCTGGGCGCCAGGCCCTTATCACGACTTCCCTTCCCTCCAGGGGCGGGAAGTTTCATCGTACAGGTCTGATTATTTCGAATTGGCCGCATAGAACGAAGGCACGGCACTACCTTGGCGCCCAGGGCGAACGTGACTCATGCACCGGACGAGGCGGAGTAGCCGTAGCTCGTACACCTTGAACTTGCTCGTCGGCATAAACAACATCTTTGCAGTTTTTTTTTCTTCGATGTGAACATGATACATGGTTCCACACAACTAACTTGCTTTCTCCTTTCCTACATTTTTGTTTCATCAGGTTTTTTAAGTACAAGACACAGACCCCCAAACAGAAATATGAATGCCAGGGTTCCAACGCAAGATTATATCAATTGCGAAGATGTAGATGAAATTAAAAACGGTGACGAAGATGCAAGTTGAACTTAAAATTATAATGGAAAGCACGACTACTACTTACCCTCTGCGACACATCCTACGACCCCAACAAGTTTTCACTCTCATCTCCACGGACGACGATGATATATGAAGGTTCTGGGGCTACTAGCTCGAGCTGACGAATAGCGAAGTACTACAAATGCGATGAATAAAGTACAGCTGCAAAGCGGACCGAGTCGACCAGACGAACACGGACGCACGGAATTCTTCCTCATCGCCTTGCGGTAGCCAGGCTCTCACCGGATTATTTATTTTCGATGAAAACCAGAGCGAAGACGCAGGACAACTGCACGCACGCTGCGTTTGTGTGCTGAGGCTGACGCTGAGCATAATCAATTATGGAACATAATCTTCGCACGCCTGCAGCCTACAGACTGGAGTTCTTGTCGTGAAGCTTTTTGAAGAGTTTCATGATTTGGTGGAAAAAAAATTCGGATCTCCTCAGGACGACAAAAGTTAAAGTTGTGTGCTCATCTTTCTTCTTTTCGCAATCTGGCACACGTCGACTACGACTAGGAAAGAGAAGTGCGGTCGCCTCTCTGACGTGAAAATAACTACACGTCTTTACCCTGCTCAAACACCCTGAGCTAGATTTTACCAGTTTCTACAAGAACTATAATCCGTAAAGATGTTCTTCGCACCCGCAAGCCTTAGCCAGGCTGTTCCAAACAGATAATCCCGTCGCCGTCACGGCCTCCGCCAGATTTTCCTTCGGCCGCTTAGCATGCTTGCGCTTTTTCTATGCATTGCAAAGGTATCGCACTCGTATAAGTGCATCACAAATTCCCTCAGCATAAGAAAGAAAATTTACCTTTGGAAAAAAATTTGCAATGCATGGCTGCAATTACTACGAGTACGATACTTTTGCACAGGATATTTTCAACGCGATCCCAAACTGCCATATCCTATGTAAAAACGTCCCCACACCATATTTCTAATGCAAGGCTGCATGATGAAAATGTTTCTGATGCGAACCCCTATGGCAAGCGTTTATTTCTCGTCGTGTTTTCAGATTTCTATTGCTCCAATCAGCATAATGCGCGAGATCTGTGATGCCGCTGAGCAAGCTGATCAGGATTACACCACGAGGCCAGACTTGTCATGAGCAACAGCCAAAGTTGGCTGATTTGTCTAGCAGATTTCCCATCTTGACTCTGGGGTGGGGACGTTTTTACACAGGATACGCCACGCGTCTTCGTCTTCCACGTCGCTGGATGTCGTCTCTTCGTCCTGCGTATCAACTGCAAATATGTTGTCTGGGTCTGGAAGATTGCAGCTCGTCATTTTGCTAAATCTGAATCATGCAAAAATCTGTGTTGCATGAGTCTTTGAACCCCTCGTCAACCACTATCGCTGCCTTGGGGGATGAAATCCCGCTGCCTTGGGGGATGAAATCTCTGTTGCATGAGTGCCAAAAGCTGTCCACTTTCGACTAAGTTGGGAGGGAGTTTCTCGTGCAGGGTAGGCATGATAGAGAGCTCACAGAGCCTGGCACGCTAGGTCCCGCACTCCAGACCTCGTGGGTCATGGAAAACCTGCATTACAAGTTTGCACTCTAGTTCCAGACCCAGACATATTTGCAATTGATACCACGGTCGGTCGAAGAGTGCAGACTTGTCCTCGCCCGACGTCGTCGTGGTCTGGTACGCGGTATCAAACGCAAATATGTCTGGGTCTGGAAGATTGCACCTTGTGATACTGTCTCTGCATTCTATCTGCATGATCAGCAAGAGGGGTCAAGTTTGTACTATATGGAGAGGGCGTTTCTCATGCGGGATAGGCATCAGAAAGGCTGGTAAAAATCTGTGATGCCAGGTTATGCATTACAGGCGTCATGGGTCATGGAAAATCTGCGTGACAAGTCTGGCACTCTTCCAGACGCAGACATTTTTGCATTTGATACGCGGCCGAACAGCAGGTTCCGAAGCAGGACGGGGTCACACCCACACCCGCCTCCGCGAGCTCCGTCGAGTTGAACATGCTTTGCCAGGCAGCGGGCAGCTCGGCCTTCGTCAGCAGCAAATCCGGCGTGTGGTCGGACTCCACGAACTTCAACACAAGCTTTGGGGGCATGTCTGGGGCGGCCGCCATGGTGGCCTTGATGTGCTCCCACTTGGTGGCGTTCGCCACCTGCGTCGACAGGCGCTGCTCGTACTTGGTGTAGTTGCTCAGATCCTCGACAAATTGCGGATCATCGAAAGTGACCTTGACGTCCTTCCAGTGGGTGGCGTTCGCCACCTGCGTCGACAGGCGCCGTTCGTACTGTGCGTAGATGCCCAGATCCTCGACAAATTGCGTATCATCGTCCTTTGCGGCCGCCGTGGTGGCCTGCTTGATGTGCCCCCACTTGGTGGCGTTCGCCACCTGCGTCGACAGGCGCCGTTCGTACTGTCCGTACATGCCCAGATCCTCGACAAATTGCGGATCATCGCCCGGCGCGGACAGCTGAAAAAAGCCCACTGGCGGCACCGAGGGGCGATGTTTGGTATTTTTCGAGGGAACAGAAACAGCGGAGGAGGTAGTAGTTTTCATCTCATCATCTGCTGCAATCGCTTGCTTTTGCTTCACCTGGAACGCGGAGGGAGTTGCGGTTTCGAACGTATTTTTGCTTCGGCCCAGTGCGGCCGCGGCCTCGTCGGTGTAGTCCACGTCGGTAGCGGCGGCATCCTCTTCGCACTCCGGCGTCGTATCAAATGTAAAAATGTCTGGGTCTGGAAGAATGCAACTTGTCATGCTAAATCTGAAGCAAGCACGAATCTGTGTTGCATGATTACCAAAAGTCGTCCAGTTTTGACCAAGTCGGGAGGGAGTTTCTCATGCAGGATAAGCATGAGAGAGATCGCGCAGAATCTGTCATGCTAGGTCCTGCATTCCAGACCTCATGGGTCATGGAAAAGCTGCGTGACAAATCGCTCACTCTTCCAGACCCAGACATTTTTACATTTGATACGTCGTGTTTCACCACCACGTTCTCGAGTCCCGTGACCAGTGGCGCGACAAGGAAATCCTGCGCGAAGATGAGAAAGAAAGCACCGAGCGACGCAAAACCGGCGAAAATTTGCAGCAGCAGCAGCTTCGCCAGGATAGAAGAATACCCGAGGACGGAAGCGACTATCGTCCTCGTGCTGGTGGGTCGTGATCCCCCACCTCGTAGTCCTTCGTGCTGAAGATCGATTATGCCGCGGCCGGCGTCCCCGGAGGTACAGCTCGTCGAGGCTCGCGAATCAGGTTCGCGATGGCATTCTTTATTTTCCACCAATAAATTTTCTAACTATATACTTCCCTCCTTTGGTATTCTTTTTCTTCCCCCCTTGGTACTCTAGATAAAAAGAAGCTAAGTATCTACCCCCTGAATTCATCTCTGCTCTCCTCGTTGCTCACACACCACTTCATGTGATAACATCCAAGCGATGGACGATATGAACGAAATAGATATCGCTGCGAATCGAGTCAAACACTCGCGGATGGAGTCGAACATTTTTGACGTGAAGACGAACACGGACGCACGGAATTCTTCAAGTGGAGGGGAAGACGCGAAGACGTCGAAGCTTAATTTCTAATACTTAAAAATCAATAAATCAATGGCGTCCTAGCCGGCAGGCAGACATAGTCAGACTTATTATTCTCATTCTCAACAAGATTCATACATAGCACATCCACATACACAATGAATTATTCACAAATTGACCACCCACTCAATCAGCTGAAGCTCGATGATGTAGATGTTTTATGCAGACACAAGATAAAAATGATGATGATGATGAATGTTACCCAGTAAATGTAAAGGGTTGTAAAGAGAAAGGGTTTAGTTGTTGGGTTCAACAGCAACTAGTGCTGCTTCTTCGGCGTTGGCGCCTTCCTGGACAACTTCCTCGCTCTCTTCCGGTCGGGAATACATAAGAACATTACTTCTCCACCTTGGTCGTGGAGCCACCAATGCCCCGCTAGCGCTTCGGAAACTGAGTGCACTCCTGGATCTTCTTGTTGACCGGTGCTTTTTATCAAATGCAAAAATGTCTGGGTCTGGAAGAATGGAAGGCTTGTCATGCTTGTCTGGCATGACCCATGATGCTTGTAATGCATGACCCAGCATCACAGATTTTTGGAAAGCTTCCTGATGCCATTTCCGCATGACAAATGCCCTCCTCGCGTAGCACAAATGTGGCTCCTCTTGCTGGTCATGCAATACAGATTTTTTTAGAGTCCAAAGTTAGCATCACAAGTTCTAACTTCCCAGACCCAGACATTTTTGCATTTGATACTTTTACTACCTCGATGGTTCCGTCCACCTTCACGAGTCCGAAGTTTACGCCGCCTATGCATTGCAAATATGTCTGGGTCTGGAAACTTGTGATGCGGGTAGGACAATCGAGATGACGCCTCAACTTGCAGCTCAGCATGAAAAGTTTCTGAGTGCCTACGGTCTTGTGTATTCTGCATGACAAATCGCGTTTCTGCATGACAGAAAAATGGGCGGGCTTTCGGGTAATGAGCATGACAGCCTTTCGAGTCATGCTAGCAGAGCATGACAAACCTTGGATTCTTCCAGAAGACATATTTGCAATGCATACCGCCCCAGCCACGACCACATTGATCCGAGCAGTACCCTCCCGCCCCCCCGCTGATGTAGTGCTGCACATCCCAATGGGGGTTAAAGTTTTTCGGCTGATTTATGGTGTTCTCAAACGTTTTACATTCTCAACTGTTGCATGAAATTTGTATATGCAAGAATGACAAAAGTTAAAGGGAAAAGGTTGCGCCTTTTGCGTTACAGGTTTGGAGCAGATTAACATGCTATCTAGCGCGTCGAGAACTTGTCATGCGAAGCAGCTTGGTCCTGTAGATGCATGTTGGCTCCAATTTTGCATCTGCATGACAAATTCGCGCAACAGTTGAGAATGTGACGTTTGAGAGTCCCGTATGATTCGTGTCGTGCGTGTGTCCGGCGAAGAAAAACACGCTCTTCCCCTGCTCCCGGATATGAAATGCAAAAACGTCTGGGTCTGGAAGGATCCGAACTTGTGATGCGCATTTTAGAACATAGAAAAATCTCTCACGCATAGGTAGCAAAAGCTGCCGACTTTCTGTCACCAAAGTGGGGAATTTCTCATGCGGGTTCGGCATTGCGGAAGCTTCTCGAAACCTGTGATGCTAGAGCTTCCATGCCAGACCTTCTGTGTCCTGCAAAAACAGCAAATCATGCTGTCAGCATGACTCTTCCAGACCCAGACACTTTTACATTTGATACCGGACCGCGTATTCCAAGTCTTGCTGGTACAACCTGCGCGAGTCACCCGCGCCGTAGTAGGGGTAGTATCAAATGCAAAAGTGTCTGGGTCTGGAAACTTGTGATGCTGAGTGGCGTAGCATGAGGAGGCCACAAGTGCTGGCTCAGCATGACAAATTTCTGAGCTCCTTGTAGGTGTTACCCATTCTGCATGACAAACTGCGTCTCCGCATGAGAGAAAAAAGCGGCTCTTCCTCTTGGGCAACGTGCATGACAGCTTTAAGAGTCATGCCAGACAAGCATGACAAACATGCACTCTTCCAGACCCAGACATTTTTGCATTTGGTAGGTAGTGATTCAACACCACTATGTTCTTCGCGGTGGGCTGCCGTAACCGGCTCCGCAGCTCGTTTTCTCCCTCCTGACGCAGAATTGCCAACGGGCCGGCCGTCTCGCGGTGCCCCCACGTGTTAAAAGGATACCCATTCTTCCACAACTCGTTTCCGTCCGTGACTATTATGGTCAAGTTCAACTCTTCTTCCCAGGCTGTCACGCTGTACGACGCTTTCGGCATGGCCCAGCAGTCAGGGACGGTCTCTCGGCTCCCAAACGGTCGGCTCCGTGTGCAGTCTTTCGAGGTACGGACGAATTCCACGTCCCCGTTGACCTGCCCGCAATTGGACGCGTCCGGGTAGGGCCAGCAGGTTTTATGATTCTGGCCGCCCATGTCGTGGTTCCCGAGCACTGCATACCAGGGCACGCACGTCAGCTCTGTGTCGTATCGGGAGAGAAAACTCTCGTAGAATCGGTTCCTGTCTTCGAGGATGCCATCGTAAATGTTGTCGCCGCCAGCAAGCACAAACTTCTATGCATTGCAAAAATGTCTGGTGTTTTGTCTGGAAACAAGACCTTGTTACAGCACAGGGAAGAGAACGACTTGAACTTTTTTGAAGAAAGAAAATAAAAGAGAACTACGTGTATTCACTATGTATAGAGAGATTAAACATGCTAATACGTCCACCGGTGGAACTAACTATTACTACTTTTACTATCACTTGCGCAACATACAAATTGGGTGCAATGAACTTCTGCCCACGGGGTCCCGCAGGCTCTACCGAGGTGCAACGCTGGCCAAAGCGCTAGGCACCTGGGAGCCTGTGGGTGCTCGCGCAGTAGTGTCATGGCCGTGCGAATAGCACACCGTGGGTGCATGCTCACTACTATTCGCTGACACTACTACTGTTCATGACCCTTACCCCAAATGCGCATCCAAAATTATAGTTAACAACTATCACCGCATTCGAGTAAGGATCTTCACCATGGGAACTAAATTTGATCAACGATTTTGAATGGAAAGATTTTATGACATGGAACATGGAAGGAACTATGTGCAGGAATTTAGACAGAGTGTGCGAGATCATGAATTTGTAATGCAAATTTCGAACTATCTGAGATCATGAGAAAAACTTCTATGCTTGTAATTTTATCTTTATCGCAGAGAATTGCTTGTATATGATTTGAGCTCTTTAAACAGCTAAAGCCTATGTAAATGTCTGGGTCTGGAAACTTGTGATGCAAGAAAGGAAAGAGTGAGCGCACTGTAATGCGCTGCCCAGCATGACAAGTTTTTTCGCCGGTCAGAGTTGCGTCCTCTGCATGAGAAACTGCGTTTTTGCATGACAGGGAGGAGGAGCTCTTCGCTGCCATGCAATACAGAGTTCGGAGTCATGGCAGACTAGCATGACAAGTTCGCATCCTTCCAGACCCAGACGTATTTTCCGTTGATAACTTCAAAAGATGCACCATGCCCCGGTCCCGAAGGTAACCGATCGCTTCCCGCGCAATGGCCTTTTGGCACTCCGCAGACGACGCTTCCCGGTACCCCGTCCATCCCCAGTCGGCAATGCTCATGAACACGCCCTTTACCCCGTCCACGTATTCTTCAGCCGTCGCGTATCACACAGAAAAAAGCTGCCAGGGCATGTAATGCAAAAATAAATACACAAAAAAATCTGCATTGCATATCCGAAGCAGCATGCTATGCTATGGGGCCACCCATGGCAAGTTTTTGCGTGTATTTCTTTTTACACTACAAATATGCCCTGCCAGCTTTTTTTTTTGGGATATCGCGGGCGTCCCCGGCCGGACCTGCGCAGCTTGACAGCGAGCTGGGATGTACTGCCCACTCGGACCGGGAGTCGTCGAGGCTGGAGCACTGGTCGTCGTCCGTTGTACTTCTACTACGTTTGCGACCCGGCCGGCGGGTCCCGAAAAGCACGGCCCACCTTCGTACATCGAGCTGGTGCATGGCTCATCGAACCAGAAATTTTGTCCGTCAAACGCCTCGCGGCCGTCAATTTTCACTTCCGCCATGCACAGTCCGTTGGACCCCGAGTGGGACAGTCGCAGCGTGCCCAGTTGAGACCCGTCCAGCACAGGCGAACGGAAGCGCTCCTGCTGCCCCGCTTGCCGAAACACCTTCTGCGTTTGCCAAGTCGCCCCCGTGTCGGTTTCGACCGTGATTACCAAAGCCCCGGTCGAGTCACTGTTCCCGCCGCCGCAGGCGCGCAGAAAAAACTCAAAGGATATTGTTGCTGGCTGGGGTGGAACAGTGGTGGAGCTGCTACTGCTAGAAGATATGGGTTTAGGTTTGGACGAAGCTAGTACCGGCGTCTGCGTCGTGGTCGGGTCCGTGTCGCCGCTTCCCGCCCAAGATGGGGGGGTAAGCGGCGCCGGCGTTGATGTGGAGAAGTTTAATAAGTCCTCTTCTGCTGACGTAGAAAGAACTACGTTTGCATCGTCTACCACTGAAGATGTGTTTTTGTTCAATACGGCAACGCGCGCGACGCTCTCGATTCCGGTCTCTTCACCACAGCACGCACTGACTCTTTCCGCGGGTTGGTCGGGACGCGACGAGGCTAACTTGCTGGGCAAGTCGCTCGGGGCCGGGGCAGGAGGTGCGCGACCGCCTCCAGCGCGCGAGGTGAAATCCAGCATCGCAGGATATCAAATGTAAAAATGTCTGGGTCTGGAAGATTGCAACTTGTCATGCTAAATCTGCAGCATGCAAAAAGCTGTGCTGCATGATTACCAAAAGTCGCCCAATTTTGACCAAGTCGGGAGGTAGTTTGTCATGCAGGATAGGCATTAGAAAGGTCTCGCGGAGTCTGTCATGCTAGCTCCGGCATTCCAGACCCCATGGGTCATGGAAAAGCAGCATGACAAGTCGCGCATTCTTCCAGACCCAGACATTTTTACACTTGATACAGGATCGGGCGGCGCCACTCCGGCGGACGCGAAGCCGCCCAACACTATCCTGAGTAAAAACGTACCCACGCCAGAGTTGTAGCGCAGATTTGCAAAGACAGGAAGACTTGTAATGCGCATCCCCATGAGAGCCATTTCCAATCGTGCTTTGGAATTTGTGATGCTGTGAACAGGATGAGCAGCTGGATTTGTGATGCGGCTGCACTTGCTAACCTGCACTACACTGCAGAGTGCAACTTGTCATGCGTGACTCACAAAACTCCTACGGTTTGTGTTGCAAAATCCCCATCCTGACTCTGGTGTGGGTACGTTTTTACTCAGGATAAACACTGCAAGATCTTCATCCGATGACGCCTGGACAGGCGGAGGCTGTTCGTGCTCGGCACGTGACCGGCGGGATTCTAAATTTGTACTATGCGCTCTCCAAGAACCCGCTTTCAATTTTCGCGTTAGCAATGACGTCGAGCTAGAAGGAGGTCTTGCTCCGTGGTCTTCACTAGAGGCCCGGTCGTGTCGTCTGCGGGACCCCTTCGCCAGTAGAGATTTCTCGCCCGGGACGAGAGCCTCGAGCTCCAGTGCAAAGACAGGGCGCAGATGCGGTGAGTAAAGCTGCAGGTCAAATATTTCTGCCAGCAACACAGCACAGACAGAGAGCGACAGTCTTTGCATTTTTTTTTGTCAAAAGCGACCCTCTTCGGACCTAAGCAAATAAGGAGAACTCTGCCTCAAAGAAGTGGCTACAAGCAAAGTGAGGTTGCTGCAATTTCTAGATTTTCAATGCTACTTGAACTTGCGATCCTAATCCTGCGTGGTTAGATACAAGAAAAGCATCACGACCCTTTAAAAGCAGTAAAAGAGCAGAAATTTCTCCTGAGCGAGAAAGTTGCGGTGAAGTTATTTTAGCTCACGATCAGATCACGACCAAGCTACGATGGAATTTCATTTTGATTTTACGCATACGCAATGCGTGCAAGTATATTTTTGTATCTACTATATTTATGTATCAATTCCCACCCAGGTTGCCAACGAGCAGAAACGATTCGTCAACTTCTACGAGCAGAACGAATACCACAGACACAGTGCGGCGAATTTTTCTGGGGAAATCGCATAAAACTACAGTAGCACTAGCGCACAATCAGAAAAGAGGCTAAAAATGCTGTGAAAATCGTCTAAGAGGCCCAGATGATATGCGAAAATAAAAATTCACGTATGAACCAAATAAAACTTGTCGCTTGAGATACAGCACTCACGAAGAGGTGCGAGGCCGGTTGCCACGAAGACGAAAGAACTGCCGAAGCTCATTAATATTTCAGCCAGGAGCCCCCTAATGTCAGTATTTCCGAACAATGAGAGTAGAACAGGTGCAGCTCTCATGCGGATTCATTCATGTTTGTGTTGCATCTTCATCTGCCGCGGCAGCGACAAAATTTGTTGTGTGTGTAGTGCATAAGCTGGTAGGAGTAAAAAGCCGTCCCTCCCACACGACGATCTGCCGAAAAAGATCTTTAGCAGGTCTTCTACATGATGCCTCTAGAAGTACTTCATCAGACAATCGCGAGATATTTTTTCGCGATGCTTTCCGCCTGCTGCAGATTGCCGGCGTGGCAGAAGAGCAGGCGTAAGTTGTGTGCGCAGGACCTCTGCAGCGCGAGCAAGTCGACGCGAGACTCCGGGATCACGGGACCGAGCGAATCCAAACACTCCAGGCACTTCCGATACGCGCGCTATGCGAGAAAAAACTGTGTAACGAGTGTAAGTTTGTGCTGTTGCGGATGTATGTAAAACAAGAATCACGGCTTGTCATGCTGGATGTGCGTCTTAACAGGCTCAGCGGACCATACGTCGTCGTGTTTTCCCGTACAACTACATGCGCATGACGAGGACAGGTTTTTTCTCCTGTATAATTATGCAAAGCGAATTTGTGAAGATAGATGCTTCTACTCATCCTACAAAGTTAAGTCCATCACTTACACACTTTTTTTCCTGGATAAGTGCATGGCAAACTTCAATATCCCCAGCAGGTGGTGCCCACGGCCGACGTTGTACCACGTCTCTGCTTATGCATTGCAAATCTCCAGGCTGCTTCTCTGGAAACCTGTAGAAATGCTGAATGGTCACGATTGAGTGCGCCTTGAAGTAGCGTGGTCAAGCGTGCCAGGGTTTTCTTTCTCATGCGTAGAAGTGCGCATAATTCCAATAAACAGCTGTGGCATTGCATATACATCGTGCTTGTTTTGCTGCCTTACGAAATACAGATTTTTCACGAATAAAATGTAAGACACGCAATACAACCTACGTACACCAGGTTCAAGAACCTTTCCAGACGCAGATCTCCGATATTTCGAATGCATAGTGCTTCGTGCGTGGATCTCCGCAGCTCTTGGTATTTCCGCAGCGCGAGCCAGCCGCGCAATACCTCGGCGTGCCTGCGGTTCGTCGTGCGCGACATCGCGGTGGAAAGCAGATTGGCGCCGAGGCACAGGTGCTATTACAATGAAAAATGCCGCCACCCCCGAACTTGGGAGCATTTGTATTGCAAACCTTTCCAAATGAAACATTCGCCCTCTTGCATCTATCAGCATCACAGGTTTTCCATCGTGAACAATAGCAAAAATTTGTATTGCAAAAGACCCCAGCAAAAGCGGCGCTTGTTATGCAAGCGATGCGATACACGCCTAGACTCTGCATCAGAAAGATTCATACTCCTTTCATGCATGACAAAAAGTTTTCATTTGGAGACTTCGCATCACAAATTTTTGCAATTTCAGGGGTGGGGGGCACTTTTCGCTGTAATAGGTGCGTCAACGGGTTCAGCGGGCACTCCGCGGCCGCCCGCGCGTACTCCTTGGCCGCGTACCGACTCCGGCCCGACATGCAGCTGCAGTGGCCGACCAGCATCATGAGGCCCCAGGACTTCGGGTTCGCGCACAGGTGCCGCGACGTATCCTGAGTAAAAACGTCCCCACACCAGAGTCAGGAGGGGGATTTTGCAACACAAACCTAGGAGTTTTGGGAGTCACGCATGACAAATTGCACCCCGCAGTGTAGTGCTGGTTAGCAAGTGCAGCCGCGTCACAGATTCATCTGCTCATGCTGTTCACAGCATGACAAATTCCAAAACACGATTGGAAATGGCTCTCATGGGGATGCGCATTACATGTCTTCCTGTCTTTGCAAATCTGCATTACAACTCTGGTGTGGGTACGTTTTTACTCAGGATACGACGCCCACTTCTGGTAGTCGGAAATGCACGCATTCCGCTCGCGGTCCGTCAACGCGCCGGGCTTCCGGGACTGCTTGCTCGTCGTCCCGTCTGCGGTCGTCGTGGCACCACCATGATCTCTGTTTGCACTATGGTGTAGTCCACCTTGTGCGCCGCCGCTGGAAGATGAGACAGTAGAAGCAGCTTGCTTCATCTGTTTCACCTCCGCGCCGTGTTTTTCCTTCCGTTTCTTCGCAGCCGTCTCTCCGCGGTCGCGCCCGAGCGAGGACGAAAGTTCGCGGCGCGCGTCGAATGCCAGCTCGGAACTGGCCAACAGCCGGCCCAGGAGCGCGATCACGCGCTCGTTCACCGTTCCGACTTGTGTGTCCACCGCGAGCTTGCGAATGTAGCGAAACGCGATCTTGGAACGCTGCGCCAGCAAGGCTAATTGCATCGACGTCCGCTCCAGCTCCGGTATCCCCCGGGCTGCGGCCTTGCTGCGGCCGAGAAATATGGAGTTCTCAAATGTTACATTCCCAACTGTTACATGAATTTGTAATGCAAGACTGGCAAAATTGGAAGGAGGAAGATTGCGCCTTTTGCATTACAAGTTTGGCGCAGATTTAGATGCTGTCTAGCCCTCCCGAAATTTGTCATGCGAAGCAGCTCGATCATCTGCCGCCCGGCTTAAGGTGCTTTTGCATGGCAAATTCATGTAACAGTTGAGAATGTAACGTTTGAGAGCGCCATAAGAAACGCGCGGCGGTTGTGGATCACGGTTTCCAGCTATTGTGAGGAAAATCCCCCAGCTCCATATTGAGCACGAAATCGAAATTTGTGTTGCTGTATTTGAGTACACAAGTTGTAGTCGACCTGTATTGCTAGAAGGCAAAGAGACAAAGTTGCTCCCTCGTTTGCAGGAAATTTGTCATGCTGTTTCCCGTTTCCAGTTGCTTCCTGTCATGCTGAACAAGACGCAAGGCGTTCCTACGCCAGCCAGCACTGCATTCCGCACATTTTGCCTTCTACCTAGCATGACGACATGATTTTCTGCCACAAATCAGCATCACAAATTTTCAGCTTGAGTATTGGGCACTAGGGGGATCATTTCTCATTTTGATACCAGCAGGTCCACCCCGAGATCGGGCCGGCCGAAGATTTCCGAAACGGCAAACTCGCACCCGAAGCGGACAAACTCCAGCCAGATGCCCATGCCGTAGATGTCCTCGATTCCCTCTAAAGCGAGCAGCTTCCGCTTCTCCTGGATCGACAACACCCGCCGCCGGGCCGTCGTCGCGCCGGATTCTTGCAGCTTCTGTTGTTCCGCGGCCTTCTTGTTGTCCCGCTTCCGCTTTCGGGTCCGCCACACCGGGAGCACGGCCGCTATCAAGAGGAAAAATCCCCCCGCCCCATATCAAAACGAAACTTCTGATGCTGGATTTGGATACACAAATCAGATTTGCGCTGCAGTAGAGGACTGCACGCAGATCCTAAGCCTAGGTAGGGCCTTTTGGTGTAGGCGCCTAGCATGGTAGACGGCTACGCTACCCTGTAGGCATTGCAGCATTACAAATCGCCTACTCATATAGCGTGGCGGAAAGCCTGAGCGTGCATCTTTGCAAGACAGACCCGACTTGTGGCCACAAATCTGCATCACAAATTTTCAGAAGGATGCGCTTTCAATATGGGGAGGGGGGATTTCTCCTTGCAGTAGCCGCGTCCTCCTCCTCTTCGACCAGAGCGCTGACCGCATTGTGTCCTATGTAAAAACGTCCCCACATTATAGTCAAGTTGGCAAATGATCTGCAACACAAGTCTCCAAGTTTTGGGAGCTATGCATGCCTCGTAGTGTAATCCTGTTTAGCTAGTTCAGCAGCATCACAGATCTAGCACATCATGCTTATTGGAGCATGACAAATTTGTTCGACACACGACTAGTGCATGCTTCTCATGGAGGGGGTCCGCATGAGAAACACTTTCAGCGTGTGCGTGCAGATGTGCATTACAGCTATGGGGTGTTTATGTACTATGGGGTGGCGACGTTTTTACTCAGGATGCGTTGGTAGTTTGAGTTTGCGCCCGGTCGTTGTCCAGCTCGCAGTCGTTTACCAGGTACACAAACCGGGATAGCCAAGACTGGGGCAGCAGATTGGAGGTGGAGATGGAGTCGGCGGTAGAAAATTCTTCCTCGTTCGGCTGGTTCAAAACGTCGCGATCTACTTCAAAAAAATCACGATCATGATCTGCGAATGCTTTTCTATTAACCTGTATTTTGTCGTTTTTTCTCCTATTCTGGTCGTGCACCGCGGCCCCGGCAGACGACGAGGAGCCCGCTCTGGCTGCAGGAGTTTTTTTGGTCGTTGTACTAGAAGATAATTCGCCAAAACCTTCATGAAGAACCTCATGATCGTCCCCTGTATTCTTCTCTTGTTCCACCCTTGTAGTAGTTGCAGCCTTAGCTGCCAACTGCCCCTTGTGGAGCTCCCAAGCTTTTTGCAACGCCTCCCACAGCTCCCGAAAACTCTGGTCTCGGTCTATCAAAGGGAAAAATCCCCCCTCCCCATATCGAAACGAAGTTTCTGATGCTGGATTTGCGTACACAAATCAGGTCTGTCTTGCTGGAGAGGACTGCAGGCATATGCCAAGCCTGGGTCGAAGGGTTTTGACGTAGGGAACTAGCATGACAGATGTCGGCTCTGTAAGCCTTTCAGCATCACAAACCGCCGGCATAGCGCGGCGGACTCTCTGGCTTTGCCTTCTTGCAAGACAGACAGGATTTGTGACCTCAAATCTGCATCACAAATTTTCAGACGAATGCGTTGTCAATATGGCGAGGGGGGATTTTTCCTCTCAATACGGTCCCCCCGGCTCATCGCCGCCGGGAGCTTTTTCAGACTCTTCAGGTTCGTATCAACTGTAAAAGTGTCTGGGTCTGGAAGAATGCATGTTTGTCATGCTTGTCTGGCATGACCTTCAAATCTGTCATGCATGTTGCCCAAGAGCGCCACTTTTCTGTCATGTAGAAACGCAGTTTGTCATGCAGAATAGGCAACACCTAGAAGCTCAGAAACTTGTCATGCTGAGCCAGCACTTGTGGCCTCCTCATGATACGCCATCCAGCATCACAAGTTTCCAGACCCAGACATTTTTGCGTTTGATAGTTCGCGTAGGTCAGGTCGGAGGAAAGCACTTTGCCGAACCGTTCCGAATTCCTCTATCCTGTGCAAAAGTACAACTCTCGCACTCGTAGCAAAATTGGCGGTTGTTCTGCATGTTGAAAATAAGTGTGCTTCTTTTCAGTAAGTACCTCGAAATACAAAATCCCCATGAGAAATTCCATAAAAGTGCCTTGCGATAAAGTTTGTGAAGATCTTCATGCAATTTTTGCTTTACAGTCCGATACTTATACTTTTGTCTAATGCATAGCTTCGTCAAAACGTAGATTTCCGCCAGCTGCACCCGCAAGGCCATCTCATTTTCGATCACCACGCCGGTTTCCTCCGAGCGGCTGACCTCGTCCAGAAGTTGCTCAAAATGCTTCAGCGCGTTTTCATAGTCCTTCTCGAGGTAGCAGCACTGCCCCAGCCGTTCCCTCGTTTTCGCCGACACGCGGTCGGCGACCACGAACTTTTGGAGCAGGCGATGCGCGGCTTCCACCTTCTCCTGCCCCAAGAGTGCTATGGCGTTCTCAACTGTTACATTCTCGACTGCTTTTGCATCACAGATTTGGCACAGATTTAGATGCTGTTTAGCCTCTCGGAGATTTGTCATGCGAAGCAGCTTGATCATCGATCTGGCGGCTTAAGGTCGTCTTGCATGACAAATTTATGTAACAGTTGAGAATGTAACGTTTGAGAACTCCATAAGTGCGTCGACCACGTTGTGCAGGATGGACTCCCCGGCGATGTCTTCCACGGAGGTCCGGTCCACGATGCTGTTCACCGCCTCCACACAAATGGCGCACTCGGCTTCGGTGCTACCGCGGTGGTACTGCTGCGTTTCGTCCACTATCAAAAGGAAACATCCCCCCACCCCATATCAAAACGGAGATTTGTGTAGCATGATTTGTAGTCACAAGTTACGTTATCATTCTAGAAGGGAAGAGATGCGGCCCGTAGTACCGGCTGGTGTTGGAAAGCCTTGCGCCTTCAGCATGACAGGAGGCAACTGGAAGCGAAAAACAGCATGACAGATACAGATTACCTGCAAGGGAGGCCGCAACTGCGTCTCTTGGCTTTTTAGCAATACAACTCGATTTGTGTACGCAAATACAGCATCACAAATTTCCCTTTCGATATGGGGAGAGGGGATTTTTCCTCGCGATATCCACCTCGTCGTACCGACCCAGTTCGATCAAGGCGATCGCCAGCCAGCTGAGGCGGACCAGTATCAAATGCAAAAATGTCTGGGTCTGGAAGGCTCTGATGCATGTTAGTGAATAGTAGGTATACGACTGTAAAAATGCGCCGCCAAGCATGACAGATTTTTCCGTGCTGGCCTTGTGTTGCTTATTCCGCATGAGAAACAGCGTTTTTGCAGGACAGACCAGAGGACCTCTACTTGCTGACCACGCAATACAGGGCTCAGTGTCATGCCAGACTAGCATGACAAATCTCGCACTCTTCCAGACCCAGACACATTTGCAATCCATAACCAGGTCCTTCTGCCCAAACACTCGGCGGATGACCCGGCCCGGGCCAATCATCACCGCGTCCGTCTGCGAGTCGCCGGTGCGCGCGAGGCCCCACGCGCGAAAGAAAAGGGAGACGCAACGGCGGAAGTCCCGGAGGTGGAGACACAAAACCTCGCCGAACAGCAGGAGGATGTTATCCGAGATTTTGCCGCCGACTTCCAACGATCGTTCCGCGGTAAGTTCCAGAATCCGCACGCAGTCATCCCACCTCCCGAGGGAAAATAAAACGCGAGCCGCGTCCGTTCCCGCAGCGTCAACGGACTGCTTTGATGATGTTGTTGTTGACAATTTTGTCGTGGTTGCACTACTAGTTGTACTAGCGCTTGCTGCAGTAGTTGCCGACTTTGCTGCAGCGGCAGCGGCCTTTTTGTCGTTTGTCGCTCTATTGTTCTTTCCGCCTGCCAATGCCAAATTTTGGCCAGCTGCGGCCGACGAGGACGGAGCAGGAGCCCGCCCATGATCAGTACTAGTAGAACCACTCCCCCGGTTGGTGCCACTGTACGCGACAGCAAACGCCCGGAGGTAGCCCTGGTTGCTATGCATTGCATAAGTATCGCACTCGTATGAATGCATTACAAATTTCCTCAGCATGAGAAATAAAATTTCTAATGCTAATTAGCGTTCGGAAAAAAATTTGTAATGCATGATTGCAATACGAGCACGATACTTTTGCACATGATAGTTGCAAGCGGAATGCAAGTCCTTTTGCTTCTCGAACAGGTTGATCAAATGCAAAAATGTCTGGATCTGGAAGATTAAAACTTGTCATGCTAAATCTGAATGATGTAAAAATCTGTGTTGCGTGAGTACCAAAAGCTGTCCGCTTTTGACCAAGTTGAGAGGGAGTCTCTCCTGCAGGAAAGGCATGAGAGAGACCTCAGAGAATCTGTCATGCTGGGTCTCGCATTCCAGACCTCATGGGCCATGGAAAACCTGCATGACAAACCTTGCATCCTTCCAGACCCAGACATTTTTACATTTGATAAGGTTCCCGATGGTGGTATACACCTCCGCGTCGGCGAGCCGGCTAGCCACACACTTCTTGCACAAGGTCAAGATTTCCTTCTTTTTCTCGTCGTAAAACTTCTTGTTCTTCATCATGGCCGCGATCACAGTCTTGTAGTCCTCCAGGTTGATCCCGCCGAGTCGGGTCAAACAGTAGTACTTGGTGGTCAACTATCGTGAGAAAAAAGTGTTACAGTTACGCATTGTGTTGCAAGCCCAGCATGAAAGACAACCTCTGTCATGCCAGAAGTGCTTCCGAGCTTCATTTCCTACGTGTTTATTTCCCTTATGTTCTGTGCATTGCAAATTTTCCCTCTCATGCAGAGAAAATTTGTGTTGCTGAAGTTACAACAAATGTGTAACTGTAACACTTTTTTCTTGTGATATCAACGCCTTCTCCTCCTGCCCTTCCTTCTCGTGCACGTTCGCCAGCAGCATGTACACGTCGCGTGACACAATCCCGGCGCCCATCTGCGTCGTGATTTCCTTGATCGTTTGCTTGCACTCCGCGTACTGTCCGCCGAAGTACTCCTTGTTGGCCTTTTTCATCATGGCCTGCATCTCGGGGGATTCGACCACCTGTTTCGAAACGTATCCTCTGCAAAAGTATCACACTCGTAGCAATTGCAGTTATGCATTACTAAAGGCAAATCCGCATTACAAATTTGATTTGTAATGCTGAGCCAATTTGTATATGCAATTTATACAACTAGTACGATACTTTTGCAATTCATAAGACGTACCCCCCGGCGATAAACTGCCCGTGACCCAGCCCCCGCAGCCGGCTCCGCCGGTTCGCGGCCACGTCGTTAGGACCACGACGACCGAGCAGCATGTGGTCCTCTGGGCGGGGTCGACTGCTGGACGACGATGCCGCACCCGTAGTTCCGGGGACGACGCGGAAACCACCTATGGGAGTGTCAGGATTGAAATCGTCAAAGTTGAAATGATTTCTTTGTCATGCATGAAATGCGACACAGAAAGTGACTCTATTGCAGAGGACACACGGGAGGCAGATTATAGTCCTGGTAATGGTCAAAAGTTGGACTGCTGACTAGCATGTAAAAAGGCAGCTCTTTTGCCCTAAACCGCATGACAGACTCGCTTCCAGGACCGGGAAAATTTGTCATGCACCGACTACACGCTGTAGGTCTCACTGGTATCCGTTTTATGCATGACAAACTGTTTCAACTTTGACGATTTCAAACCTGACACATCCATACCACCGAGGGGTAGAGTCGTGCCCTTTTTCCGCTTCGCCATGTCGTCCAGTTTCTGCCGCTTCGCCGCGTTGCTCACCTTGACGCCACCGAGAAAGTGGTCATCTTCGAAGTCCTGCCCAACCTCCAAGTCCACGAAGGTTTGCTGGCCTTCCGCCTCCGACGAAAAGTCCTCCTCGTCCTCGTCGAGGAGACGGTGCAGGGTGTCGTCCACCGAGTTTTCATCCTCTTGGCCAACATCGTCGGAATTGTTTATCGCGAGAAAAAACTGTTTCTAATGCAGAAAGTGCATTGCAAAAAGGTTTGTCTTGTTACTTACATCACATGCAAGAAAATGCATCTTATTTTAGGCGTGTTGTCCCTTAGAAGGTCGCTCGCATGACAAACTTACTTTGTGGAGATGCCGAACAAACTTGTGATGCAAAACTTGCAAAATCATCACAGTGAAACAGATTTTTCGTGGGATATTGCCCTCTCCGCCAGCACTGTCCTCGTCCGATGCCGAGGGCGATTCATCGTGGTCAACCTCGCCATTATTTTGATGTTCATCTCGCAGCGCGGCTGCATCCTCGGCGGGTGAGGCCACCGCTGTGTAGTTGCCCACCAAGTCATAGTCGGCGATCAGGTTGGCGTCGGTGAGAAACAAGTCGGGCGCTTGGTCTTCCGGGTTGTTTTCCTCCATGCCATCCATTTTCTCTTAGTTTGATGTCGAATTTTCATAATATGTGTAAAGGAAATGAAAAAGGAAATCTCAGCAGAAAGGTCAATGTGATAATGTTTGACAAGGGGATAAAATAGATACTACTTACACTGGTGACTCACTTACTTGAACGAAAAGCCATCTCTCATCAACGACCTTCAATAGCAAAACAGTGAGTACTTACAGAGATCCGGACCGTTACCCACGGTCTCCTGGTCGCTGCGCGTCGTTAATAGAGGCAAAAAGGCAGCTGTTTGGAAATGCTCGATCATAAACGGATCGCTCTCGTCGTCCTAACTTGTCCGTGATCCATAGTCCAAAGAGCGGATCTTTATCACGGATCAAATCCATGCTCGTTCGCGCGGAACAAGTGAACCCTTGTCCTCGTGTGAGGGCACGACAGCAGGTCGAAGCCGCACAGTGCTGGAGCTGACACTTTTGCTTTTGGTTGATTATGTTTGTTTTGTTAATCTATCACGATGCAGTTTAAGTGGGTTCTGTATTTGTCTGCAACTGCATATCGTTGTCATTCTGCATGCGATGTCAATCGCATGGCAGCGCTCTGCATATTCTTGCCATCAACCGGTGTGGTCTTCATATCGAAGGAAAAAACTGTGTTAGTGTAACTATCTTTGGCTGACAGCATCACTAATTTGCTCTACATGACAGCCAAAACCTGTCATGCGTGGCTTGTAAGGGAAAACACACACGAATAGAGGACTTCATGGCTGTCTGGCATGACAGGTGTATACTCTGTTGCATGTTCTGCATCACAGATTTGCACTTACACAGTTTTTTTCCTGGATACTTCACTCCGACGAAATATTGTTCGCAGGGACTCTTAATATCACAGCTCACGGCCACACGAACAGGCCCTTCGACGGACACCACATGAAAAAAAGAACTTTACTACTTCTCCTCCTGGTTCAATTTCTAGTATTAAACCACTGACTACAACATATCAGCCATGCCTTCGCATGGCATTGGAGTCAAATAAATTTTGACACGGAGAAAAGGAAAAAACCGCTCGCGTTGCGATGTAACGAGCACGCGACGAGTCATCTGGTTGTTTACAGGCGGTAAAACAGTTCACTGGTAGTGGCACAGATTGCAAATGATCTGTTGTTCCATCGTATTATCATAATATGCGGGTGCGTTCATCACCATCCTGTGCAGTACGTTGCGTCATCAATAGTCTCTTTTGCTTTCATCTTTGGAAAGACACGGAAGGAGCACGATTTTCATCTTTGTAAAATCGCAATGACGCAACAATTACTCCTTGGGCGCGCAAGAAGTTGAATAAGAGGAAAGATACGCGCTCATCTTCATCCTGCGATAGACGAATCTATTTGGCGTATAGTACATTCTTGGCATAATTAGCATTTCATTCATCATAAGATTTTGCGTATAGATTCTACTTTTTACTTTTTTCCCGACATAATTCTTGCTCTTTCTCCGGAAACGACGGCCTCCACGACTCCTGTGATTTATTTACAAGTCGGGGTTCTTCCACGGGCTATCGTTCGCGAAAACGAAGTCTTGCGTTGACTTCAGGTCACCATGCTGCCAGGTACCAGACAAAATGTGTCCGTTGGAAAACTTCAGCAAGCCACGCCCTTCTTTCCGCCCACTTGCGAACTCACCGTCGTAGCTGTTTTCGGTAAGGGTTCTTCTTCTTTATACTTGTTAGGGTGGACCATTTTTAAAACTACTCCTATCATGAAAGATGAGAAACTGACTACCTACTGAAGAAAAAACACTTTCTCTTTCAACGCAGCATCATCTTCAAAAGCCGATTTTAATACGTGGCTCCGTCCTGCGCACAAACGAACTGCCCTCTTCCGTGCCTTTTGTCGTCTATCCATTGACCTTCATAGCGGTTACCGTTCGCGTACCTGCGATCAAGATCAATACATAAGTTTTTTCATGCAATTTTATCATCTGGCGGCCTGCAACGAGGAAATAACTTATGCGCAGGAGCCAACTGCAGTTGTTTTTACCACTTGTAAAAACCGGGATCGGATCGATCATGCTGCAAAAATCAAAAAAGAACACAATACGCAAAGACGCCAAAGTATACAAGGAAAAAGCTGTGTTAGTGTAGGTGTCTTGGAGAGACAGCATGACAAATTTGCTCTACATGACAAAGAAAACCTGTCATGCTCAGGCTGTACGTAAAAACACATACGAAAACAGGAGTTGATGGCTGACCAGCATGACAGGTGTATATTGTGTTGTGTGTTTTGCATCACAGATTTACACTCACATAGTTTTTTTCTTGCATACAAAGCCGCAAGCTCGGTCGTCCACCCACTGTCCTCGGAAGCGATCGCCGTTTGAGTAGATCAACTCACCCTCGCCGTTATCAACTGCAAACATGTCTGGGTCTGGAAGAGTGCCATACTTGTCATGCAGGTTTTCCATGAGCCATGAGACCTGAAATGTAGGACATAGCATGACAGATAGAAGATTCTGTGAGAGTTCTGCCATGCCTATCCTGCATGAGAAACTGCCTCTCGATTAGGTCGAAAGTGGACAGCTTTTGGTAATCATGCAACGCAGACTTTTAAGTGATTCAGCTTTAGCATGACAAGTTGCTTTGTTCCAGACCCAGACATATTTGCATTTGATAGCCGTGCTTCTTTGCGTCGACCCAGTCGCCGATAAATTGGTCGCCGTACCTGTTTTATTTTCTTTGCGAAGCAGTTTAGTACTCCCCGTCCCTTCGTTCATCTAGTACAGAGATAGTGAAAATAAAGACAGGGCTTGAAGATGACCGTCCGAGGCACAATTACGCACTTCTGCAATGAGAGAGAGGCAACGTCGTTTTCTTGGCCTTGTGCGGAAAAAATAATAAAAGCAAAGACCATTATACGTGTAGACAAGCGTTCCCTTTCCGTGCACTTTGTCGGCTTTCCAGTAACCCTCGTATCGCTCCCCATTTTTGTAGGTGAGAATGCCGTAGCCTTCTTTCATGTCGTTTGCCCACTCACCGTCGTACTCGTTGCCATTAGGGAAGACATATCTGATTTTGTTTTTTCATATTGGAATGCCAGTGGATGGAATCAGTCAGAGCAGGGATGTATCGTGCAGCAGAAAAGTTGTATCACTCCGTGGGAGAGGACATTGAACTACTTCACAGCTGAACAGATTCGGAAGTAGTAGATTGGCCGACAGCGACAACCAAATTTCAAGAGCGATATTATCGCTCGAAGCAAGTAGTACATGCCCTTTCCGTGCATTTTTCCGTCAATCCAATTCCCCTCGTAGATTCCGCCGTCGGCATATGAGAGCGCACAACTCCCCTTCCCCCTCATTTGTATAGTAGGAGCAGCAGCACAAGTGCCAGCAAGAATGCAGGTTTTGCATGACAAAATTGCACAGGAGTGTCGTGCTATTTGGGCTGCCAGAATTTGTCATGCGAACAGGGCCAAGATGCAAAGTCAAAGTGTGGATTTGGTATTTTGCATGACAAATGAGGGGGAGGGGGAGTTGTGCACTCTACTCATACGGCATACTGATACCTCCCGTGGCCGTGCATCTTTCCATTTACCCAGTCCCCCTCGTATTTCTCGACAACGGAGCCCTGAAGAAAGAGTTGTTGCACAAAAGTGATGACTCCTTGCATCCGCTGTCAACAAGATCACAGGAAAATAGAAATACCAGGATGTAAGTCCGGCAAATACAGACTCATAGAAGTAGTTGTAGAGAGCTAGGGTGACTAGGTACAGTAGACGTTGCAAAAGTGTTGATACCTTGCTGCTCACGTACGTGACTGTTCCCTTCCCGTGTCTCTTGTCTTCCCTCCATTCCCCGCTGTAGACGTCGCCTTCTGCGTAGCGGTACACACCACGGCCGTGCATCTTTCCGTCCTGCCATTCTCCCTCATATTCGTCTCCGTTGCTGTACGTTAGCTTTCCGTAACCGTTGATGCGTCCGTTGTCCCAGCTACCCTCGTACCTGAGAAAGAAAGGGAAAGTACAGTTGTGAATTGTCGCGCAAATCGCCACGACATTACTTTTGTGCCGTGGCAGCAGGCCAGCGCACAGCAATGTTGGCCCGACATGCGCGCGACGCACATGTCCACAAATGCGGTCTCTGCATTGTCTTGCATGCTGTCGAATTTTTTGTCATTATTTTTCGCAGTTTTTTTTACTTCATCTCGAAGGAACAGGCGAAAAAAGGCCGCAAAGCGCTAGCAAATTGGCGCTAACTTCGTCAAACTTCTTTCCGCGGGCCTGTGTTTAGCAAGGAAATTCTGACTACCCTGCCGCGCCTCCGCCATGCAATATTTAATCTGTGCCGCGCGCCTGAGGGCGCCGACGGGTCTGGTTGCTGCCGTTTCCTTCCATACAACGCTACGCCCGCGATCGATTCCCGTTCCGCAGGCAGAGCGAGCCGGCGCAGAAGCCGGCGCGCGGAATCGGTCCCCATTGCAAGAAAATTGCAAATCAATCCCGTTCCGACAAATTCCAGAAGCTATGAAGAAGATGAAAAAAATGAAAAAAGAAAAGAAAAAAAGGATCCCCATCCGCGGGCGACTATCCAGCACAAACAGAAAGTAGCAACCAGACACGGCGGCCCCTCAGGCTCTGGGGCTCGGGATGCCAAGTCCCGAGCAACCCGGCCAATATTTTCTCATGCAGCAAGCAGACGCGCCGAACCAGAGTACAAAACGAGAGACATGATTTTGATTTCTCTTGTAATCACGATCGACGGCATCGCCTCCGTCGAACAAGGAGTTTGCTCCGACAAAACATAACTCGAAACGCGAGAATTGCAAGTTTTTGCAAAGTACAACTACTTCTTTCCTGCAACAATTATGGTACCTGTTCCCACTTGCGAATAGCGATGTTCCGTGGCCGTGTATTCTGTCATCCTGCCACTGCCCCTCAAATATTGCACCGTCGGCATACCTGTGGACGATGGTTTTAAGTAAATCACATTTCAGAGCTTTGTGTGTCATGCACTGACATTCTGCCGTCTCCCCGTCGCGTAGAGTACCATGTACTGAACAAGCGAGTGTGTGTAGTATCACGAGAACGAACAGGTGCGTGCCTGCACTGCAGGTTTCTTTTTGAAAAAAGTTATGGGCTGACTCTGCTGCACTAAAAAATAAAACATTATCGTACGTGAATCTGCCTGTTCCCTCTCGCTTTCCGAAGACCCAGTCCCCTTCGTACTTTTCGTTTCCCTGGTACACGAGGGTACCCTTGCCGTGGAACAGACCGTCCTTGATCTGACCATTGTACGCGTTTGCGGCGTCCATGATTAAAGATGAAACTCAGGAGTACTAGAGGCTCGTCCTGTGGTGAACTATTTGCTGCTCTCCCTTGGCAGTTTCCCGATCCGCACAACGGGACTTGTTCTGCACTTTCTACTGCAAAAGGAGAACGAGAAGCGGTTTCTTTTCGGCTTCCCGCGGGGGCTTCTAAAAGTGCAACTTCTCTCCGCCTCACACGTCGCCAAGCGGTCAGCCCGTCCGCCGAGGTCCGACCTGCGTCATCGTTCCTTGTTCTTTTTGCGGCAATGATGAAACGACGCAGGCTAAAAAAGCTGAATAGACGCACGTGGTAGGTCAAGCTCAAGGTCGACGTTTTGGAGTAAGATTAATAAATGCCTTTCAACTACATTGAATACCAACTGCTATCCGTCTTCGACGCAAACATACTTGCCATCTTCAGGTGCAGTAGTTAGTATTCGCAAGTAATCTACCTCAAAAATCTTCATCAGTGCGCCTCCAATAACAGTATCTACAAATGCTTCCATACTTCCGACGAACGTGTACCGATAAAAATGCGAGACGTGTAGTTTGGTGCTCGTAACCTTACAGAAGCTCAGCATCACGTGACGTGCTGTGGCCGTGTAGAACTACCACTTCTGAGCCTGCTGAAAATTATCTCTCACACTGTTTTCGTTTTTTCGTAAAAGTCAAATAAGTATAAATATACAACCACAAATTCTTCGTTAGCTGCTGAAAGAAAACTCGATTCCTGTACACAGAAAATGAGCAAGAGGCCTTGTTCTCCCCGTGCTCGTCTTTGTTACTTGCGAAGAGTTGCATAATGAAAGTTCCTGAACATCGTACATCGTTGTCGCAGAGGGGAAATAACTAAGGCGCTTCTGCGCTTTGCGCCGCTCAGGCCAGCGCGCGCCGGCCTACCCCTCGGTTTGGAAATTTCAAATCTATTTGGATTCTGCTAGTTATTCTGCTAGGTTCAACATTTGTTTGCGGATTCCGATGAAGAATCTACACATAATGATCAAATGCGGGAAAAAATAAGAGTCAGTCAGTCATCTTCACCTTTGTCTCAACGTCGCACACCGAGACCCCTAAGATCAGGTTGCTCGTTCGTCTTTCTCATTCTCCCTACTTCCTACGAACTGCATTCAAAAGTTTCGCCACTTTCGCTTGTTTCGCCTTTCTACTTCCCTTCGTCACGGCTTCATCGGCACCTTTCCGCGGCAGCTGCAGTAGCAATTGCAGGGCGCTACGTCGGGACAGCCTTCCGGCCCGCACTCCGCTCCGACGCAGGGTTTCGTGTTCGCTTTCGCATTTTTCGCCGTCGTAGCTTTTTCTTCGAGAAAACTGGTTTGGCGGATGGCGTTCGGCGGGGGCACGTACACCAGTTCCGGGCACACACAGGTGCAGCCGCAGGCCCGCGGTTGCGGGCAGGCTTTTTTCAAGAAATAATTGGCTCCCGCAGCCGCACCGGCCATGCTGATCGCATTTTTCGCGACGACGAGGCTTCTGCTGCTAGGACTAGTATCTTGTTGTTCGCGAGATTTATTGTTTTGGCGGAAAAACCTTCGAAAGTTCGCCTTGCTTATCGTCCTCACCGTTCTTGGCGCGGGTGAGGAAATGCTGGCGGACTTCTCTTGCAACATCAGAGTTGTTGTAGACGCGCCGTGACTACTCGCAAAACCAGTTCGTTGTCTGGTTGCCCCATCTTCACACTGCGCCTGATTCTCTGCCACCGCACAGCGTGTCGCACAGCTGCGGTCCCCGGCAAAATCCGGACTAGCAGTGTGGTAGGTCCTCGCTCCGTATCAAACGAAAATATGTCCCTCTGGTTCTCGATGGTATTGCGGGTTTTTGTCGTGTTGTCTCTCTATGGCCCAAAAAATCTGGCATTCGAGCTCTAGCGCTACAGGTTTTGAACAGGTGACTCAATGCAGGTCATCCCCTCTCGCTGGCATCAAGAAATGGAGGTGCCCCCCTTACTGTGCCGTCTATGCATGAGAAATTTTTGTGTGATGTTGAGTTTATTGCATGCATCCACCAAGAGGACCCAGATGAAGACATATTTGCGATGCATACCCCGCATTTCACAGCCGCGGGCTCGGTCTTGGTCCGGACGTATGAACTGCAAAAGTATCGCACTCGTATAAATGCATTACAAATTTCCTCAGCATGAGAAATAAAATTTGTAATGCGGATTTGCCTTAAAAAGAAGATTTGTAATGCATGATGGCAATACGAGTACGATACTTTTGCACAGGATAGGACGAAGTTCTTGTTGAAATACCGGTGCTCGTATGAGAGTCCACAATTCCCGCTTCCCCCTCATTTGTAATGCAAAGTACCAAACTCACACCTTGCTCGTAAGCACTGCTAGCATCACAAATTTTAGAACCTCCTCAAATAGAAATACAACCCGCACGCAGATTTGGCATGCGAAAGCCCGCTCTCTGCTGTTGCTTGTGTTGCTGTTCAATCATGCCATACAAATGACAATGAGGGGGAGGGGGAGTTGTGCACTCTGTCTCATAGCTCGGGAGTGACCGTGGGTGTGCAATCGCGAAGGCAGTCGAACGAAAAACTAGTCGATGATGAAGTTACCGAGGAAGGTATCATTTGTAAAAACGTCCCCACACCAGAGTCAAGTTGTTGGGAGCTTAGCGACACAAACCCAGAAGCCTTGGGAGCAACGCATGACAAATTCCAGTCCGTAGCGTAGTGCAGTTTAGCAAGTGCAGCCGCATCGCAACTCCATCTGCTCACCCTTTTTCCGGCATTACAAATTCCAAAACGCGATTGGATTTGGAAATGCCTCTCGTGGAGATGCGCATTACAAATCTTCCTGTAATCGCAAATCTGCATGACAGCTATGGGGTGGGGACGTTTTTACTCAGGATAGAGGAAGAGAAATGACCTCGACCGCACTCGAAGAGGAGCAGGTATCCCACGAAAAGACTGCTTCACTGTGATGGTTTTGCAGAATCCGCATCACAAGTTTGCTACGCATGACACCGAAAATTTGCCATGCGCGCTTCCCAAGGGAAAACACGCTTAGAAATCCAATGTCTTGCAGGTGTAGCAAGACAAATAGTTCTGCGTTCCATTCTATGCATCACAAATTCACAGTGAAACAGTTTTTTCTTACGATAGCAGGTACAGAGACCGCATTGTGGTGAAAAAAGGAAGATATCCTAGTATGTTTTCGAAAAATTACAAGTCGGTCTTTGTTGCACACGCACACGACGGAAAAAGAAAACGTAAAACGTCGCTCGGGGAGTGCTGGCCGTGCACCTCTATTTCTCCTCTCTCTCTTCGCCGGTGGTCTACTGCGCCAAATTATAATGCAAAGTCTGTGTGCGGTCTATCGCTATTCTCGGAAACAAATAATTGGTCGATCTCATCATCATCATCATCGTGGAGTCAGTGGTAACCCGCACCCAGCTCCAACCCGCTCAGTAACAAATGCCGCTGAACGCGTTTATAGTGATCAAAGATGAACATCAAAAGCGTTTAGTGATCAAAGATGTTCCTCGAGCCGCATTCGTGTTCCTCGAGACGCACACGACAAAAAAAAACTTCGCCGATATCAACTTATCTTCACGTCAGGTCACCGTCGATAGAGGGAACAATCACGGAACGTGGTTCTATCCTGTAAGTACCTGCTACCGTCGCAAAGAACATCGACAAACCGCATCGCAGGTATCGCATCGCTCCTCTTGTTTCTTACCTCTTGGAGGCTGTAGTCCCTGGTAATTCCCGGGTAACAATCTCGATGTACACAATTTTCGGGACATCCACAACCTTGTCGACGTACTTGATCTCCAGTACCTGCGATTGTGGAGATCAACATGTGTGTGTCGTGTGTCTTCGTTTCATGCATGATAAGTAACACCACCGTATGTCTGTGTGCCAAGCGGTACTACCTGCAAGACAAATATAAAAATATCTGTACCTCGACGATCTTCTGGACATTGCGGACGTTTGGCATCTCGACGATTTTGTCGACATACTCGATTTTCGGATTCTCTATGATCTGCTACTGGCTCAGTGGCACATGCTTGTCGACGTATCTGTTTTGTTCGTTGTTGTGTACGGTGCGGGACGTTGCGGCGGTATGGGTACGCATGCATAAACAGTAGGAACTACAAGCACAGATTTTGCGTCACTCTGTCTCCCGATGTAGGGCATGCAAGACAATTCATAACGTGTCTCTACCCCTACACGACACGTGTAGCAGCGCACCGTCGCGAGATGTAGGCCACGTTAGCAGTTAGAAACACCAACACGAAAGCCTTTCGACGTAAACCTAAACTGCCCTGGACATTAGATGAACTATGTAAATGCAAGGAATCAAAATCAATTGAAATACCTTGCGACTTTCTCGATTTGCGGCACCGTGAAAAACTTTTGGATTTTTTTCACGGTTGGGATCTCGACGACCTTGTCGACAAAATTGAACACCTCGATAGTCTGTCCCACAATCCGCTACGTGGGCACGTCGACGTACTTCCGTCGCTTCTCGACTGTGGAGACAAGCAAATCGCATCACAATTATCTTCGCATCGCTCGTCCTCTTTGCCATTATTCACCAAAACAGTTCTTGCGGGCTCCTCCTAAACGAAAGCGTGCTGCTCGTGGCAGCTCTGGTCCCTGGTAAAAATCTCGATCACTTTCTGAAGTTACATACAGTGTAACTTTCGGCACATCATTCGACGAACTTGATCTCCGGCACAACCTGGTCCACGTAGTTGATCTCCGGTACTTACTACCTCATTGTGGATCCGATGCCGATCGTGTGTCATGCTCATGCATCTCAAGTCAGAACACCGTATGGGTGTGATGATGGGAGAAGTACTACCTGCACCACAGGGGGCGCAAAAAACCAGCCTTCCAACTACAAAGCCTACGACGAGTGACCTACGCCTTGCCGACATAGTCTAGTCGGGTCGGCAACCTGACTAGGGCTAAGGACGTGGTGATATCAGGCAACGACACCAAAAAGGGGAGGACGGAAAAAATACCCCCTGGCGCGGCGAGCAAGCACGCAGCCACATACCTAACCCACCTGCACGACGCCACCACCAAAAGGAGTATCTACCGAGAAAGGACAGGGATCTACACCCGGCCGCATAGTCGTTCAGGGCCGGCAACCCTGATCGGGCCGCGGGCAGTAGTGATTTTCAGGCGGATTGACCCCTTTGGCACACCGGTGGTCTGACGAGGTGGACAGCCACCAAGCACACCGATGGACTGGCTACCGCGCGGGGTGATAGAGGTTATCCTGGAGGCGCGCAAAGGTCGCAAAGCAGTACAGTGCTACGTCGAAGCCCAATAGAAGTCAGCTCTTCTTTTTCGGCAAGCAGTAAAAACTCACGTTTCAAATTTTTTTTTTTTTCAGCAAGCAGTAAAAACTCACTTTCAACTTCAGGAAAGCTAGTAAGCGTAAGACAGGCCCGCGAGGCACTGCAGCGTAAGAAAAGCAAGAGGTGGAAAGCAACAAAAAGTACAGAAACACACAAAAAAAAAAACAGTTCCTACAAGGTAGCGGATCACTTTTTTAAACAACCCAAGCAGACGTTTTAACTTTTTCGGACAGGCAGCAACTTTTAGAAAACCAGGTAGCTTTTGACAACAAAAAGACTGTAGATTAAGGCTTTCTTTCCTCGGAGTCAACTTTTCTGAAAAACTCGTTTTTGACTTACGACGCACTTTTTAACTTTTCAACAGCAACTTTTTACTTGCAGCAACAGACTTTTAGCTTTCGACACTTCTAACTTTTTCAGTTTTACAGCAGGTTATCAAGTTAAGCTCTCGCTCCAAGCAACAGCTCCTTTTTCTGAGGCAGAGGCCAAAGCAGCTCTGCCAAGTTGTCCTTTTTCTTGAAATAGCGCTAATCATGTGAGGGGAAACACAAATTTCCAAACGGTTCCACATGACCTTCAACTACAAACAAACAAACACCGTATGGGTGTGATGATGGGAGAAGTACTACCTGCACCACAAAGACTTCTTCTAGTAAACTATCTAGAACGGGCGGTCGCTCCGCGCCCGCCGGCCCGGCGACGAGGGGGTGCAAGGGGGAGCGAGGGAGAAAGAGACTACAGGGTAGCGCCTAGCGCTACAGCCTCAAACCATGCTGGTGCGACAGGCGAAAAAAAGAAACGGCCGCGCCCCTGGCCTTCCTTCCTCGGTCAGCGGGAGCGAAAGAAGTGTAGGTAGAGAGAAGGCCGCGAGGCGCGAGGGGGCGGTAGGGAGCGCACAATGCGGTCCCTGTCCAAGCCTCCACAAACAGGCCCGGCGGAAAGCGTTCGCAGACCCTTTGCGACGGCTCGGGGGGCTAGCCACACAAAGCAGAACGAAAAGAGCGCGCCGACGGCCGAAAGACAAGAAACAAACCGGGCCAGCGCCAAGCAAAAATAAAGTACAGCAGGCAGGGCCGCGGTGGAAAGGCAGGGGGGGGGCGCTGCGTGTGGCTCTTGCTAGAAGCGACGCAGACCAAAAGAAAAGAACAAGCAGGCCAAAGCAAAAGCCCACCCACTGCCGGAGACGAGGCAAAAAGCGTTGGAAGCGAAAGGAGAAGGACGCGGGCCGCAAGCAAACCTCATGCATCTCAAGTCAGAACACCGTATGGGTGTGATGATGGGAGAAGTACTACCTGCACCACAAAGACTTCTTCTAGTAAACTATCTAGAACGGGCGGTCGCTCCGCGCCCGCCGGCCCGGCGACGAGGGGGTGCAAGGGGGAGCGAGGGAGAAAGAGACTACAGGGTAGCGCCTAGCGCTACAGCCTCAAACCATGCTGGTGCGACAGGCGAAAAAAAGAAACGGCCGCGCCCCTGGCCTTCCTTCCTCGGTCAGCGGGAGCGAAAGAAGTGTAGGTAGAGAGAAGGCCGCGAGGCGCGAGGGGGCGGTAGGGAGCGCACAATGCGGTCCCTGTCCAAGCCTCCACAAACAGGCCCGGCGGAAAGCGTTCGCAGACCCTTTGCGACGGCTCGGGGGGCTAGCCACACAAAGCAGAACGAAAAGAGCGCGCCGACGGCCGAAAGACAAGAAACAAACCGGGCCAGCGCCAAGCAAAAATAAAGTACAGCAGGCAGGGCCGCGGTGGAAAGGCAGGGGGGGGGCGCTGCGTGTGGCTCTTGCTAGAAGCGACGCAGACCAAAAGAAAAGAACAAGCAGGCCAAAGCAAAAGCCCACCCACTGCCGGAGACGAGGCAAAAAGCGTTGGAAGCGAAAGGAGAAGGACGCGGGCCGCAAGCAAACCTCATGCATCTCAAGTCAGAACACCGTATGGGTGTGATGATGGGAGAAGTACTACCTGCACCACAAAGACTTCCGGCACGGTCGGGCGAAAGTGATGGCCAAGAGCTCCCTGGCCGTCATTTTCGGCCATCACTCAGCCACTTTCTTTCTTCCCGCGCGGGCAAAAGTGTTGGCCAAGAGCTCCGCGGCCACCACTTTAGTGTCGTTACCGGTTTTAGACGCAGAACTTCGGTTTCTGTGACAATTCTCGAAGACAGTCGGTCAGCGGGTACCTCTGCCGCAGCTCTTGTTCCGCCATGACCAATAGAATAATCCAGTCCCTCTTCTGATTTTTGTTCTGGAGGACCAGTACTCGTGCTCGCTCGACCTTGTTGGTGGTGGTGATCACCAGCAGCTCGACGTTGCTCGACGTTGTAATCACTCGACTCGGGATCAGGCCGCGTTTCCAGATACGTGCTCGCGTGCCACTCCGGGGGCGCCAGGAGGTGGTCGTCTTCCGTTGTCGAGTCGTCGTTGTGCGCGAAGGCGCGGCTTCCGAAGTGGTAAGTACTCGAGCCAATCCAGCGCATCTGCCTGGCCGCTGCGGAAAACTTCTGCCCGCAGCAAGTTCTGGCAGGGGGATCCGGATCCGCTCCTCGCCTCCATCTATCAGAGTGTAAGTACCTCCCCCCCTCGTGTTCCCTCTCGGATCATGTATCACATCACGACAAACAGCAATACAAACTTCGGCAAGTAGAAAAAGAATCAATGCGGGGCTACTACTTATTTGCATGACAAATTCGCCCAGGATAGTACGTGCTGTTTGGGCTGCCAAAAGTGCCATCATCATCATGTAGTGGACACCCGCAGCCAGCGCCACAGGTCAAGGATCCCCTCCCCGGGGGGTGGGCGAGGAAGTGCCAACAGGCAGAGGGTGGATTTTGTATTTTGGATGACACACGCGGGGGAGGGGGAGTTGTGCACAGTCGTCATACGATCTCTGCCTTGTCCAGAAGGAGGTTCCCGTTGGCGTCCAGGAGCTCGAACGCTGGGAGCAGGCCCGTTGCGTAGACATCAACATGAAAAATCCCCCCTCGTCCCCATGTTAAAGTGGAAACTTCTGATGCTGATTTGTGGCCACAGATCATGTTTGTCTTGCCTATAGGGTAAGTAATCATAGGAGCCATGTGGCGCATTCGACAGCCAGTCTGTCGCGCGCTTTCGACTACTACAAGAAGATGAAATCTGTTTATTGCCATGCGTAATTGCTAGCCTTCTGCATACGCAAAACGGCCAAGAAAATCCCGCCAAGCACTTTCTGCAAGACAAATCTGATTTGTGTACGCAAATCCAGCATCAGAAACTTCCTTTTGATATGGGGAGGGGGGATCATCTTCCCTTCTGATAGTAGAGGACCAGAAAGCTGCGCCACGAGCACGACCGCGTACGGTCCCACATTTGAAGCGCGATCCGCATGCCGTGGGGTGTTATTTGGTACTCACGCAGGAAGTGCCGCCGTAAAAATCCACCCTGCCACCGCAGGCTCCGCAGGGCGTCTTGGTTGTTGCCTCGCACGGAAATGTCGCAGATATTCAGTGCAAAAGCATCGCACTCGTACTAATTCAGTGCTTTTATACAATTTTCCTTTTTAAGGCGAATCCACACGACAAATGTATATTTTTTGTAAATCAACAATGCGAAGCCAATTATTCGTAATGCATTGTATGCTAGTGCGATTATACTTTTGCAATGCATAGCGGATCATCATTCGCAAATTTTTACCGGTCAGACTACTAGCATCGCTCGACCGTGGGAGAAAGTCGGCCAGCTTCCCGTGGAAACTTATCCAGTGCAAATATGTCTGGGTCTGGAAGACTCTGAGATTTGTCATGCAGTTTTTCCAAGCGGCCCCGCCAAGTTTCGTTTGGAATGCAGGGCTTAGCGTCACAGGATCTGCAGCCCCTTTGTGATGCCAGTTCTGCATGAGAGATGCCCTCTCAGCATGACCAGAAGTGAGCACCTTTTGCAAGTCACGCAACACAGATTTTTGTATAATCCCGCCGCAACGTGCATCACAAGTTCGCATCCTTTTAGACCCAGACATATTTGCAATGCATAAAACTGTCGTCCAACCCAAACGCGAATCGAGTGATGGCGTCCAGCAGGCCGTATCCTGAGCAACAACGTCCCCACCCTATAGTCAAGTTGCTGGCAAATCTGCAATACAAATCTCCAAGTTTCAGCTGCCGAACATGACAAGCTTGGGCTTGTAGTCTAATAGTTAGTTTAGCTAGTGCAAAAGCATGAAGACAAATTGACTATCTTATCCTGATTCCAGCATTACAAGAAACTCCGCGGTAGCATTAGATAGCAAATGGCTGTCATGGGGCTGCGCATCATCATCATGATCATCATCATGAGAGACATTTGATTTTAGGCTTGCGGATTTGCATGACACCTATGGGGTGGGCATGTTTTTCTTCAGGATAAACCGCTGTCGGTGTTCTCGTCGTAGTTCACATCATAATCACGACGGCTCCCGCGTGTAGCAGTGGTATTTGGTGTAGCCTGTGAAGCAATAGAACTTCCCGGTATAGTTGCAGCAACGTCGTGGTCCTTCGCTGGCCCACTTCCCTTTATTTCGTTTTCCCGGTCGCAGTGCTTCCCCCATTCGATACCGTCCAGAAACCCATCCTTGTTGGTGTCCGCCGAAACGGGGCACCCCCACTCGACCTGCTCCGCCTTGTCCAGCAACAAGTCCTGATTGCGATCGCGGTCTTGGAACGCTTGCAACCGACCAGGTGGGCAGTAAAGGTTTTTCAAAAATGGGGCCCAGCGCCCGGTCACTCGTCGCGTGCGCAGCGCTAGATCGGCATCGTACGCGGTCAGGCCCCATCTCTCCGGAAGTAACAACGCCAGCGTCTCGCTTTGCTGGTCCAGGTTACTTTTTCCGATCTCCGTGTGGACGAACGCATCCAGATTGTCCACCAGCCCTTGCAGCCTCAAACTGTGCTGGACCAGTATTTTCCACGGGGGAACGACGAAGGACGGGGTGGAGATGTCGGTGACATTGCCGCTACAGGAGACGCATCCACTGCAAAAGCAAATCGCACTCGTCGTACTAATTGCAGCTCTGCATGATAATGACGTAGGTATCCATTGCTTCCTAAGGTAAGAACAAGTCCGCATTCATTTACAAGTTTTGTTTTTCCTGCTAAAAAAGTAAAAGATTGTATGTCTGTACTTAAAATATCGAAGAAAAAAACACCATCACAATCACAAAATTCAAATTTTCAAAATTTTGCAGGAGCTGAACAAAAAATTATTTTGATTTTCAGGTAAGAAAATACTTTTCAATTCTCGAATGCGAATGTATTTATTTTTGTGTTAGCTATTTGGTTATGTCAAAAATGGCGGTTTGAATAAGCTAGTTAAGAGAGAGTTCTGAAGACAAACGATCAGCTTCCAGCAGACGAAGCTTGGTAGATGGGGTTGTCGCCCTCTGGCCCCACCTCGTAAGTCAAAACGTCGATTTCGGACATCCACAGCTCGAGCTCGCAAAACGTCTAAGTATGGGTGTGATGATGGGAGAAGTACTACCTGCACCACAAAGACTTCAGTTGTGTCCTCTGCAACGGTGGGAAAACGGCAACCAAGCACGTGGTAGAGACGTGCCCGGTTACGAGCGTGTTTTTGAGGTGGTGGGGGGTCGAAACGACCGACGACTGTAAACTAAAGCCCAACCAAACGGCCAGCGCGCTACTGGAGGCCAACACACTACTGGCGCCGTTGATCGGATCCTTCCCCGCAGTCCGCCACCTATGGTGGGCGAGCGACCCCGGCAGCTACTACGCTGCGTAGCGGCCAGGCACGAAAACACCACGCCACAGAAAGCCCGCGCGCCACAGGGGGCGCAAAAAACCAGCCTTCCAACTACAAAGCCTACGACGAGTGACCTACGCCTTGCCGACATAGTCTAGTCGGGTCGGCAACCTGACTAGGGCTAAGGACGTGGTGATATCAGGCAACGACACCAAAAAGGGGAGGACGGAAAAAATACCCCCTGGCGCGGCGAGCAAGCACGCAGCCACATACCTAACCCACCTGCACGACGCCACCACCAAAAGGAGTATCTACCGAGAAAGGACAGGGATCTACACCCGGCCGCATAGTCGTTCAGGGCCGGCAACCCTGATCGGGCCGCGGGCAGTAGTGATTTTCAGGCGGATTGACCCCTTTGGCACACCGGTGGTCTGACGAGGTGGACAGCCACCAAGCACACCGATGGACTGGCTACCGCGCGGGGTGATAGAGGTTATCCTGGAGGCGCGCAAAGGTCGCAAAGCAGTACAGTGCTACGTCGAAGCCCAATAGAAGTCAGCTCTTCTTTTTCGGCAAGCAGTAAAAACTCACGTTTCAAATTTTTTTTTTTTTCAGCAAGCAGTAAAAACTCACTTTCAACTTCAGGAAAGCTAGTAAGCGTAAGACAGGCCCGCGAGGCACTGCAGCGTAAGAAAAGCAAGAGGTGGAAAGCAACAAAAAGTACAGAAACACACAAAAAAAAAAACAGTTCCTACAAGGTAGCGGATCACTTTTTTAAACAACCCAAGCAGACGTTTTAACTTTTTCGGACAGGCAGCAACTTTTAGAAAACCAGGTAGCTTTTGACAACAAAAAGACTGTAGATTAAGGCTTTCTTTCCTCGGAGTCAACTTTTCTGAAAAACTCGTTTTTGACTTACGACGCACTTTTTAACTTTTCAACAGCAACTTTTTACTTGCAGCAACAGACTTTTAGCTTTCGACACTTCTAACTTTTTCAGTTTTACAGCAGGTTATCAAGTTAAGCTCTCGCTCCAAGCAACAGCTCCTTTTTCTGAGGCAGAGGCCAAAGCAGCTCTGCCAAGTTGTCCTTTTTCTTGAAATAGCGCTAATCATGTGAGGGGAAACACAAATTTCCAAACGGTTCCACATGACCTTCAACTACAAACAAACAAACACCGTATGGGTGTGATGATGGGAGAAGTACTACCTGCACCACAAAGACTTGCGTGGCCCATCAGTCGCATGGCCTCCTCATATTGCTCGTCTGGGTCTAGGTCATGATCGCCCTCGTCCGCACAGGAAGACGACACTGCAGTTGCTGAGGACAAGTTGTTACCAGGATAGAAATTTTGGTTGAAATCATTATTGCTCCAGTACGTGTTGTACGTCGACTCTTGCAACATCAGACCACCTCCCTGCTTTGGTGTCCCCAACATCTTCGCAGCTGCAGTACTACTATTTCCGGCGGTAACGGCAGTCAAATGGAGTGGTAACGTGGGAGGCTTTTGGTTTTGATTTTTCTTCTCCTCGTCCTCGCCGGCGCAAGTAGTTGCACTACCAACATTCCGCCATTTCTCAATAGCCTCTCGCCAGTCGTCTCGTTCCTTCTCAGATTTGGTTTTCTGCAGATCGACTTCTCCTTCAATTCATGCAGATTTGGTTTTCTGCAGATCTACATGGGGTAGTAAAGCTTCTCCTTCAATTCAAAGGACTCGTAGGCGTCGGGGCGTTTGTTTATGCAGTGGAGAAGCATCGCACTTCTAGTGGTAATTGAAATACAAAGTAGTAGCTCCTGCTTAGCGTGGCAAATATGATTTGTGTTGCTGTTTCAGGTACAAGGAGGAGGTTTGTCACGCATATCTGTAATTAGAAGTACGATTACGATGCTTTTGCTGAATGCATATTGTTCGCTGCTCTTCGGTTCTGCCGGAGTCGTTGCGAGTGAGAGTACTTGGAGTTTGGTTGCGGGAAGAGTTTGATCTTATCATTATCTCGAACGGGTTTAGTACTATCTGTAGTCATGGTTGTGTCGGTTGTGGCTCTGGCCTGGTGCGCTTCGGCCTGCTGGCCTGTTGTATTTAGCTCTTCACCGGTGATCATGCTAGTATCGCCTGCGATGCTGCTGGAAGTGCTTGCAAGAATACTGTCGCCAAGAATTACACCTCCCCCGTCTTCCTGATCCTCAAAACAAAAATCTTGGCTCTCTTCCTCCACGTAGTCATCCCTCATTTCTTTCGGAAACTCGGGCATAGTCGTGATTTCCCTTTTCAGCATGATGTTGACCTCCTTGCTCGACGTTGTAATCACTCGACTCGGGATCAGGCCGCGTTTCCAGATACGTGCAGGCCTAAGCCCTGGGGCTTTGCACGCTAGCCATGCGCTTCACCTAGCTGATCCAAACAGTTCGAAGCCTTTCGCTATTTTTGCGGTTGCTTTGCTGTCGCTATCGCTGCCCTTTTGCCTGCTTTCATCGACTGCAAGAATTTCCAAAGCCCTAAATCCCTAAGATTCTAGGCGCTTCCGATTCATCTTCGCAAGCTGAAAGCCAAGCAAGTTTTGTTGATCCTTGCTGCTGATCTTGAGTCATCTGCTCTATCTAGTTTAGCATCAGGAATTTTTGCGACTTTGAATTTTCGGAATTGGAAAAGAAAATTTTGAAAGTTTTGAAACAAAGACTGCTATCGGCCGGCGCTCTTGTCTGGGTACCTGAGAACTTTTTGAGATGAAATGAATGATCTAGCTGTCTACGCGTCTTGCTGCGCTCAATTCTATTTCTAAGCCTAGTAAGCGAAATGACAAATGAGTTGAAATCCAAATACGAGTGAGGGAGAGTAAAAATGCGAATGATAGGAGATGAAGCCTAGTACTAGATGAATGCGTGGAAACAAAAACTGTAAGTAGTAAAATTTGTCTTCCAGTAAGAGTGTGAGCTTCGATCTTGTCGCAGGGTGCTCCAAGCATCGCTGATCATCATGAGAAGTACTACCTGCACCACAAAGACTTCTTCTAGTAAACTAGTACTACTGTACTAGGTCTTCTTGTTTTTCACACCCTAAATCGAGGCCTAAATGAAAATTATCTGATGTACCTCGTGTGCTGTAATAACGTGCCTTAGCTGGTGGACCTGCGGCCGCGTCCAGTACAGCAAAAAGCCATGGCGTCTTTCATCTTCTTCAGAGCTGTCTCGACGAACTTCTCGACGGTAGTGCTGTGCATGAATAGCTTAAACATTTGAAATGTTTCCCCCATGTGCGTGTGTTTGTTCTCGTGCACCATGTGCTGCAGGAAGGAATGCTTATGCTCCCCGTCCCCGACCATGTGGTGTACGAATTTCACTAGTAATTTATACGTTTCCTCTGCCAGATCCTATGGATTGCAAATATGTCTGGGTCTGGAAACTTGTAATGCTAAGAGTGAATGACTGACGCACTGCAATACGCAGCTATGCATTACAAATTTCTTGGCTGCCATGTCTATACGCATTCCGAATGGCAAAACTGCGTTTTTGTATGACAGGTAAGAGGGCCTTTTCGTTCCTAGGCAACGCAGATTGATTCTCGAGTCATGCCAGACAAGCATAACAAACTTGCATTCTTCCAGACCCACACATTTTTGCATTTGATAGACCCTCCGCCTCAACGATTTCTTTTGCGACGAGTCCGCCAATGGATGACAAAGCCGCGTCCTGGAGCGCAGTCTTGTGAACGTGGTCGAGTTTCTTCGTGTCTTCGTCGGTCAGCTTCTCGCCCTTCAGCAGTTTTTTGAGCACGTCCATTAGGGGCTTCTTGTGGTCGTGGTGCAAATTGTTTAGGTGTTTGAGACACTCATGGCGGTGCATTTTGGCACAGAGCAAGCCCCAGAAGACTTTGACGAAAGCCTCTGTCGCCGTTAAGCCCAATTCTGCCCCAATTATTCGCGCGTATCAACTGCAAATACGTCTGGGTCTGGAAGAGTGGAGCGTTTGTCTTGCACATTTTGCCTGACCCATGATGTCTGTGATGCATGCCCTAGCATCACAGGTTTTTTGACGGCTTCCTGATGCCTATTCCGCATGAGAAATGCCGTCTCGTCCGTATGGCAACAGCTGGAGTCCTCTTCCTCTTGCTCTTCATCATGCTATACAATTTTTTTTAGAATCTAAAGACAACATGACAAGTTGGGACCCTTCCAGACCCAGACATATTTGCAATGCATAGCGCGTAGGCAGTGACAATATTCGCGTCCAAGCCCCCCAAGCCGAGCTTCATCACGGCTCCCGCTGCGGACCGTGCCACACATTCGCCACCCTTTTCCAGTAAGTCAGCCAGCTGCATGATGTAGAAATCTCCAAATTCGGCTTTTAGGTGGTCCTCGCTGGTGCGCGCAGCCATGCGCGTCTCGGTCCAGAGGCGCGGTACAAGACCAGTACCGCTATTCCTCGTGTGGTCCCTGCGCGGCGCTGTGTCGGCGGGGTTGTGTAATCGCGGTTGAAGACCAGTACTCGTGCTCGCTCGACCTTGTTGGTGGTGGTGATCACCAGCAGCATGATGTTGACCATGACCTCCACCTTGCTCGACGTTGTAATCACTCGACTCCTACAATGTTTTTTTTTCTTGGATATGACATGGACTTTTTTCAGTGGCTGCTTGAAAACCAAGAGCGGGTGATCGTTGATGGAGGCCTCGGCCTCGGTTGAATGTTGCTCCCCGATATATCCTGGGTAAAAACGTCCCCACCTGCCCAGAGTTGTCATGCACATGCGCAATGACAGGAATCGATTTGTTGTAATGCGCAGCTCCACGAGAGGCATTGCCAATCGTGTTTTGGAATTTGTAATGCTGTAAACAGAATGACAAATAAATGGCTTTCTCATGCGGCTTCCCTTGCCAACCAAAAGTGTACTGCAGAGGGAAACTTGTCATTCACAGCAACCAAAACTTGGAGATTTGTGTGGTCGTAGTAAGTTTACAGTTTACACGTAAATCGGAACACAATGCTGCAAAGCAGCACGCAGGCTTTCGGTTCTCCTGAACACTGAAACCATTGCAGCTGTATAACCCTGCACTATACATCATCCAGTCGCTATTACTGGGCGAAGAGGTCGTGCTAATATTGCCTTGAGTTTTTTCGTGCACTGCTTCTGCTCCTGATAGTCGTCCGGCACCATGGTTTATTTGTTCGCCCGCGTACGCAAAGCTTTCTCCGCTAGAAGATGCTCCGCCGTTCTTGTTGTTCATGCTGGTGGGGTACGCGGACGTGCCGTAGTTAGAAGTAGTGCTACTAGCGCCGCAATACAATTGCTGCTGATTCATGATTGCAAGACCCGGGGAAGAAGAGGAAGGTCCGGAAGAAGATGCTGCGTTGACGAAAGTTGATGCATTTTGCTGCTGGTTTATATTTTGTCCGTCCTTGTTTTGTCCAGCCGCGAGCATCATCGCCTGCTGTTTATGCAATACAAATCTGCCACCGTACATCAGCTTGTGCAACACGACGCATGAACAAATGCAGAGCACGTGAATTGTTTACTTATAAAGACTTCCCCACAGAACTGAACAAGCATGCAAGTTGTGTTGAGGCTAAAGGGAATCCCTGTAGTTTATCGAGACCAGTTGATATACGTCAAGGTCGTGCAGAAGTACAATATACGCGGCTAAATTTGCTGTGTAGTTCTCATTTCATACTCTGCTGCCTGTTGATATCCCCTTTCAAACGCAGAAATCGCAGCCTGGTGGTAGTACTCTTGATTGTTGGCGGAGCGGGCCACACCTGGTTGCGCCAACGGGGACGGCGCGATAAAATTTGCGTCAACCGCCGGACTGCTCGAAAGAGCGTTCACTCTAGTCATCGATCCTGAAGTCGTCGTGCTGAATGCAGCTCCCGGGAGTGTTCCTTCCTGTGCTGGTGGTCTTGCAAATGCCATGACACTACTCTCAACAGCATCTTCAGTGGTCGCAGTAGAAGCAGATGAATTGTTGTTGATCAGAACATGCGGCGCAACGTCAGGCGGCAGCGGTGCGTGGCCCATCAGTCGCATGGCCTCCTCATATTGCTCGTCTGGGTCTAGGTCATGATCGCCCTCGTCCGCACAGGAAGACGACACTCACTGCAGTTGCTGAGGACAAGTTGTTACCAGGATAGAAATTTTGGTTGAAATCATTATTGCTCCAGTACGTGTTGTACGTCGACTCTTGCAACATCAGACCACCTCCCTGCTTTGGTGTCCCCAACATCTTCGCAGCTGCAGTACTACTATTTCCGGCGGTAACGGCAGTCAAATGGAGTGGTAACGTGGGAGGCTTTTGGTTTTGATTTTTCTTCTCCTCGTCCTCGCCGGCGCAAGTAGTTGCACTACCAACATTCCGCCATTTCTCAATAGCCTCTCGCCAGTCGTCTCGTTCCTTCTCAGATTTGGTTTTCTGCAGATCGACTTCTCCTTCAATTCATGCAGATTTGGTTTTCTGCAGATCTACATGGGGTAGTAAAGCTTCTCCTTCAATTCAAAGGACTCGTAGGCGTCGGGGCGTTTGTTTATGCAGTGGAGAAGCATCGCACTTCTAGTGGTAATTGAAATACAAAGTAGTAGCTCCTGCTTAGCGTGGCAAATATGATTTGTGTTGCTGTTTCAGGTACAAGGAGGAGGTTTGTCACGCATATCTGTAATTAGAAGTACGATTACGATGCTTTTGCTGAATGCATATTGTTCGCTGCTCTTCGGTTCTGCCGGAGTCGTTGCGAGTGAGAGTACTTGGAGTTTGGTTGCGGGAAGAGTTTGATCTTATCATTATCTCGAACGGGTTTAGTACTATCTGTAGTCATGGTTGTGTCGGTTGTGGCTCTGGCCTNTGCGTGGCCCATCAGTCGCATGGCCTCCTCATATTGCTCGTCTGGGTCTAGGTCATGATCGCCCTCGTCCGCACAGGAAGACGACACTGCAGTTGCTGAGGACAAGTTGTTACCAGGATAGAAATTTTGGTTGAAATCATTATTGCTCCAGTACGTGTTGTACGTCGACTCTTGCAACATCAGACCACCTCCCTGCTTTGGTGTCCCCAACATCTTCGCAGCTGCAGTACTACTATTTCCGGCGGTAACGGCAGTCAAATGGAGTGGTAACGTGGGAGGCTTTTGGTTTTGATTTTTCTTCTCCTCGTCCTCGCCGGCGCAAGTAGTTGCACTACCAACATTCCGCCATTTCTCAATAGCCTCTCGCCAGTCGTCTCGTTCCTTCTCAGATTTGGTTTTCTGCAGATCGACTTCTCCTTCAATTCATGCAGATTTGGTTTTCTGCAGATCTACATGGGGTAGTAAAGCTTCTCCTTCAATTCAAAGGACTCGTAGGCGTCGGGGCGTTTGTTTATGCAGTGGAGAAGCATCGCACTTCTAGTGGTAATTGAAATACAAAGTAGTAGCTCCTGCTTAGCGTGGCAAATATGATTTGTGTTGCTGTTTCAGGTACAAGGAGGAGGTTTGTCACGCATATCTGTAATTAGAAGTACGATTACGATGCTTTTGCTGAATGCATATTGTTCGCTGCTCTTCGGTTCTGCCGGAGTCGTTGCGAGTGAGAGTACTTGGAGTTTGGTTGCGGGAAGAGTTTGATCTTATCATTATCTCGAACGGGTTTAGTACTATCTGTAGTCATGGTTGTGTCGGTTGTGGCTCTGGCCTGGTGCGCTTCGGCCTGCTGGCCTGTTGTATTTAGCTCTTCACCGGTGATCATGCTAGTATCGCCTGCGATGCTGCTGGAAGTGCTTGCAAGAATACTGTCGCCAAGAATTACACCTCCCCCGTCTTCCTGATCCTCAAAACAAAAATCTTGGCTCTCTTCCTCCACGTAGTCATCCCTCATTTCTTTCGGAAACTCGGGCATAGTCGTGATTTCCCTTTTCAGCATGATGTTGACCTCCTTGCTCGACGTTGTAATCACTCGACTCGGGATCAGGCCGCGTTTCCAGATACGTCTATCTATGTATTTATTTTTGCATTACAAATATGACCTGCCAGCTTTTTTCTCTGGGATAATAGGTAGAAGTGGTTGACGGTCCAGGAAGGTTCTGGTGGTTGCTGAGCTTCATCTCCGACACTCCCGTTCTCATCTTGCTGCTCTTCTTCTTGATCTTGTTCAACAGGGGCCACAACTATTTCTTTTCTTCTGTCGTTCCTTGCTCCCTTCATCTGCGTCGTGCTGGTTACTTTCACTTCACGCTTCTGCGTTGTTCCTTGTCCTGCGAAGGCGGGGCCAACATCTGCAGTAGAGACAGAAAAAACCCCAGCGCCGGGGCCGTGAGAGCGGTCGTGCTCGTGTGGTGTGGTGGGTGAAGATACTGTAGCAGAAGGGGTCGAATTGGTCAACACCACGAGCCGGCTTTCATCAACTGCAGCTCCTGCAGCTCCGCGCAAGTTCGACTTCTTCCGTCGTGGAAGATTTTTCGGGTCTGCTTTTGCTGGTGTTGCACCTCCTTGTGCTGCAGCACCTCGTGTTGCAGCATCTCGTGTTGCAGTTGCACCACTTATTTGATGATGCATTGTCCTCTCACCTCGGCCTGGATCAACATCTTCGCCTGCGGCGAAGGAGAGATCTTCTTTGTTTGTTGATGTCGTAGAAGTTCTAGTTCCAACGTCGTCCACAACTGGTGGAGAACGCTGATCTCGAAGTCCTGGAGCTACTGTTCCTGCCCGTCGTCCTGCATCAAGTAGAACATCCTGCGCAGCAACATCGGATTCAGATTCCCCAGTGGATTCTGCGTCATTATCTTCTTGCGACTGGTCGTCGTTGTCGTGTAGTGGTGGTTCAGGTTCTTCTTCTTCTAGTTCTTCCCCTGGTCGTTCTACTGCTTCTTCCGCTTGTTCATCCTCCTCGGACCCAGTCTCGACTGAATCCTCCCCCTGGAGGCCCTGGTCGTGGTCGAGGCCGTCTTCGTCCAGATCCTCGTCCAGAAAGTCCTCCTGCTCTTGTTGTGACCCCGGTATTTTTGTCGTTGTTGTTCCACCACCTGTGGACAACGCTTTCTTCGCACCGCCTCGCAAGTTGAACTTCTTCTTGTTTTCCACTGGTTGTACTAACTGATTTTCATTCTTGACGTGCTCTTGCTCTTGACGTGATCTTTCTCGTTCATCTCGTTTGTTCATTTTCTCATCTTGCTCCGTTCTTGGTCGTGTCGCAGCATCTTCCAGGAACGCAACTCTGCTGGTGCCAGTCACGGCAGTTTGAGCTTGCCTCGCGCTACCTCGCAAGTTCGATTTCTTTGATGTGCGCGTGCTGCGAGAAGTAGCGCCGTCCACGTTCGTTATTGTTCTCGATGTAGAAGTTTCGTGAGGGGATGCTCTAGTCGACGAGGCGGAGATGACGTCCTCCGTGAAGATGCTGTCGTTCTTCTTCTCGTTCTGGGCAGCTGAAGATGGTCCTCCAGGAGCTTCCTCCACCGTCGCCGCTCCAGTGGAGGAAAAGGTGGTCAGCAAAAAACTGGTGGCAGGTGTCAAGTCTTCTTCAACAGGAACAGCCTCTTCTCGTTTCGCATCTACTTGTACGTGTGCAGTTTCAGCTTGTCGTTGTTGTACCACATGACCTCCTTGTTCGACGTTGTAATCACTCGACTCGGGATCAGGCCGCGTTTCCAGATACGTGCTCGCGTGCCACTCCGGGGGCGCCAGGAGGTGGTCGTCTTCCGTTGTCGAGTCGTCGTTGTGCGCGAAGGCGCGGCTTCCGAAGTGGTAAGTACTCGAGCCAATCCAGCGCATCTGCCTGGCCGCTGCGGAAAACTTCTGCCCGCAGCAAGTTCTGGCAGGGGGATCCGGATCCGCTCCTCGCCTCCATCTATCAGAGTGTAAGTACCTCCCCCCCTCGTGTTCCCTCTCGGATCATGTATCACATCACGACAAACAGCAATACAAACTTCGGCAAGTAGAAAAAGAATCAATGCGGGGCTACTACTTATTTGCATGACAAATTCGCCCAGGATAGTACGTGCTGTTTGGGCTGCCAAAAGTGCCATCATCATCATGTAGTGGACACCCGCAGCCAGCGCCACAGGTCAAGGATCCCCTCCCCGGGGGGTGGGCGAGGAAGTGCCAACAGGCAGAGGGTGGATTTTGTATTTTGGATGACACACGCGGGGGAGGGGGAGTTGTGCACAGTCGTCATACGATCTCTGCCTTGTCCAGAAGGAGGTTCCCGTTGGCGTCCAGGAGCTCGAACGCTGGGAGCAGGCCCGTTGCGTAGACATCAACATGAAAAATCCCCCCTCGTCCCCATGTTAAAGTGGAAACTTCTGATGCTGATTTGTGGCCACAGATCATGTTTGTCTTGCCTATAGGGTAAGTAATCATAGGAGCCATGTGGCGCATTCGACAGCCAGTCTGTCGCGCGCTTTCGACTACTACAAGAAGATGAAATCTGTTTATTGCCATGCGTAATTGCTAGCCTTCTGCATACGCAAAACGGCCAAGAAAATCCCGCCAAGCACTTTCTGCAAGACAAATCTGATTTGTGTACGCAAATCCAGCATCAGAAACTTCCTTTTGATATGGGGAGGGGGGATCATCTTCCCTTCTGATAGTAGAGGACCAGAAAGCTGCGCCACGAGCACGACCGCGTACGGTCCCACATTTGAAGCGCGATCCGCATGCCGTGGGGTGTTATTTGGTACTCACGCAGGAAGTGCCGCCGTAAAAATCCACCCTGCCACCGCAGGCTCCGCAGGGCGTCTTGGTTGTTGCCTCGCACGGAAATGTCGCAGATATTCAGTGCAAAAGCATCGCACTCGTACTAATTCAGTGCTTTTATACAATTTTCCTTTTTAAGGCGAATCCACACGACAAATGTATATTTTTTGTAAATCAACAATGCGAAGCCAATTATTCGTAATGCATTGTATGCTAGTGCGATTATACTTTTGCAATGCATAGCGGATCATCATTCGCAAATTTTTACCGGTCAGACTACTAGCATCGCTCGACCGTGGGAGAAAGTCGGCCAGCTTCCCGTGGAAACTTATCCAGTGCAAATATGTCTGGGTCTGGAAGACTCTGAGATTTGTCATGCAGTTTTTCCAAGCGGCCCCGCCAAGTTTCGTTTGGAATGCAGGGCTTAGCGTCACAGGATCTGCAGCCCCTTTGTGATGCCAGTTCTGCATGAGAGATGCCCTCTCAGCATGACCAGAAGTGAGCACCTTTTGCAAGTCACGCAACACAGATTTTTGTATAATCCCGCCGCAACGTGCATCACAAGTTCGCATCCTTTTAGACCCAGACATATTTGCAATGCATAAAACTGTCGTCCAACCCAAACGCGAATCGAGTGATGGCGTCCAGCAGGCCGTATCCTGAGCAACAACGTCCCCACCCTATAGTCAAGTTGCTGGCAAATCTGCAATACAAATCTCCAAGTTTCAGCTGCCGAACATGACAAGCTTGGGCTTGTAGTCTAATAGTTAGTTTAGCTAGTGCAAAAGCATGAAGACAAATTGACTATCTTATCCTGATTCCAGCATTACAAGAAACTCCGCGGTAGCATTAGATAGCAAATGGCTGTCATGGGGCTGCGCATCATCATCATGATCATCATCATGAGAGACATTTGATTTTAGGCTTGCGGATTTGCATGACACCTATGGGGTGGGCATGTTTTTCTTCAGGATAAACCGCTGTCGGTGTTCTCGTCGTAGTTCACATCATAATCACGACGGCTCCCGCGTGTAGCAGTGGTATTTGGTGTAGCCTGTGAAGCAATAGAACTTCCCGGTATAGTTGCAGCAACGTCGTGGTCCTTCGCTGGCCCACTTCCCTTTATTTCGTTTTCCCGGTCGCAGTGCTTCCCCCATTCGATACCGTCCAGAAACCCATCCTTGTTGGTGTCCGCCGAAACGGGGCACCCCCACTCGACCTGCTCCGCCTTGTCCAGCAACAAGTCCTGATTGCGATCGCGGTCTTGGAACGCTTGCAACCGACCAGGTGGGCAGTAAAGGTTTTTCAAAAAAGGGGCCCAGCGCCCGGTCACTCGTCGCGTGCGCAGCGCTAGATCGGCATCGTACGCGGTCAGGCCCCATCTCTCCGGAAGTAACAACGCCAGCGTCTCGCTTTGCTGGTCCAGGTTACTTTTTCCGATCTCCGTGTGGACGAACGCATCCAGATTGTCCACCAGCCCTTGCAGCCTCAAACTGTGCTGGACCAGTATTTTCCACGGGGGAACGACGAAGGACGGGGTGGAGATGTCGGTGACATTGCCGCTACAGGAGACGCATCCACTGCAAAAGCAAATCGCACTCGTCGTACTAATTGCAGCTCTGCATGATAACGACGTAGGTATCCATTGCTTCCTAAGGTAAGAACAAGTCCGCATTCATTTACAAGTTTTGTTTTTCCTGCTAAAAAAGTAAAAGATTGTATGTCTGTACTTAAAAT